GATCTCGGCTTATTACATATCTGGAGCAAAAATGTTTCTGCCAAGGTAAATAATGTAATAAACATGACTAATTATTATAATAAAAGACTCTATATAACGTCAATAACTGGTTGTCATAATTCTACAAATAAGAATAAGCAATTAACACTTTTGTATCAACTTGATATAAAAAATTTAAAGTAATATAAAATCCACTCTTTGCTGTGACTTGTATAAGTTACGATGGGGTTGGCGAATCTTTGTAGATAAAAGCCCATGAAAAAAAAATCCACTCACTAATCTAAGTATCATTTCGTATCATTTATTATCATAATTCATTAAGCTTATACCGAAACGAAGGACTCTGATCTCTCTCTTTTTATCAGCTGTGCGACGCATAGGAGGGCAGTGGTTTTATCAAATATCAATTACATCGGCATGTACGTTTGTTTATTCTTTGTGTTGATCTAGAGACTAAACGGGTTACAACAATTTGATGATTCTTAAGTCAATGAAATTGTCTTATTTATTCTTCAGTGTCATTAATGACACGAAATTAATGAAAGAAAGAAATAAGAAAGAAAATACATGTAATTACCAAAAAAAAGGACGCACACAATAAAAGAGAAAGAAAAACTAAAATTAACAAAAAATAAAATAAAATAAAAAAAAAATACTTATAAATAATTCAGAACACAAATACATAATTAAGATATAAACAAATGAAAAAGAACTTTAGCAAACCAAAAATAGCGTGCAAACGCCCAAAAAACGCAAAAATGAAAACACATGTCGTCTATCAGGTGCCATGTTATAAAAGTTAGTGTATAGAAAAATGTTCCGTTAATAGTTCAAACAGTATATTGGCCTTCACAATTTTAGTATTAGCTAGTCGCGTTTGTTTTTTAAATTTTAGATAACTATAATTAAATTTTCATAGTTCACGCCGTCTGCTGCAATCTGACGATGTAATTCTTAAAGTGTTGTACGTAGAGGTTTTTATATAAAACTTCCCTAAAAGTTTTGGAATCAATATAAATTACTATAGCAATCTCTATTAACGGAAATGGATTGTCCAAAGCGTAAGCATTTTATTTAAGTACGAAACATTCATTTGTTTCCATGTTAGAATATGAAATGCTGCGGAATGTCAATTATAACAATTTAATACTAAATTAGATATCCGACGGGAATTATAAAGAAAACCGGCCAAGTGCGAGTCGGACTCGCGCCATAACCATTATCAATCAAAACTGCAAAAAAATCATGTCTGTTGTAAGAGCCCCATTTAAATATTTATTTATTCTGTTTTTTAGTACTTATTGTTATATCGGCTGCAGACATACATCATCTGACAAAAATTTCAACTGTCTAACTATCACGGTTCATGAGATACAGTTTGGTGACAGACGGACGGACAGACAGACAGACAGCGCAGTCTTAGTAATAGGGTGCCCGCTTTACCCTTGGGTACGGAACCCTAAACATATGCCCGCATTCAATCAATGTATTGAGTCGTTAGCGATCGCTATGCCAACTATTCCGACCAGCTCTGATGGGCGACAATCTATTTTAATCCTTAAACCGGCGTCCGCAGGTGATTTGGCACTAATTGGCCGGGATGACACGAGGCCAGAGCGGCCGGCAACCTAGGGCTCCATAGTATGCGCATGTCATAGCCCGCTACCGAAATAGCGCGCCCGCCCACCCATCTTTAATCTCGATCGTATGACGTTTTCGTTGCCATTTTATCTTCAGCTATATCGGAGCACACTTTCGCTTTAAACCATAAGATTGTTAGGAACGTATTCCTGATGAGGAAGACCAAAACCATAACGCCCTTAGTCACGGAACCCTTAGAAATTTGCAAAGCGATTTCTATTAGGTTCAACTAAGAAAGCTTGATCGATTAAGCAACCATAGAAATGACAACTTCTCAAGTTTTCCACGGGCTTTCAAGCGTATGTAATATTGTTTTGATTGAGTCTCGGCTACCAAAACGGCGTGTTTGAACTCTCTTCGGCTGTCTAATTTATAGACGGGAACAGTGAGAACCTTCCAGGTAACCAATCACAACTGGAACCATCCTACGTGTCCAACGAAGTTTTGTCTAGCTCTTAAGAAAGGAGAGGAAAGTCTTAGCAAAGATTAACATGGCTGTCATTCGGCTTCGTTTTGAAAGTTTTCTAGGATTATGTTGTAAAAACTTCCCATAAAAGATTTTCTTATTATACGTAATCTAGTTGAGGGTAGAACTAATTTGTGCTTGTTCCTAGTATTTACATCATGCAATTACATTGATCTCATGCAGCAGTGCAACTCGCGTGCTTCCACTAAACGGGTAATAGTTGGGTAAAAGATCCTTTTGTTTGCTTTTGTCAATATGCTTTCTTTTCCAATGCTGTTAAGCGACAACCGAATTACTGCACGGCTGAAACTGAACTATTGCTTGTGGGTCTCCTAGTACATGCTGGAGCTCCACGGACATGCCAGTGCTCTGTTGGCACGCCACGGGAACGTAGTTTTAAAAAAATACCCGGCCAATTATAAGCTTTTTGCGTATTTGTTTTGAACGTTCTCTTCAGTGCAACGTACCGGTCCGATGTTAGTGAACTCTGGCCTCCGATGAATCTTTTCTGTATTCTTAAGGCTTTTATTAACGAAAGTTGACAAAATTAACAATAAATCATACAACATAATATGTGTAATTTACGTTACAATCAAAGGATTAGATTTTTATGTCATTTTTATAATTAGAAGTTTGTTTTTGCGATTTCGAAGATAAGTAACTGTCGCACCTTGTACTTCTTTATTTATTATAGCCACCCTTTTAGTAAACATATTTATACATGAAAACAATAAAAACATCATGCTTGGCACTATACGTACACTTGTGACAGGTCATGCTGAAGGACGATAGTGATGATTAGGATGTGGATTAATCAGTCAAGCACGCTTCAAAATTCTTCAACATAATATATATTAGGTAGTAGATAGAGTTTTCTTAGACAAGATAGACTAAACCTTGAAGTAAAGTGTATGGTTTAATTTTAGTATTACCGTTCGAACACTCTTCAGGCGTTTATGTTGGCCAATACTTGATCTATTTGGACTTGACACAATTTTCAAGTATCTCCTTTCATAATGTTGCCATTACAGAATTTTGTTCCTTTATCTAGTTCGGATTTCCGCAGTAATCGTCAACCCTTGTTACTCGTAAAAAATTATCCAGACTTCAAATTTCATAGCGTATGTATGTACGGTCTTTCGCCGCACCCATATTGTTGACCTTTCCAATTCCAACTCAAAGACTTTTTACTTATACACACGCTATATTCTAACATCACTGCACTAAAAAAGTAAATTTTACTGACAAAAAACGGAACCGACTTCATGTATATCGCGTATTTTGAGAAGTTCCTCAAAATTAACAATGAAATACCTAAATTAATATATGACCGATTAATTTAGGATCAAATGCAAAAATATTTGTTTTTAAATCGGTACATAAATGACTGAATTCCGAAATGAACTCAGTTGTTACTACAAACATAAAAAAATACTGTCGAATTTTGAACCATCCTTTTGAAGTCGGAAGAAAACAACCTTTTGGTTGTACTACTAACGCACACAAGAAATTACAGTAGAAGAAGAGATAATATTTTAAAACAATTTTACACTAGCATTGTTATTATTAGATAGAGATGAATGACCATGTGCATGTCGGGAAAGTGCCTCGCCTTTAAATTCATAAAAGGAGCGAGAAAAACTCACTTATAGATAATACAAATATCTCACTTCCGACCACTTCCAGTTGTTTGCTCTCCGTTGTGTTCATGACGCCTGGAAAGTTTCAAGGAATCGTTTCGGCGAGTGTTTGCATCGCCCACGGAACTTAGTGTGTGTGTGTTTTGTAGTCTTGTTAGCGCTTACCAAACACTATGTCACCGATAGTTTTGTATCGACATAGGTTACGATATTATAAACTTGACCGGAATAGAAGACAGTCAGCTCATATATAAATACTAGCGACCCGCCCCGGCTCGGCATGGGTGCAATGTTTTATTCATATAAACCTTCCTCTTGAATCACTATCTAGTAAAAAAAAACGAATCAAGATCCGTTGCGTAGTTTTAAAGTTCTAAGCATACATAGGGACAGACAGACAGCGGGATGACTTTGTTTTATATTATGTATTGATGGTACGAAAAGAGGTTTGTATTAGGAATTTAGTAGGGTCGCTTACTTTTTGCGCTCGTTTAAAAAACACGCTTTTATACATAGCAAAACTAAAAAAATTTAAAATAAATAAATAGTTAAAAAAAAAACCTTAAAACTAAGACTTTTAATATCGAACTCAAAGCCGTTAAGCCGTAATGGCATTTAATTTTTCCATTTCACATAAGATAGTGTATAAAAGTCGCGTATCGCATTCATCTTATCTCAAGCGCATATTTATCCTTATCACGGACAGGACACTAACAAATGTTCACGTGTTGTCCACGTGTCGGGTGCGTTCAATTGCCTTCCACAATCGCGTGCGTCACATTTCCCGCCTAAATTGACGCCTAATGTGACGTTTCGTGTGGCGCGGCGCGCCAAAACGTTTTTACATTTGAAAACCGACAGGGCTAAATTATTGTTATGCTCTGATCCTTGTGTTGGAATTTTAAAAATAGGATATTAAATTTTTCCTTCGTAATGTGTTTAACCAACGCTGCGCCTTTTTTAAATTTATTCGAAACGCATAAAACCTCAGACAGTCATCGAGTTACATGCAATTATTTAATCAAAGTTATAACGGGTATTATCTTTATATATCTCGTCTTATCATAGGACAGCAGACAACACATGTTACCGTTATATCTTTACAAAGCACTGACTTATTTCCTTAATAAATACGGCATGGTTGGTGGACTCGCATTTATATAAAAAATATTGTTAATAAAAATTCAAGCTTTGTATTAATAGCCTTAAGTTCTGTGAGGAATGAAGCTGTTAATTATTGAGTGATCGAATCAAACATCGGACAGAATGTCGATCCGGGGAGTGCCAGATGGATCCAGATCGCCGAGGATCGTCACAGATTCGTTCTTTGATGATGAAGGTGAGTACACGAAGTCTAAGATTGTTTGAATCCCCCTATACAACATTTACATTTACTGAATGACTGGCATAAATCAATGCAGATTGCAACATTTAATCGATGGACCCACCGCCGGGGGTCCCGCCGGATAACACTACACCCACAGTTAGTGTAACAACAATCACACCAGTTCGCCCTCGCCTCCGAGCACGGCGAGACCCACACAACGCGTACACAAGGTACACCCGCGTTCCGGGGCGGTTCTCACTGCTCCCAGCCACCGATTAGCTAAATGCACAGTCGACGGCCGTCGGGGTCTCGGTCCGAACCGCGATCTCGACGGCCCTTAGATGACATACCATAATTAGACGCACGCATGAGCACATGCGCGACCCTACCCATAGCGGAAGGTCCAAACCCGTGGGTTCTGGCTAGCCCACCGGTTCTGCGTCCGATGAAGCTTTAATAGTCTCGGGACTGAAAGCAAAAACATCAGTTAATACAAGAACATTTAATATGTGAAAAAAGAGGGTTAAGGACAATGGCATTGTCCTTATCTTTTATAAATAAAAAAATATATTAATGTTGCCTTTTTAATGGGAAATTTTTTCATTATACCTTCAAAAACTTTCACCTTATTCATCATCATCATCATTTCAGCCTGTTTGAGTCCACTGCTGAACATAGGCCTCCCCCATAGACTGCCACGAAGTACGATCCTGAGCCACCTGCATCCATCGACTTCCCGCACATTTGCACAGGTCGTCACTCCATCTAGTGGGGGGTCGTCCCACACTGCGATGGCCAGTACGAGGCTGCCACTCGAGAACCTTTCTTCCCCAACGGTTATCGGTTCTACGAGCTATATGGCCGGCCCACCGCCACTTCAGCTTGCTAATCCTTTGAGCTATGTCGGTCACCTTAGTTCTACTGCGGATGTCTTCGTTACGAACTCTATCACCTTATTATGATACCCAAAACTAAACCTTTTAAGCGCTTGATATGCGTTAGAATGTTTGATAAGAATTTAATAGAAGAGAATTCAGCTTTGTTTTGTGGACTTAATAATATTTTTTGTTTTAAACAAAGGTTTTAAGACCACATTCTAGCAGGTTCTATGGTCTTGGTTGTAAAGAGTAATTTTGTATAGATGCTTGGTTGGTTGGACTAATTTTCATTCCATTCCTATTTTGTTCTGATAAACATTAGTTCCTACGCAGCGCCCTCTGTTACTGTAAAAGTGTCTTAGGCAATCGAGAGATGTCTCTGAAACAAACTTAATCATAAGACTCGAAAAAAAATATTATTGTTCACAGAATTATACCCAAATTATTAATATAACATATATGCTCAATTAAATTTATTTAGTCTTGACATTACATAGAAACGTAAGGTTTTAACGTTACAAATAGTAACCACTTTGGCGAAATATGTTCACAGACGGCGGCTTTCAATCGAACATTAGAGATGGGTTTTTGGAATAATATAGATGTTTAATTTGAATGCCTTGATACCCTCTGTACAGAGAAGGCCTTTGCCTAGTTGTGGGACATCTACAGGCTGTTACTAAATTTACTTTAGTTTAAATTAATCCTTACCTATTTGTAAACTTTCCCAAATTCATGAAACACGCAATATCCTGATCAATATAAAACACCGAATATCCAGTTTTAATAGTACTACTTCTCCTTTATTGTCTTGTATACATATTTGTTTACATATTTTTTGTATACATATTTGTTGTCTTGTAAGCGAAATTATCATATACCTCTTTCTGTATGCTGCCTATGTCGTAAAAGACAAGTTCTATACAGTTCTTGAGTTTTCTAACTACAGGACTCATTAGTCGAGCTAGTCAGCATTTTGTATATAAAGTCATAAACCATCCATCGTTAGGGTATTTGTGACTTACTTTTGATAACTTGCCAATTCATTTGCAATTTCATTCATGCTAACTTCATTTGAAGATGTTGAACGAACGTCCAATAGCCTTGATATAGTTGCTCGGGCTCCCAGACCCCTTGACCTGGGATTCACCCTTAAATACATTCAAAGCCATTTTTTTTTCTTGCTTGTTTAATGTAGGCCCGTAGTGGCCGAAACGGGCCCATCTGTAAGTCCGCAGTTCAAGTTGTGTGAGCCTAAGATTCATGTTTCTAGAAGGTTCAACATCAGTTTCATCGTTCATTTTTAAAATGATGATTTTTTTTGCTTGGTAAAATATCAATTTTATCCAGGGAATAGTTTTCTAATTATCAGGAGACAAAATTTTAGAACCCATGAAATATACTTTTTAAATTATATTTGAGCAACAAAAAGACATTCCTTCGAGCCGGATTTGAACCAGCGACCTATGGATAACATGCGTCAGTGCCTCTACAGTCCACCGCTCTACCAACTGAGCTATCGAAGGTATACGTGGGTGTTTGAAATTATTGGAACCATTCTACTGATTACGTAGTTTAGTTCCATTGCATCATAGAGGAAAAGTTTTGCGCATCAATTAGCGGCTGCGGTTATTTTAATTATAAATAATATGTTATGAAATATTTAAGTAATGTTTTTTACGTACACAATGATATGTTAATTTGATATAGTTATCGTTTGTTATATGTTATTCTGTAAATAAATATGCATTAGCAGATACATTATTTTTAATTTAAAATTTTAGAGTTATTAATCGAAAATTTCTGTTCTTGAATGAAAATATTTCTCCTCTCTTTTGTGTCATTTTGTCGAAAACAATTTTTAAAGATGATTTATATACTTAAATAAAATATTAACGATGACCAACGCATTTTGCTTTGTGTCCAATTATGTAGTTCAAATATGACATCATTGTTTACCAATTGTCCGGATGTACATACATAGTGTTAGTAGTTTCAAGCGGAATAATTGATATTTTCAATTTCTTGATTTCTCTTTTATGTGCGAAGTATAGTTTTGTTCAAAGATCTTTTCAAAACTCATACGAGTTATATTTATTTGTAGATTAATGCCAGTTTTCTGATAAATAAATCCAATCATACGCTGTTACAGAACGTTGCGAGTTGTTTAAGGTTTATACTCCAAAGTTGTTTGCGTGACGATTTATTTCGTTTCATGTTCTGCAGTGTTTTTTATAAGTAAATAGGTGTATATATCTTGGGGTCATTTTTAATATTTGAATATGCCCATTATTAATTATTATTATGACCATTAATGCTGTACTTGTGCATAATGAAGTCATTGTGAGAACACAGCAATATAAAGCAATATTGCATCAAACTATTAATGAGAACTATTTGTATTTAATTTTTGATTTTAAGTAAGTTATTTGTAGAGTGAATGACAAAATTGAGTGACTCGCTCAGTTTGGGGTTCAGGAATGTTATCCGTTTGGCAGGCATGGGGTTGCCAGCTGCTCAGTACGGTGCTCGTGAGGTACAGTACTATGAAGTCGGACCAGGTGTCCTAGCATCCGGGAAGGAGGCTTGACAAGGCCATAGTCGTGCCAGTGTCACGGAAGACATCCAGATCCCGTGTCCTCGACCGATACGATAGAGACAGGTGTTACATGGGTTTTCAGTGGGTTTCTAATCGCACATTTTTTTACTTTTTTTTTATGCGAAAAGTTGTCAAACGAGCATATGGTTCACCTGATGGTAAGTGAATACCGCCGCCCATGGACATCTGCTACACCCAAGGGTTGCAGATGCGTTGACAACCTCTTGTAAATTGGGCTCCGGCTACCTCACTCACCAGACGAAACGCGAAAATATTTGTCATACTTCCACTCTACGCTGGTCTTCTGTGAGGTCGTGGTACCTACCCGGACGGGCCTGCCCATTCGTGCAACAGCCGAGGCTGCTGCGTGGCCCTACCACCGAAATCATCTTTATAGTGCGACAGTTCTGTCTGTACCGCGTTCCCTTGATTTTAGATATCTTATTAAAATAATCTTTCCGTTTATATTAATTTGGTTTTTAAAATGGTTCGCTTTTTCATCGCGGAGTAGTCTTGCTACACTATAGCTTTACTTGTTTCGTGTTCAGCTCGTCTCGGTTTCAAAATAATTATGATTGTGCTTAAAATGGGAAGGAGCACATTTAAGACGACTAGGATTGCGTTTTTCCGTAACCATGACTGACCATACCGCTGTAATCAGTAACACGGCGACAGTAAACTGTATAGCAATTCGGGCGACCGTAGTTACTAGCAAAGAGCATATAATAGAGTAGTTACCGTGGGGCGGCCGGCCCGGTTCGTCGAAGCGAAAATCGTCGGGTGTGTCAGTCTGACGGTCCGCTTCGCGTCCGTTGGTGGCGCGGTGTGACGCATCGCTGCAAACGCGTCGCGTGGCTTGGTAATCGGATTCCATTTTTGAATTTGATTGTTTTTTTTTATTACACCTTTTTAATACGTCCTTCCGTGAGCTCGAATATCGTTAAGTATAGTTTTTTTATCTGTGCATATTGAATTGTAGTGACCCAATACGTGTTGCTAACAGCTGTTGCGAGCTGAAAGTTTGTGATGGTGTTTCGTCTTAACTAAGTTACTACGTTAAATTTTTTCTAGTGTATGTTATTAACTAGTCTGCTTATTTTCGAGCTCGATACAATAGTACGCATAGTTTGCTCTGTGGCATTAATTAGCGCTGTGAATTAATATTCCAAACGTTGTAAGGAACGTTGTTGACATTCCATTAAATGTTTGCGTATGGCACTTGTTTTGTTTCAATTAATGTTTTCTAATGTAAATTCTTCGTATCGCAATTTCGCAATAGAAATATTTGATATTATATGGATAGATTCTCAAAGCTAATATGTTTTAACTTTTAAAATTATGTCAGTCTTTTATGTCCAACATAGGTATTGCTTTCACTTATGCAATTAACGATTTTGAAACCGCTATAAACTGTTTCATAATTTTATTTACATTGAGTATATTTTGTCACAGATTTAACATTGCGTGTATGCATTTCGGCTTAGGAGTGAGTTTTTTGAACGTCCTTTTGAGAGAGAGCTTTAAAATTCACTCTCGGAAACATCAATTATTGGCCAGCATTAAATAATCACTTGTAAATTGGGGAATATAAAATAAAATCAATGAATCTTTAAAATTGATAATTAAACCATGTAATGTTAGCCAAACGGCCGTAAGACTTGTCCTCAAATTATGTATAACAGTTTTTGTTTTTGCGTCATCCGTTTTCGACGCCCCCGAGGTCTCGGGGCTCGACCTCTTATCAAGCGCAGAGGTCTACGATACACATTCCAACGATAGTTAATAAATATTATATTACCTTGCACTCAAAGGATCACTTACGATATAAAAAGCATTATAACAATTAATAAAGCATTATAAAAATTCGAGATACTAGCGACCCGCCCCGACTTCGCACGGGTGCCATGCTGAATGTTTGTTTTCGATATCGCATTAGAAACCTCTAAAATTATCAGTGTTTCTGTACTATATTATGCATGAATAGTACACATAAATCTCCTCTTGAATCACGCTATCCATTAAAGAAAACCGCATCAAAATCTGTTTCGTAGTTTTAAAGATCTAATATATAAAATATAGGGACAGACATACAGCTGGACGATGTTGTTGTATACTATGTAGTGATTTGGAAATTAGATAGCTGGAAACTATCTGTCCTGTGGAAGCTCCAGTGTGTTTACTGTGGTGGGGTCAGGCTCATCCGAAGAAGTGCCTTCGCAGAAGACAAGCGTGGAGAGGAATTATTATGTTTGCATGTTTTGTCTCGTGATTGAGTCAACCGGGCCTGTACTCTAAAGTAAGATACCCCATTTTTAAATAGATTGGACAGTGCGTCTGTAGTCATTTAAAATCGTGAACCGTCACCTCGCTTGCCAACTTATTACACAAAAAAGTCAGGCCGTTAACTAGCCCTTCTATGACCTTACGTCGATTTTTTGTACGGCCCTTATTATTGTAAGTGTACTTCAATACGATGACGTCATCTCTGCGCTCCTTAGGGCCCGTGATTTATAACTTCGCCAATTATTCCAGTCACAATGGGGACCTAAGCGTTTAATGCGCCACGGCTACGCGGCTTGAATGAAATTACCTCTGGTCACTTCTGTGCTCCTTGTGGTTTCACTTTTCTTGAAGATTAGAATTAAATTAGTAGAAAAATGGACGAAATTTTTTCACCGCCGCGAGAATCCAACCCATGTCTTCCGGATTGGCGCCCGGTTGCTTTACCCGCGGCTGATTGCCACACCGGCGCAAATCTCAGCGTATTTAATATCTACATTGTGTTTAAGAAATCCATCCAGTTTATTTATAAAATTTTAATGTATCACCTTAAATGCGAAGATAGATCACACAACGCAGCGAGTGTCAACCTCGTGGGGTTGACTGTCTCACGAGTTTGGTACCGGTAGAGCATCCACCTCCTATTATATATATTCCTTCGGAAATTACAAACAAGAATATGTGAATTTTATTCTTTCATAAGCAAAGAAGCAACATCTTTAACAGCAATGTTTGTAAACTACCCCAAGAGATATTTGAGTAATTTGCGGAAAACATTCAGTATTTTTTTTGTAATGAGATTTATCCTCTTTACATCATCGTGTAAAGGTTAAATATATACGCTTTTTAGAGGTTCACTGAAATGTGGCATTTCATGTAATTGTAAAATTTTTGCCAATTTGAATTATAAGGCATCTTTATAATGTAATAATAATGTCTCATTGCCGAAATGTAAATTGTGTGAGATTTCGCAGTAAATAATGAAGCATCAAAAATTATTTAAGTATTACTTCGATAGTCATTTCAAAACTAAATCATTTAAAAACCTTCACTTAAAATATTTAAAAAGTATACAAATTGCCTGTATTTACTCCTCAATTTCAACTATTAACTTTTATAGAACAAACGACTTTTTATGGATTGTATTGTGTTTAATTATTTTTAAATGTATTGTGTTTAATTAATCTATTTAAACATAAACTCCAGAACTTTCGAATACTTTATAGCATAGTTGTTCACAAGACGGACCATAATATGTAGTGTACGCTTATATAAAATAAACTTTTATTATTATTATTTTTATGTGAAAAGTTGCCCAATGAGCAGACGGTTCACCTGATGTTAAGTGACTACCGCTGCCCATGGATATCTGCTACACCCGAAGGTATGCAGATGCGTTGACAACCTATTTGAAAATCGGGCTCCGGCTACCTCAGCCACCAGATGAAACGCGAAAGTATTTACTAGTTAGCTATTAGAAAGTACTTCCACTTTACGCCGGTCTTCTGTAAGGTCATGGTACTTACCAGGACGAGCTTGCTCATTTGTGCAACAGTAGAGGCTGCTGCGTGGCCCTACGGTGGTAGGCTAGGCAGCAGTTTACTTTTAATAAAGTGAAATTAAATGTTCACACGACATAGTGCTATGGTCTTACTTTATAATATTAGTAAGGATTCAATAATTTATCCAGATAAGTATCCAGTGCTGCTGCATCCATTTCGTCAAGTTTACTGTTTAATACTTGAACTAAACTTGAATACTTGAAACTTAATACTTGAACGAACAACGAGGTTATCTATGTAGTCTGATGTATCGCTATTGCAATGATAATAACCTATGAGTCTATTATCGGAAACTATAAGACGGTAAGCGGGGTAGAGGAAGACCGAGGATATGAACATCTCAAATAAAGAACAAAATTTGATGACTCCATGGCGCAGTCGCCAATGTATCGGCTTCGCCGTCGGGGGCCGTGGATTCGACTCCCACAGGGGACAACTATTTGTGTGACCCGCAGATAGTTGTTTCGCATCTGGGTGTTTGTCCGTGTGAAATTTATTTTTGTAAAACGTCCTAACAACACAGGATAGTGTTATCCTAAAGTAAGGGCAATGTTTTCAAAAACAAATAAATGTTGGTTCCTATAGAGAGGTAAAGGATATAGGGCTATGAACAGGGAAGGGTGGAGGGCGTTACACAGCTTAACTACTGGAATGCTTCGCCGACAACAGAATAGCTCTTAAATTAAAAATGAAAATAAGACTATCAGACACGATTGATGGCACAGGTATCGTCCAGTTAAAAACGGGCAAGCCAAATTGTCTAATTCGGCTAATTTCGGTTAGACAATTGAAAAAATAATAAGTTCCCTACCTTTTGTATAAATGTTTAATGTTGAAATAGGTACCTATTTCGGAGATAAAATATCTCTTTACATAAAAACTTGTCATATAAAAAAAATTGTTTACATGTTGTTTTAAACATTTAAAAAATATTATTATGTAGGCTGCAAACCGCTCGCAATGCATTGATTCGTTGTTTCAGTGTATTAATTAGCAGCTATAAATGTTTTATATGATGGTCAAGCGAGCAGTTGCTTCATTTGGTGTTAAATAACTACCGCCGCCCATAGACAGCACCTTATGGTTTGCAGGCGTGTTGACAAACTATAAAAAGTAGCCCTCGTTACCTCACTTGCCACACTAAACGCGAAAGTATAATACTTCCATTTCACGATGATCTGTGAAGCCGTGGTACTTCTGGACGAATTATCCTTTTCGTGCAACAGCTGTTGCGTGGCCCTACCACAGCATGTGTATGCAAACTATTAAGTTTAATTGCGGTTCTTCCAGGATAATAAAGTGAAATGGATGTAATTTTAAAATATAAATTAATGTATGCGCCGCTGTACGTCTTTCAATCGGATAAAATTGATGCACCATAAATATTGTTATAGTAGATGTAATATTAAAAACATAATCCGTCCGATAGGTACGCCAGCAATGCTGGACGAAGAGACGGCCGAATGCCTGGCTGACAGCCTAGAGTCTCAATGCTCCCCCAGTCTGCTTCCGATCGACCCCGAACACCTCCGCAAGGTGAACGAAGAGGTAGAAAGGAAAGCCTTAGAGCCACTTCGCGATCCCGTTCCCCCAGTCACGTGCTCCGAACTAATAGACACAATTAATAAACTACGCCCGCGTAAAGCACCAGGCTCAGATGGTATCACCAATAAGGTGACCAAGCTCCTCCCTACTAGCATCCTTCAGATACTAGTATTAATTTACAACGCGGCCTTAACCGAAGGCTTTTTCCCATCCGAGTGGAAGGAAGCCGATGTCTTAGGGTTCCTCAAACCCTCTAAACCCGCCACTCTCCCAACCTCATATCGTCCAATAAGTCTTCTCAAAACATTTGGGAAGATCTTTGAAAGACTAATATTAGCCCGCTTAAGATCCCTTATGGACACCAAAGGGCTCCCCATCCCAGAACAGTTTGGATTTAGAGCCAAACACTCATGTACCCATCAAGTGCACCGCATCACGGAGCACATTTTAACCAAACGTCAACGCGGACTCAACACCGGTGCACTCTTCCTGGACGTGGCAAAAGCGTTCGACAAAGTCTGTCACAACGGGCTCGTATACAAGCTATACGGGTACGGAGTGTCCGACCGTCTCGTATGCATAATACGAGACTTCCTAAGTAATCGAACCTTTCGCTATCGCGTCGAGGGCGTGTGTTCGACTACGCATCCCGTTCGAGCCGGGGTGCCCCAAGGGTCGGTGTTGGGACCAGTCTTGTTCACTCTCTACACCAATGACATGCCGCGTGTCAAAGATGTAGAACTTGCTCTTTTTGCCGACGACACCTGTATCTATACCACAGGCAGAACACCCGAATTGATCCATCGACGCCTCCAAGCTGCGGCCATCACCGTCGGTGACTGGTTTCGTAAATGGAGGATCGAAATCAATCCCGCCAAAAGCGCGGCAGTCCTTTTCGCGCACAAAAAGAACATACCCATTCCACCCCCCGTTAAACTCTTGGACAGCCCAGTACCATGGGTTAATAAAGTCAAATATCTAGGCGTCGTCCTCGACTCCCAGCTTAAATTCACCCAGCACGTGACCCAGGTCAGGAACCGGGCGGCCTTCGTACTCGGTCGCCTCTACCCGCTCCTCAATAAAACGTCAAAAATGTCCCTTCGGAACAAGGTGACCTTATATAAGGCAGTAGTTCGCCCTATCATGACGTACGCGAGCCCCGTCTTCGCTCACATTGCTCCGAAGCAAATACACCGGCTTCAGGTGATTCAAAATCGATTCTTGCGCAGAGCCACGGGAGCACCCTGGTTCATGCGCAATATCGACCTACATGTCGATCTAGAATTGCCCACCATCGCGCAATTCCTGAAGTCGGCGTCGCGCCGATATTTCGATTCCGCCGCCGCGCATCCCAACCCACTTATCGTAGGTGCCGTCACCTACAGGCCCTTGCCGATTACCGAAGACCGCGTCACGTTCTCGACTTCCCTGACGATGAGACGATTATCGCCATCGAAAGGATCAAAAAACTCAAGAAACACATCAACACACACCGCACTCGCCGGCGAGTGCGGCAAACATATACTAGGTTCCGCCACGTACCTGGCAGGTTTTCCCCTATTAATGATAGAAGCGTTGCTGGAGTTTCTTCCGCCACTTCTGCTCCCAGCGCCAACGCTCTCCGAAGTGGTAGTAATGTTAGCACTAGTAATTCCCCCAGTCAGATAATAGCTACCGATCGAGCCGAGGTCCGGCCCTCTCGGGCACCCTCGAATCGGAATGCTAAACGCGTGCTGAGTGACAGCCCAAGCCGAGGTCCCCTCTCGGGGACCCTTGAGCCTGATCACTCCATGGAGCGCCCGCCAAAGCGCCCTAAGAGCTTGGCGGCATCCCAAACCGGTAATAATAATAGCGTGACGGCCCGAGCCGAGGCTCCCCCGGGAGCCCTCGAGCTTAGTCACCATAACGCGTAATAATAGTACGCCGAGGTTCAGGCTAGGCGCCTCGTGCGCCAGGCCACCTCAAGTCCGTCGGATCTGTAAAAAAAAAAAAAAAAAAAAAAACATAAATATAAGGACGAAATAATTTTTACACACATAAAACATTATTAAAAATCGAATGAGGCCATTTGATTTAATTAAAGTTGCGACATGGAAAACTGTAAACAAGAAATTTATCGAGCATCTACGGACAATGATTTTTATTTAAAACTTTCATCATATTCATTTTCATTGTGATGCCACACGCAAACATTTCTAACTCAAATATAACCTTCACAGCGATAAGTGAAATAATTTATTTTTGGAATGTAATTATTTGTCAAGTGCTTAGTACTTTTAAAAGACAAACACCAGTATTTTGGCGCCAACAATGTATAGTTTTGACAAGGATCTGTGGCATGTGCGAGCGCGCGTGCAATCCGAGATGCAGGAGGATGTCAAAGACACGGAACGTATGTTTTTCTCATTTTCTCGATTTTTTTTGTTACTTAATATTTTATGCTACATGATTATTGTGTTAAGTCAAGCAATTTTTTTTCTCTTGAACTGCCTCTACCACAACCAATTAGCACTTATGAGATAATAAGAGGAATGTAATACAAGAAAACAGTTTAAATAATTAATCTCAAACTCCGGTATTAAAGAATTTTATTTTGATATATAAAAAAATAATGAAAACAATTTTAAGTGGGCGTCTAGATTTTTTTACGAGGTGGTCACGATAACACCCGGAAGTATCCGGGTTTTATTTATTATCTACTTTTTTATGCGAAAAGTTGTCAAACGAGCAGACGGTTCACCTGATGTTAAGTGAATACCGCCGCCCATGGCCATCTGCCACACCCGAGGGTTACGGATGCGTTGACAACCTTTTGAAAGTTGGGCTCCGGCTACCTCACTCACCAGACGAAACGCAAAAGTATTTGTCATACTTCCACTTTACGCTGGTCTTCTGGTGACGGGCCTGCCCATTCGAGCAACAGCCGAGGCTGCTGCGTGGCCCTACCACCGTAATTTTTATTATTATTTATTATGTAATGAATAACATCAACTAGTTACCTAATTAATATCAATACCCTAGTAGTACCCGTATTTTATTAAAAAAATGGTATTTGTTTTGTTCGTCATGACATCAAGACGTGTAACAACACGCCCGGTTTCTGAAACACTGATCATCGTAGAAGTTAACTAATCAGCTCTCAAATGGCTTTTCAAATGTTGAAAATGAATTTGATTTGCCAAAAGGATTGCTAAACTCTTTGAATTGATCAAAATGATCTTCTCAATGATCAGAATGATCAATTTAAAGAGTCAAATAACATTTGAGTCATTTGATAGCTGATTAGTTAACTTCTACGATGATCAATGTTTTAGAAACCGGGCGTAAGTCTGTCCCGTGACCATGGACGCTGGAAACGACGGGAATTTAAAAATCTAATTGAACGCGATGTAATCCGTAAAATAGTCTCGTTAAACAATGTATAATATTCCCAAAAATAAAGAAATCAAAATGGTATTTAACAAAAAAGTACATTATTTATACTTTTGTTAAATTGTCTAAATGATATAAATAAGTTATAATGGTGCGACTTGTTTTTTTTTTTTCACATAAATTAAATGATCGTGCACGCTTTCGGATTTTTCACTTTTTTCAAAATCCGCCAATAAATGCCGTACCTAGTCTACTGTGTAGCGTACTGTATAGTGGTACATATACATATATCGTCACTATTGTTACAAGGAAACACAATCACTATGGCGTCGGTAAAAGTCGATATTGGAAAAGTTGTGCAATAAGTTACTTCAAGTCGATTTCTTACATCATCTGTCTCCGTAGATTGTGCCGGTAATCAGTAAAAATTACCCATGATTTCTTCGCAAACATCATGGTCTTCTTTAGCACTTAACCTTAGTACTTCATACCGACACTGAATGTTCATTGTTGTCCGTCGGTTCGTCCGAAGGTCAAAGTAGTTGATAATATTCGAGATATGCAACAGTTTTACGCTTCACATAATAGATTGTCTTGTTTGGATAGGCTATTTATAAAGTGTTCTGATACTGTCTAGGTTTTTGACAATTGATTGTTTCTATAGCATTTATTATTATTATACAGCGTGTCGTTACAACCGCGACAATAAATGAACACGCGTCTAACGCTACTTGCCAATAATCATAAAAAAATATAAACATTAAAAAATCCACAATTAAAAAAAATATTTTTCAAACAAACTAATTAAATAAAAAAGAAACTAAATTTGTAACATCCTATACAACTACAACTGAGTGATTCATACGTTCAGACAGTTTTTCATTCGTTGCCACAGCGTCGCATTACAAATCTCTTCTTCTAACAGTATGTTTTATCGCTTTTAAACTCATTCAACCCATTCATATGCTTTGTGTCCTTTACAAATGAATTTTACGTTTGAGTTTTATACGTACGGTGTTCTAAAATTGTTTGTTTTGGGAAATTTAATAACTCTGTAAGTATTGATGTTCAAAGAATGTAAATGTTTAATACAATTTTAAAGAGTCATCCTCTATATGTGTGTTCATTTATTGTCGCGATTGTAAAGACACGCTGTATACTGTATTGTACACCACAAATAATTTCATACAGTTGATATAAAATAAATCTTAAAAGCTAAGCACAATAAGGCGGTCTTATCGATTCTAGATTATCCATTTTTCGGGGTTTCGTAAGAAATGTAACTCATATTATTAGGGCGATGTGGGAACGGCAATAAGGTGGTTATCCCTAATCATCGTTGTAATATTCCAATAATCCTTCAAAGGCCACTATTATTAGAATCTAATAAATTTTTCTGAACCAAGTCCAAACGAAGTCCTTGGATTTATTTTCGTATATCGCGAGGCATATCAGAGCACTGAGCGTCATGAAAAATTAAGGGCTTGTTATTGATTACTACGAATACCAATAGATGAATAACTCCACTTATTTTGTACAGGTAGCGAAAGCCCCACAAGTGCAGTAGGGGCGGAGGCCCCACGGGAGCTCCCCAACGAGCTATCCGCGCCCTACGAGGTACCGCAGTTTCCCATCGAACAGATCGAGAAGAAACTACTCATACAGAGGCAACTGAATGTTAAGTAAGTCTATTAATAATTACATTATTATTATTACTTTTAATAATTCTAATTATAATAAAACACATACGTAACGTAAACACACACAGGTATTTAATGAAAAATTAATTTCCGCCTCTTTCATCAGTAAAAGGTTCGACTGAGGTCACTATAGGTATCGCGTACCACCTTATTAAGACTAATGTGACACTTTAGTACCTATCTTACCTTAATGTCTAGACTATTTTCATTTTTACTATAGTCGTATTTTCATTATGTACTAATGATCGCTGTATAAACGGGCCTAGAAAATTAACACGTGCTTATACATATAATTTAAATCCTCCGTAATACTTCGGTTACTTTTTAGTTTTTGTAATCTACACCAAAAATGAAAAAAGCGAATAGAATCAAACAGACATTTGAAACGACAGTGCAATTGTTGGAAGCTGACATTCCCCAGAAGATGACTCTAGGTACTGGCGCTCGTTTTTAATTAATTAAACATGAAAGTTAATTTTAAGTGTTGTAACTGTCACGTGCTCAGCGGTGAAGGAAAACATCGTGAGGAAACCTGCATATTTTCAAAATAATAACAAAATAAATATTACGAAGAAATGTGAAGTCCGCTGGTGGACTATGCCATGCCCTAATTTTCTCTATTCCTAGATTTTCGTTGTATACAGTGATAGGACGAAATCTCATGCCACTAGACAACTTTTTAGAATCAGGTGTAACGGTGTACCGGAACTAAACTGCTTAGGGACCTTCAAGAAGAGAGTGTATAACTAACTCAGGCCAGCTACTATTTACTACTGTTTTTAACTCTTCTGGTGTAGGAAATGTCCTCTGGCGGCGCAAACGCACAAGTGATCAACTTGCCATATCAGCTGGCTAAATTGCTTTATCTGGCCAGCGCAATTATATACCCCCTCGGTAGCGACCATCAGTGTGATAGGAGTCACAAAAGCGCAAAAACAACCGCAGGAGAAACAAATGAAGACAGATATCTGTCGGAATATTCGTACTGTAATTTAATTCGTCGACATCTACGTCGATGACTTCGGCCATGGGTTACATCCTCTAAGTGCCTTAACCTTTTTGAGGCTTTAAAATCACAGCCCATCAAATTCTACGAATATTTTAGAATGTATTTTAGGACTTTTCAAGATATTTTAAACGCATTCGAATCGGAGAGCAAAATAAAAACTGGAATGTAAATCAAATTCTATGATTCTAATTCTCTTTCGTTATCATCGGACTTTGGTGGTTGCAGTATCGTACGCGTTCTCTTTGTGATACGTTTGATTCGATCGGCCGACTTCTGCTAACGATAATCGCATCCTTCGGCTGTAAACGGATTCGGCAATCTAACGGCCGGTTTCAATATTCTATCTACAGATAGATTTGTTAACTGTGGATCGAATTTTGACGTAAGTATTGTGTAGCTAATGTCAAATACCTATCGCTAGTGACCAAATCTATCTGTAGATAGAATATTGAAATCGGCCGTAAGACTGCACGAGACTGTTTCGTGTTGCCACCCACCCTAACGGGATTAAGTTCGACTCACTCGCGAACCTAATGTTGTAACTCAGCAGTCTTATTTGTTAGGAAGGGAATATCATATTCTTTATTCAATTTATCGACAAGGGCTGTGTTGTAGAATATTTTCAGCCGACTTCAAAAAAATTCTCAATTCGGTTGAATTTATTCATTTAAGAACCGATTTTAAAAATTATTTTTGCATTGGCTAAATGGGACAGCCCGATATTAATGTAATTGTTATTTGACATTGACTCCAAGACACATTCGGGAACTCCTCAAAATCTAGTAGAAAATGTAAAGTGAGTGAGATATATACAGTCGGTTTTGTTTTGCTAATAAAAATCTTTTACTTGTTTAATTAAATACCTTTGTTAAATATTAGTACTAGCTGTCCCGGCAAACGTTGTTCTGCGATATAAATTATTTCTAGGGAATTTGGAGGATAGAAAAAACTGTTTAGGGTACACCACCCTTAACATGTAGGGGGATGAAAAACAGATTTTGTCCGATTCTCCACCCTGGCCGATATGCACACAAAATTTCACGAAAATCGGTCGAGCCGTTTCGGAGGAGTTCAATTACAAACACCGTGACACGAGAATTTTATATATTAGATATTGTCTTTGTATTGCAACGTCTTTGCTCAGTCCAAATGAAAAGACCGTCCTAGATGTAAGTAAGTAGAAACAATAGCGAGGCGGTATTATTAGTGTCAAGTAATTGGATCAACCTTGACGCGACAGTAACCCTTACTGCGGGGGATGCTCGACTGTTCGCAATACGATTGCATTTCGGAACGCAGTCCGCGCCGGCTGAATGTGGACGTGTCGCGCGTCGTGTTTTAAAAAAAAATTTGATGGCGGGAAGTGGCGCGTTTTTGGAGGTGATATTTGACGGTTCGATATTTTAGATTTTTGGGACTGTGGAGTTTAGCAATTCCGATGATAAATATGTTTGGTAGTAAAATAGAATGCAAAAGGTGGACGTCGACCAGGACATATCGGTAATGTACCTATTTAGATTTCTCTTTTTTTACAACGATTTTTTTATTAAAACCTAAATACTTAAGTGTCAAGTATATTGTGTATTATCTAAGTAATTTTATTAGTATCGTATTATTGATTCTAAGCAGTGTAATCTAACAAGACAATTAGAACAAATAATAAATGTTCATGTATTTATTTAAAATTTAAAGAATTATCAGATTTGTTAAGCAAATTTGAATAAAATGAAAATACATTTTTATAAAATTTTTGACCTTTGACGATACATGTAGATAACAAATACCAAAAAGTCAATAAATTTTCGGAGAGCTGAGGTGAATGATATTCTCTATAAACAAATTGCCTCTTTCATATTTTAATATTAATTACTGCTAGATTTAGACACAAACGTCAGCGACGAGTTCCTAATCGGATATCAAATAAGATTATGGAATAAGTCTAGATTTTAGATTAACTGGCTTAGCTCGTTATTAAAACCTAAGCATGTGTTTTGCAACGTAACTATTCTTGGAGCCGAGACGTTCTGTTTTCTATTATTTTACTTTAAATTACTCGTTTACGAAAGAGTTCGTCTTTACTCTAATTCAATGGATTTAATATAATTAATTAATTAGTTTAATAATTCTTTTCTCGCTCAAAGGTTAAGCATAACTATTCAGCGAGGAAATGCAGCTAGCGTTCTTGGTACCATGCCGCGGGACTAGGTTTATTAGATAATAAGTAATTGTAGATAGATTGAATGTTGCAAATATTGGATAAATAGATATTATTGAAAGAAAAAATGTTGTTTTAATTAAATGGTACAAAAAATTTTCGCAGATTTATTGAGTGCTGCATCATATTTGCCCTTATCTCTCTGGAGGGGCGCCCGCTTTAAATTCGGCATGCCTACTACATCGACCTGAGTTCAAAACCCGAAACCAAAGAAACTGCAAATGCTGTTGTAGCTGCTGATTAGCACGGCAAGGGAACGGCGTTAGGAAATTTGTATCCCTTCGAAATGATACAAAAATTCTGATATATGTGGATTCTGCCAATCCACATCGGGATAGCGTAGCAGATTATGCACTAATATCCTCTGTGTATCCCCAAAAGTATAAATACTTCTACTTTATCCAGGCCTTCAAAAGTAGTGGTCTGCCCTGTCTGCCCTAAAGAGGCCTGTCTTGAGAAACAGGTCTATTCATTCGGTATTAAATGTTGCATAAGTGATTTATTCTAATAAAATTTCAAAGTTTCGTAAAGTGCAAATTATTGGTTTAAAAAAATCAAAATTTAAATGATTCAAACATCATTTCAAAGCCGCTATTGATGAGATATATAAGAACATGTTCATTAAAAAAACTCGTAAAAAAATTTCCAATAAAGAGTGTATGATAATGCCATCTATTGACAATTTGTTTAAATGAAAGATAGCCAAGTAGACTGAAAAACTTTATATATATATATATATATATATATAGATATATATATATAATTCTCTGTAAGTGTGTATGTCACTGAACTCCTCCTAAACGGCTGGACCGATTTTAAGGTCAATTCGAGAATGGTTTAGATTCACAATTCGGTCAACTACAATGCTTTTTCTACTTTTTTTTGTTTATAAGTTGTTGCTGGATTTAAGTCTTGTGTACAGGACAAAATCTGTCGGTCCGCTAGTTTCTTATAATAAGATACCTTTCGTTCAGAAATACTTATTTACACATATTATCATTCGATAACTGATCACGGTAGGGTGCGAAGATTTCGGGTCAACTAGTAGTAACTGTATAGCAAATCTTTAGCGTGAGGGCGCGTGTGCGTTCGGAAATTGATTACGGCCAATTTTCAAACAGCCGTGCGGACGAAATCAAATACGCCTCGTTGCGTTCGCAAAATGCCGGTATCGGAAACCGGTATCTGGATTTCGCGGTGTTGCCATCGCCCACGCAGTGGCAAGCCAGAATTCGCCCTCCCACGCGGGGACGAGCTTTGGCTTCCGACTATGAGATTACGGTTTACGGACGGTGGACAATTTCACCGCGCTTAGCACTTATGCCGCTAGCAACTAAGTGCCGGTCAGTTAGCCCGCTTCTCATTTTTACTGACTTATTGTTTATGGGCTGTAAAGTTCTTAGTAGTGACGCAATGACCACGTTAGGAATAGTGCTGACCCACGTAACATGAGGTGAACCTGACCCATTTGCGTTTGAAATAAATAATACCACCATTTTACGATCTTAAAGTTCTACTTATCATATTTTAGGCCTTACCTCAATGATGTTTAATAAAGATGGCGCATGTCCATGCTGCGAGGCGATAAAAAATTGCAAATAATTGTTCCGCTTTACATTATATGACATAACCCTCCCTCCGCTAGGTTCGTTCCGGCGCAGTTGGTTTAGACCGCGACACGATCTCGACTTTTCTGACGATGAGACGACTATCGCCATCGACAGGATCAAACAGTTACGTAAACACAAGAGAACACACCGCACTCGCCGGCGAGTTCTATATACTAGCCATTCCGCCACGTACCTGGCAGGTTTACCCAGTTAATAATAGAAACGTTGCTGGAGTTTCTTCCGCCACTTCTTCTCCCAGCGCCAACGCTTTCCGAAGTCGTAATGATAGGTCTAGAAATTCCTCCAGTCAGATTATAGCTACCGATCGAGCTGAGGTCCAGCCCTCTCGGGCACACAGATTATGTAACTCAATGTGCTAAGATATTGCATGATTATATATATATATATATATATATCGTGCACGTAGGGTTCCGTACCAATAACTATCTATTATCTATAAAACGGAAAAAATATCGTGTCTGTTAAATGGGAGCTTCAATTAAATATTTTTTTATTCTGTTTTTTAGTATTTGTTATTTCAACTGTCCAGACAGACAGCCAAGTCTTCTTAATAGGGTTCCGTTAATAAAATGCGAAAAAAACAATTGTAGTTCGCGTAAAAATAAGAAAACATCAGGTTATGTCAGTACCATACTAGAATTTGATAGAAACTATACAAATATAACTAGGAAGTCGCTAATTTTATTTAACCAATGGTTCCTTGCGAATATTTCGGACAATACCGTGATATATTTTGAATAACTTTTTTTTCAATTATAGGTATTAAAAGAAAGTGTTTTTAATGTAAACATTAACTTTGTTCTATTTTTATATATTTCGTCTATAGCATCAAAGCTAATCATTAATATGGTGTTGTTTGATAAAGAATTATGGAAGTTGTGACGTTTTGCCAATGGAACACCCATGAGAAACAATATGTAGAGTATTGCAGAGAAATTGCGTTCATTTTACACAGAAGTGCTGACATTGTACTGAATAGAGTTAATTACGAGTACATATGAAAAACTGCGATATTTAGAGCAACAATAAGTAGCGACGTTTCCAAGCGATCCAATTTTTTTACAATATAACTCTTTCAAGGGATCTAGAATAAAATAAATCAGCATTTTGTAACTTATAAGAACTCACGCCTTGTTTATATTACCTATTATCGCTTTATGTAGCATTTACTTTAATCTTTGACCTTTGTCTAGCTGTGGGATATGTAATGGTCAATTGTTTTTAAGTATTAAAGTGATAATTTGTTATAAGAATAGATTTTTAATGGCCACAGGTTTACTTCCGGGTAACGTGTAGAAGTAGATTATTCATGACGGCTCCATCTAACACAATCAAGAAACATACACCATGTTCACATAGACCATGTTATCCAAGTCTAAAATAATAAAAGTAAATTAACATCCTATGTACCTATATATTTCCTCCTCACGATGTTTTCCTTCTCTGCTGAGCACGTGATAGGTCAGAATAACATGATAAAAGCTAATCAAGAAGCATTTAAATGGCCCGGTGCGAAAGGGTTACTTACACTCATGTCGAGTCCATTTTCGAATTGCCCCCACAACTATTAAATTCCTGTGGGTCTTGCTGCCCCTTTTCTGCTGGTGGTAAACGCAGAAAATTATCAACTAAGCAATAATGCGACCTTTAGGAGTATATGCGGGTTTCCTCACGATGTTTTTCCTTCTCCGCTGAGCACGTGATAAGTCAGGGTAACATAATACAAGCTAATCAATAACCATTCTTGGCGTCAGGGCTGCGGAATGCGGGCAGTCGGTGCGTTCTTTCGCCGGCAGCGAGGCTGGTGGGGTGTTGGAGGAGGCGGCGCGACTCCGCATCACGGACGAAGAAGAGGCCGACGTGGTGCTGCCCCACTTCCAGAGGGTCGCGATCAGCGGCGAGGACACTTCCGGGGTGAGTACAGCCCTACCATCGGTCACACTCACGCCCGTAATGCTAAGGTTTTCATGGGAACAAGACAGCTTACTTGGTGATAAAGGTTACCGCAGTCCATGAGCATAGGTGGTAGTTCCATGCAACAGTTTCAGCTTTTGCACGAATGGGCAGGTCCGTCCGGGCAAGTACTACGACCTCACAACTGGCGCGAAGTAGAAGTATACATCTGCGTTGCGTCTGGTGAGTGAGGCAGCCGGGGCCCACTTTATTAAAAGACGGCAATGCGTCTGCAACCCTACGGCTATTGCAAATGTCAATGGGCGGCGGTTATCACTTAACATCAGGTGAACCGCCAGATCGTTTGCCATGTTTCAAATAAAAAAAAATCAGTGGTGTTTCACTTGTACTGCGAAAATAAAGCGAAAGCCAGACGAAACTTCTCAGCTCGTCCATACTCCAATTGTCACTCGCCACAATAGAAAATATACATTCTCTCTAACTACACCATATCCCAACATAACCCTATTAACAGAACTAGTTAAACTGCGTCCACCGTTAGTGGACGTTGTCCCTAACTTTCTCGTCAACACAACCAACAGGCGTCCGAAAACCAGCCTCGTCTGAGCCCCGCCCCCCTGTCCGTAGTTACGCCGCGCGTGCCTTTCGCAGGTGCCCCTCGAGGACCTGCAGCAGGCGTCCTCGTACCTGGTGCAGGCGCTGGAGATCCGCAAGCGCTACATGGAGATGTCGCAGCAGAGCTTCGCCACGATCACGGCGCGCTTCGTGCGCAGCATGGACTCCGACGCGCCGCCCAACCACGCGCCCACCGCCAAGGGGCCCAAGAGCCACATCGCAGGTGACTCCCGTCTTCCTTGCTGGGGAACCCTGCTATGGATCTGCTACCCTACGGCGGTTAACACTTAACATCGGGTGAACCGGCAACTCGCTTGCCATTTCCTCGCATAAAAAATTACCACAAATGTTGCTATTCTCCGTGCGGTGGAAGCTGACGGGTCTCCGTCGAACTTGGGTGATCGGAGGTGACAGTAGACCGTACACACAAGCTAAATAGGTCTTTTCTCTGACAAGTGATAAGCGAACAGACGTGCTCTCGTATCCGATGATGTCTTGCATAATTGGTAATTGAGTAGAGAGATAACTGTTAGGATTCAAAGAACACTGGGTCTTTAATCAGGCGGCGGTATTCACTTAACATCAGGTGAACCACCTGCTCGCTTGGCAACTTTCCACATAAACAAAATAGTAAGGTAGTATAAGAGCTGAAAAGGGTGCTCGTCATCGCGACTGATCTATTCTCGTCCGGGTCAGATCACATCGTGCACCCGCCCTTCAAGGACAACAAAGACCCCTGGGAGGGCCCCACTCCCGGGGCGAAGGGCTACAGCATCCAGGCCGACCGCGGCGTCTTCAACCTGTACCGGGACGGCGAGCGAGTGCCCTACGAATATATCACTCTGCCCCAGTACATCCAGGACATGAACACCATGTGCAACATGATCGCCGACGGACCCCTGTGAGTGGCTAGGTCACCAAAAATCCAAAAAATTCAAAATCAAAATCATTTATTCAACGACATAAGAAATATGCATACCATCTATTGATAGTCAGCCTCGACCTCCTGGATTTAAATCAGCTATTAAATATAAAACGTGTCACGGATATCTTTAAAAGACGACTGGCCTAGTGGTAGTGTACCTGCCTCTTGCGCCGGAGGTTGCGGGTTCGATCCCCACTACTGGAAAAATATTGTGTGATGAACATAGCGTTTTTCTAGTGTCTTGGTGTTTATAAATGTATAATCATGTATTTATTTACAAAAGAATGTTAGGTATGTTTCAAGTATGTTTCATTATCAGTTATCTAATGCCCACAGTACAAGCGTTACTTAGTTTGGGACTAGAGAACGTTGTGTAAAAATGTGTCCTTAAATATTTATTTATAACTTTATCTTTGAGTTAAAACTATCGCACAGAGTATATTTTACCGCGAAAGAATTCTGAATTGTCAGATTGGCAAAATAAGTTTAATATATAATGAATTGCCACTACTAAATAATATGAATAATTTTGAACAAAAAAAAAACGAAGTTATTATACAATTATTTAAATATAGAAAAATATTGAACATAAAGTATAGTTTGTTTATTCGGTAGTTTTATTTTTTGTGATACAATACGAATTTAGTACATTTCCATAGATATTAAAAATATCTTCAATTTTATATACATTTTGTGTAAATATCTTCGATATTTAGATGAATATTGCTAAAGCCATGGAGCTTCAAAGACTGACATGTAGGTACTTGTTTTAATTTTAATTTTATTATTTGTTATAACATTTTATATTTACAAAGTATTATGAACAATATCATTATCATCACAATAGTTTACATCGACCGCTATCGCCAGCGTTAATTGCCGAAGGAATATGATGGTGCCTATCATCATTATCTCAGCCAAGACATCACCAGTAGCGGCCAAGATGCGGAACAGTGCATTCTGGTGTTCTTTCAGGAAGTCGTTCTGCTATCGGCGGCTGAGCTACCTCTCGTCCAAGTTCCAGCTTCACGTGCTCCTCAACGAGCTGCGAGAGCTCGCCTCCCAGAAGGCTGTTCCTCATAGGGACTTCTACAACATCAGGTGCGCTCCGCCCTCCTAAGGTTTTCTCTTATCCCTCTTAGTTTTGCCCCCCTCTCAATTTTGTTTCCATCTTAATTTTGATCCCACCTCAGTTTTGATCCTACCTCAGTTTTGATCCCACCTCAGTTTCGATCCCACCTCAGTTTTGATCCCACCTCAGTTTTGATCCCACCTCAGTTTCGATCCCACCTCAGTTTTGATCCCACCTCAGTTTTGATCCCACCTCAGTTTCGATCCCACCTCAGTTTTGATCCCACCACAGTTTTGCTCCCATCTCAGTTTTGATCCCACCTCAGTTTTGCTCCCACCTCACTTTTGATCCCACATCAGTTTCGATCCCACCTCAGTTTTGATCCCACCTCAGTTTTGCTCCCACCTCACTTTTGATCCCACATCAGTTTCGATCCCACCTCAGTTTTGATCCCACCTCAGTTTTGATCCCACCTCAGTTTTGATCCCACCTCAGTTTTGATCCCACCTCAGTTTTGATCCCACCTCAGTTTTGATCCCACCTCAGTTTTGATCCCACCTCAGTTTTGATCCCACCACAGTTTTGCTCCCATCTCAGTTTTGATCCCACCTCAGTTTCGATCCCACCTCAGTTTTGATCCCACCTCACTTTTGATCCCACATCAGTTTCGATCCCACCTCAGTTTTGATCCCACCACAGTTTTGCTCCCATCTCAGTTTTGCTCCAACCTCAGTTTTGATCCCACCTCACTTTTGATCCCACATCAGTTTCGATCCCACCTCAGTTTTGATCCCACCTCAGTTTCGATCCCACCTCAGTTTTGATCCCACCTCAGTTTTGATCCCACCTCAGTTTTGATCCCACCTCAGTTTCGATCCCACCTCAGTTTCGATCAGTTTTTGATCCCACCACAGTTTTGCTCCCATCTCAGTTTTGATCCCACCTCAGTTTGATCCCACCTCAGTTTTGATCCCACCTCAGTTTTGATCCCACCTCAGTTTCGATCCCACCTCAGTTTTGATCCCACCACAGTTTTGCTCCCATCTCAGTTTTGCTCCAACCTCAGTTTTGATCCCACCTCACTTTTGATCCCACATCAGTTTCGATCCCACCTCAGTTTTGATCCCACCTCAGTTTCGATCCCACCTCAGTTTTGATCCCACCTCAGTTTTGATCCCACCTCAGTTTTGATCCCACCTCAGTTTCGATCCCACCTCAGTTTTGATCCCACCACAGTTTTGCTCCCATCTCAGTTTTGATCCCACCTCAGTTTTGATCCCACCTCAGTTTTGATCCCACCTCAGTTTTGATCCCACCTCAGTTTCGATCCCACCTCAGTTTTGATCCCACCACAGTTTTGCTCCCATCTCAGTTTTGCTCCAACCTCAGTTTTGATCCCCACAACTCTCCTATTTTACGGGAAAGATAATTTATTAATTCATTTTTCTGACAATTAGGATTCAGGTTAACCAAATTTAAAAGTATCCCTGAGGCAGTAGTTAACATCTAGCGTCGACGTCCATAGTCACTGAACCATCTCCTCGTGGCTTATTAAGTAATCGAGCCAATTCGCCAGCGGTTGCAGCTTGTTAAGATTACTTAGGCCGAATAAGCGGTCCTGTAACTTGCAACGTACGAGCCGTGAATTTTTTTGTGAATGTGATACACGTCTTTCGGCGCGTGAGGGTGAATTTTTACGGTGCTGCTACCAATGATGTTAAATAATATAGATGACGCATGTTCATACTGCGCGGCGTTTAAAAATTGTTCCGCTTTACATTATATGACATATATTAGTGACTGTGACAGATAATATAGAAAGTATGACATGGAAAAAGATAGCAGTCTTTAGAGTTGCGAACCAATTACACCAATTAGCGTAATTTGGGCGCCTCATTTTTGGTGCACACAGAAATTACTAAAGTGTCGTATCTACCTCATATTCGGATATAATATCGTTGGTGCTCGACACCTAAAAGCGAGACCAACATCACGGTATTGCCTTCGCAACTGATACTATACTTTAGTCAGCGTTCGGAGCAGTTTAGCTTAGCGGTTGAAGCGTCTGGATGCGCTTCGTCAAGACGAGGATTCGATTCCGTCAGCGGCGAAATGCTTTTCGTCCATTTTTTCTACAAATTTTAATAGCACAAACTCGCTCACACAAACTCTTCCATTGTAACATATCCAATCATAATCATAATCATCTTTATTTGCAGAAATATGGTAGATAAAGATTTTCAGTATAGACAAAAGTACAGACATATTTCGCCTCATTGGCATGCAAATATTTCACAAATAAATAATATAATTAATACAAACACAATCTAAGCCAATCAAATACTATTAATTACCTAAATTAAAACAAAATGAACAAAAATTGTCGAAATTTTAAGCAATAACAAATGATATCAATCACAAAAATAAATAGAATATAATGTCATAATTCAATACAATCATAATTACAGTAATTGAGAAAAAAAAAGTATTAATATGTAGTATTTTATGTGTTTTATATAATAATAACATAATTCAATGTCCCATTACAAATATAGCAGATACAAAGTAATTTTAAAAACACAACACAATATATCACTCGTTTGTTCTATAATCAAAGAATTCTTGCAGGGTATAAAAACATTTATGTATAAGCCAACGTCTGAGGGCATTTCGAAAAAAATTAAATTTTAGTTCTCGAAATTCTCTTGGTATTTTGTTATATATTTTAATACACATAAAATGACTATTTCTTTTAAACAATGTTGTTCTACATTTAGGTATTCTTAAGGGTGTTTTATCTCTTAGACGAAGTCTTTTGTCATTGTCATTATCGAATAAAATATCTAAGGAAAATTATCAAAGTTAAATTAATCGTGTTGACAATCTTGTAAATATTCTCGTCATAGGAAAGTGGACACTCACATCCATGCCGCGTCCTGCATGAACCAGAAGCACCTGCTGCGCTTCATCAAGAAGACCCTGAAGAACCACGCCGATGAGGTGAGCCCTTTGCAGATCGTGTGGTTGTGGTCAACTTTGGATTTTATTAAAAAAAAAACATAATTTGAAAATTAACACATTATGACAGTTGCGTTTTTTGTAAGGATAAACCTTACTATCCCCTACTTAATATTATAAATGCGAGAGTTTGTATGTATGAATGGATGTTTGTTACTCTTTCACGCAAATACTACTGAATGGATTTTAATGAAACTTTACAATAATATAGCTTATACTTCATACGTAGGCTATAATTTATACACATACTTTTATGTATATCTGTCTTTCTGTCTGAATGTTACTCCTTCAGTCTATCCTTCGCAGACGTAGTCGCGGGCAGCAGCTAGTAAGGATATAAATAAGCTTCCAGTTTGAACGGTCTGCCGAACCGCTTCGGCAAATTATCTTTAAAATAACTGGATTGTGTCGATATATATCTTTTGTTTACTTTTTAATGACGATACTAGATGATGTCAAAACCAGATGGACCAGTAAGTCCGTTAGAATAAAAAGTATAAAGATAAAATAAACTTACACACAGACAGGGCGATTGGAAAGAGGCGTCCTCTTGCCAGTTTTCTTGTTTATTTATACAAAAATGTTTAAAAATAAAAAAAATATCAAGTCAACGGGATACATATTATGTTTAAAATTTCTACATTTTCAATAATTAACGACAATTGAATGAAATATTTTTGGGAATGTTATTGGAGCGGACTTTTTGTGTCGCAGTCCTTAACACATTATAAAAGATTTGAAATAATTTTCACTGATAACATGCTTGCATATTTAACTCATTATGGTGGTAACAAGAAAACATTTCCAAACAATATTCAAATATGATATTTCACATGTCCCAATATCACCCTCAACGATATCAAAGCTGATTATGATACAATTTGTTTCTAAATCATTATAAACAAAAAAATGTCTAAGAAAATGCCTAATGGTTTCAAAGCAAATTACAAGTGTTAGTTCGGTCTGATGATTTCTTCGCCCTTGTCCATCCAGGTGGTGACGCTGCACAAAGGCACTCCCATGACCCTGAAGGCGGTCTTCCAGAGCATGAACCTCAGCACCTACGACCTCACCGTCGACATGCTCGACGTGCACGCGGTCAGTACTTAGTACTACTTAGTTCTACTTAGTACTACTTAGTATTACCTGGTTCTACTTAGCACTACTTAGTACTACTTGGTTCTACTTACCCTCTCCACTTAACAGATTAGCAAAACAGCTCTTGTAAACAGGCCAGCTTCACAAGGAAGTGATCCCTCGTGGTAGAGTCACGCTGTAGTCTTCACTGTTGCACGAATGGGCAGCTCCGTCCGGGGGAGTATCACGACCTCACAGGAGACCGGCGCGAAGTGGAAGCGTTGTTTTTCTACGTTTCGTCTGGTGAGTGAGGCGACCGGGGCCCACCACAACGAAAGGTCATGGCAAATGTCCACGGGCGGCGGTTATCACTTCACATCAGGTGTACCGCATCACGTAACAACACTGTCTCGCATAAAAAAAGCAACTGCCTTGAAATTGGACTCGATCTTGTGTTTGTACCACCGTTTCCAGGACAGGAACACCTTCCACCGCTTCGACAAGTTCAACGCGAAGTACAACCCGATCGGCGAGAGCCGGCTGAGGGAGGTCTTCCTCAAGACGGATAACTACATGAACGGGAAATACTTCGCGAGGATCATCAAGGTGATCAGCACTTCTGCGACAAAATGGCTAGGCTACGGATTTTTTTGGGCGGCGGCCAGAAAGGGTTTTTTCCGAATGTCCAGTATTTTTAAATTATATATTTTTTGATAAATAGTTCGGGTATAACTCCGATGATGACGGATTTTCTTTTTTTTTAGAAAGGGTTTTTTCCGAAATGGTCCAGTATAAATTTCATATAGATCTGATGATGAGTTTCGGAAATAGACAACATGACTCTTCTAATAATGACTGCAAATCTACCGCGATTGCTGCAATCTCATAAATATGCATTGTTTTGCGAAATCACACAACATCCTATTTACTATACTATAATATCATCCTATATACTATATTTAATATGCCGTTTTCGCGTTCATAGCTATGGGCTCAAAAAAATTGTTAAATCAAGTTACGAGGTTAGGTTTTCAACATTTGATAATATACGTAATATATCTAATAATGCGAAATCCATCGTTTTATTATAAAGTTTTTAGTGCTAATAGAGTTTTTTGAGGTCGTTTCTCATATTTGTTAAAAAGCTTTTTATATAAAGCGTCTTCGATCACTTTGGTAACCGTTGCCTTCGACGTAGTGAAGTGTGCGGTCCTCATCGGCTACGTGCCCGGCAGGAGGTGGCGTCCGACCTGGAGGAGAGCAAGTACCAGAACGCGGAGCTGCGGCTGTCCATCTACGGCAAGGGCGCGGGCGAGTGGGCCAAGCTGGCTCGCTGGGCCATCCAGTACGGCGTGCACTCCAACAACGTGCGCTGGCTCATCCAGATCCCGCGCCTCTAGTCGGTACCGGCCCCTGGCTCCTCTCCTGGACTCCAAATCCCTTTGCCCGCGGCCACTGACCTCGCCCTTCCCTCCGCAGCGACATCTTCAAGTCCAACAAGATCATGAACAACTTCCAGGAGTTCCTCGGCAACATCTTCCAGCCGCTCTTCGAGGTCACCAACGACCCCAACAGCAACATCGAGCTGCACAAATTCCTCACCGTGAGTTCTATCGCTGATCGGCGATCGGCGATTCAAGGCATTTTTTTTTTTGGGAAAACTCCCACATAACTGTATACCCACTTGAGGAGAAGGTGTTTGCAAGATTTTCCGGTACTAAATAAATCATCCGAACTAAATGTTATACAAGAAACAGTAGATCTAAAAACGTTTACAGACAAGAAAACGTGTCGGTGCGGGTTACATACTGTTAGACTATAGCTATCGGTTTCGGCATCGTGGATCGTGGGTTCGATTCCCACACGGGACAAGTATTTGCGCGTCCCGCCGATGATTGTTCCGGATATGGGTGTAAAAACCATAAACCCAGCCAATAACTCTGACTACATACTTGACAATTGTGGGTCGACAGCGCGTGTTGTGCTCGCAAAGTTAGGTTAAGTGCCGGAGAAAGATGCACCGACACTTAGCTGAACCGGGTGTCCTTACCCTGGTTCCTGTGTCCCTGGCGGACGGGAAGGTGCCACGTGGGTTCTTAGCGGGGACTATCGGGGAGTGTCACACACCCCTGTCCACCCAAAACGCGGCGGATGAGGAAGAGAAGGAGAGAGGAGTGTACGTTTGGCCTTGTGCCCCAGCACGTGGTGGGCTTCGACAGCGTGGACGACGAGTCGAAGCCGGAGAACCCGATGCTGGACGCGGAGGTGCGCCCGCCGCTGGGCTGGGACGACGAGGAGAACCCCCCCTACGCGTACTACCTCTACTACATGTACGCCAACATCACCGTGCTCAACCACTTCCGCAAGTGAGTGCTACCTTACGGTGGTAGGGCCACGCAGCAGCCTCGGCTGTTGCACGAATGGGCAGGCCCGTCCGGGTAAGTACCACGACCTCACAGAAGACCGGCGTAAAGTGGAAGTATGACAAATACTTTCGCGTTTCGTCTGGTGAGGTAGCCGGAGCCCAATTTTCAAAAGGTTGTCAACGCATCTGTAACCCTCGGGTGTGGCAGATGTCCATGGGCGGCGGTATTTACTTAACATCAGGTAAACCGTCTGCTCGTTTGACAACTTTTCGCATAAAAAAAAAAAAAAAAAAAAAAACCTTCCAGCCCTCATTACGGCCCGCGGCAGCTGCGTTCGCCCGAATGGCCAAATCCGTCCGGGCAAGAGCGGCGCGATTCGGAACTGGCGAGTGAGGTAACCGGGGTTCCTAAAAGTTGTCTATGTTCATGGCACTTAACACCACTTGAAGCGCCTGCTCACTTAGACACTTTTCAGATGAAAAAAAATATCTCTTAAACTTTCTTCTGCCTCTTTCACACTTCGAGCTGACGCGCTGATGTTAGATGATAAACCGCCGCCCATGGACTTTTGCAACACCAGTAGCAGATGCGTTGCCACCTTCTAATAAAGTGGACCCCGGCTGCCTCATTTACCTGACGAAACGCAGCACTTCCACGTCATGCTGGTCTCCTGTGCACCGTACTGCTCATTTGTGCAACAGCGAAGACTACCGTTTCTGTAATCAGTACAAATGGTATTTCTTGCGCAACAGCTATGGCCGTGTTCTGCTAACGGCGCCGGCACCAATGAAGTTTTTAACTTTGAGTGCTAACTTATCAAGTGCTCCGCGGTGAAGGAAAACATCGTGAGGAAACCTGCATATTTCCGAAATAATAACAAATTTTTTTTTCCAAGATATGTGAAGTCCGCCAATACGCAGTGGGGCCGCGTGGACTATGCCCTGATACCCTCTGTATAGAGGAGGCCTTAGCCCAGCAGTGGGACATGTATAGGCTGTTACTTTGCTTTAATTTACTCTGCTAACGGTAGATCCATATCAGCATCATTAATCTATATAATATATAAAATTCTCGAGTAACAATATTACTCGTAGTTCCGATAGTTCCTCCTCCGAAGCGACTTGATCGATTTTTATAAAATATTATAGGTACATTGTATATTTGGTAGGTCTGAGAATCGGTCGTAATCTATTTTTATAAGTGATAAGGGTTGTCCACCCTTATTTTTTTATATGGAAAAACAATGTTTGCTAGGTCAGCTAGTAACCATATAGAAACTTCGTTAGTTGGACCACGTTTAGATTTTTGGTGCCGTTGCAGGGAGCAGGGTCTGAACACGTTCGTGCTGCGGCCGCACTGCGGGGAGGCTGGGCCCGTGCAGCATCTCGTCTGCGGGTTCATGCTCGCTGAGAACATCTCCCACGGACTGCTTCTGAGGAAGGTGGCGTATCTCCATATTGTATCATTGTTCGCAATAAGCTGGATTCAAACAAGCTGCTGTTGAGAACAGCCACACTTTAATGCATATCCGATTGCCCGAAGACTTCAGGTTCTGTTTGTCCAATTGTTTTACGTTACATTACTGCCCATTTGATATTTTGTTTCTCGTCAGTATCAGTAATCCGAATCCGTTCTTAAACACACTATGCATACCACCATGCATATACACTACACTTGGCTATCTCACTCACCGGACGAATCGTAGGGGTATAACACTTCCATTTGACCTCAGTGAGGTCGTGGTACTACCCCGGCCGGACCTGCCAGTCCGTGCAACAGCGAAGACTGCTGCGTGCCCCCCCCCCCCCCCCCCCCCCACGTGTATAAAGTTTCGTGCTCCCCCCCCCAGGTGCCGGTGCTGCAGTACCTGTACTACCTGGCGCAGATCTCGATCGCGATGTCCCCGCTGAGCAACAACTCGCTGTTCCTCAACTACCACCGCAACCCGCTGCCCGAGTTCCTGGCGCGCGGCCTCTGCATCACGCTCAGCACCGACGACCCGCTGCAGTTCCACTTCACCAAGGTCTCCCAGGGGACCCGCTTGTCGCCGCATTCCTATTTGTGTATAGGCCCATAGGCCGCTATTGAGTCTTCCCTTTGAAAGCATTGCCTTACTCTAGGATAACGCTGTCCTTGTTGTAAGGACAGGGAATACATAAGTTTCACGTGAACAAAAAACACATTCGACATTAGAAACATAAATTTCATCTATCGATATTTATTGTTTTTTTTTAAATCTACCACCGCTTCGTGTTGAAATTTCTCTAAAGGACAAGAAACCTGCGAAAGAAACACCGTAGTTATCCTCTTTTTGTCATTATTTTCCCCTCAAAACATTGATATATTATACAAATTTCTTTTTTCTTTTACGAGTAGCTCGGGAACGATCAACTCATTCCCAGGGGTTATTATTTATTATAACCCGTTTTATAAAGTTTGTCTTTAATAATTCTTTAACCTGTTAACAGGCAGGTTTTGCGCATTTACTGGGATAATATTGTTGAAGCGTATACACCGCCCCAAGAACGAGTTACTTGCTTTATGGAGTCGAAATGGACGAACATCCAAATCCGAAACAATCATCTGATCAATCATGAAAATCGTCTTAAGTCGTGAGCTTGATTTCTCTGGTGTCCAGGAGCCGCTGATGGAGGAGTACAGCATCGCGGCCCAAGTGTGGAAGCTCAGCTCTTGCGACATGTGCGAGCTGGCGCGCAACTCCGTTCTCATGTCCGGATTCCCCCACGAGGTGTGCTTTTTCGCTACTCTTTGTTGGAATGAACATAGCAGTCTTTTAGACCCACCAGGTTGACTGATAGGGAATGTTTTATGTTAAGTCCGTCTGTACAAAAGATTTGTGTTAAAGTTAAATAAATAAAGTATAGCATTTTCGAGTATACCTTTACATATATAGCGTGTCTTTACCACCGCGACAATAAATGATCACACGTCTCTACTTGCCAATAACCATAAAAAAATATTACTGTTAAAAAATTCATAATTAAAAAAAAATATTGTTCAAACAACCTAATTAAGTAAAAAAGAAACAAAATTTGTAACATCCTATACAACTACAACTGACTGATTCATACATTCAGAGACTTTTTCATTCTTTGCCACGGCGTCGCAATACAAGGCTCTCCTTCTAACAGTATGTTTTGTCTCTTTTAAATTCATTCAACCCATTCATTTGCTTTGTGACCTTTACAAACGAACTTGTTTTATACGTAAGGATGTTCTAAAATTCTTTGTTTTGGAAAATTTGATAACTCGGTAAATATTGATGTTTAAAGAATGTAAATCTTTAATACAATTTTAAATGTTATCCTCTATCATTTCAGCCTGTTTGAGTCCACTGCTGAATATAGGCCTTATCTTCTATATGTGTGTTCATTTATTGTCGCGATGGTAAAGACACGCTGTATAATTCTTCTGTGCTTGTGAATGTCACTGAACACCTAAACGGCCGGACCGATTATAATGATATTTTTTGTGTCTTCAATTGAATTCAAGAATGGTTATAATAATAGATTCACAAAGTTATTTTTTTATTACGTTAAGTTTGAAATTTTCGAATTTAAGACGTGTGTACAAAACAATGTTAAACATTGTTTGCAGAGTTATTACTAGTAACCAATGCTTGATTACCTTTCAAATTGCTCCTGTTGATATTTGGCAGAGCTTTTGAAATGCGTTGAGTCAATGCTATTACTTAGAAAGAGAGGGTATTACTATATAGGGAGATAGTAATAAGTACTTTTTATATTCACAGCGTCAAGTTGTAATTTTCACACCAGATAAGGTCAATTTCAGTGCGGGACATAAAATATGATTTTACGCTAGGTTAGACCTGTTACTGTTATAATGCAAGAATAATGATCATTTGAATGAAACTAAATAGTATTCAACTCATAGAAAAGCATGAGCCTACGAGTATGTATATACAGGTCTATATATAATTATAAATGGGCCGGCCAGATGAAGCAGTACTGGCTGGGGCCAAACTACACCAAGGAGGGCGTCTCCGGCAACGACATCACGCGCACCAACGTGCCCGACATACGCATCTCCTTCCGCTACGAGACGCTGCTCGACGAGCTCACCAACATATTCAAGGTGCGCGCACAGGCACACATCCATTCGCACAACCCACACGCACACTTACACAATCTAACGAAGGCACACCTCAGCAACAACGGACACGTTTGTCGGGTTTAATTGAAGTTTTGAATCACACACGCACATTCGCACGTACTCTTACACACACGCGAATGGACATAATATACAAATATTATGTAAACACACTACTCAACATTAAACATACACCAGGGGTTCAACATGCGCACAAGTGCTAGTATATTATCAAATTTTGACTCACACACGTATTCGCACACACTCGTACACACACGCGAATGAACATAATATGCGAATATTATGTATACACACTACCTACCATTACATAAACCTATAAAGGGGTTTAGCATGCGCAGGAGCGTTAGCACGTAACCTATGTTTGACTCACACACACATTCGCACGCACTACTACACACATGCGAATGGCTAAACTATGTGAATATACACACACTACCTAACATTACACATATCATTAAAATAGATTAATACGCACAAGCGCTAGCAGGTAACAAAAACGCGTGCTATGAAAGAATAGAGGAGTGCGCACTCCATTAGGTTTGGCGCAACCTACACCTCACATACAAACTATTGATATCCCATAAATACATCACATACAAGTGATTACAGATGGTAGCTTCCTCGTTACTCTAATACCGCTAAGAAACTATTTTACTGATTCTTCTGCATTTTAGATTAATTTAGTTTTTCGACATTTCAATTACTAGCGTCAACGGGTAACGTATGAGTCTGTCCCGTATATTCAATGAGTAAAATAGTTTAATTTAATAACATCACCTTATATTTATAACTTCTGTGAAATCGTATTAACATATGTGTTAGCTATTTGTGATGTTCGCCGTGCTATTGTATGGAATTGATTTCATGGGATCTTGTGCTAATTTTGCTGGTTATGTCATCGTCGTACAATTTACATTTAAAGTAAAAGTTAAATTCAAAGTTTATTTTTGAATTTCTTCTTTCAGATAGAATAATTGACGTAATTTTGACAAAAGTGTGACTAATAATTGCATAATTATGTATGATTAAATCTATTGCATGAGAATTTACATATCATTTAGGTTCCATGTCTAAACACAGAAAACTAACGGTTCATTTTATTAGCAGTGCTCCTCTATGCTAAATACAAGTTTGATCGGTAGAGCGACAAATTGCCTTCTAAAGGTCTTTATATCTGAAATGAATGTGACAATGAATGTGACATCATGCCATTTGTGCTAATAAACAATTTATACAATAACAATCACTATATTGAAAATGTTATTACTGTTTAAAATCCCTCGTGGCATTTTCTTTACCACTGTAAAGTAAGTGATACGAAAAGAAGGTCTACTGCTGATCGGATGAAACGGACAAACCTATAATGAAACGCGCATCAATTGTAACACATAAAACCCATTTCAGGAAGGGATGTCGAGTCGCAGATAGACAACGAGAACAGACAACAGGACACTTAACTTTATGTAGTATTTACTCAGAAACGCCGACAGCTCCCATATAACCTACTTGCCCACAGATAAAAAACATGCAATAAAAAAAACATAAAATCTAACAAGGAAGACTACGGATAAATCGCTACAGTCTGCATACAAGTTTTTTCCCTTAATTACATTTCCACAAAAAAAAACAAAAAAAAATCCCTTCACAAAAGGTTTACAAAATTGATCAACAAAATACATCGTATTATGAATCTGATGCCATTTTTTAAATAAGTAAGCAATTCGTAACACTCACTTGTTAGTAATTTCTTTCATTTTCATGTTGAACTTGCAATTTATTATATGCCTATGAAAAATAACAATTTTTGTAATAAAAAATGACAATAAACGATCGCATATTAACGCCCTGTAACACCCATTTTTTTTCTCTTAAATAACATTGACAATTAAGTTATTTACTTATGCGTAGGTATCACGTAAGTGTGTTATATGGGTTTTGTCTGTTTTTATGTATAATAAGTAAACTATATGTTGCAACATATTTAGGGCTTATATAAAGTGCCCCAATTTAACTTGTTAACGTTTCTAGCGTGTTAAGGTTTCCACAATGTGATAATTAGGAGTGATAGTTCTCTAAGCTTGCAAGTGCCATTTCATTTGTCTTATTTTTAATCTGTACCCGCCGTTTGTCATGCCAATACGTTCGCATATATGTTGCCTTGTGTTTTGTATAAAATGTTTTTTAAAGCAAATAACATAATATAACCAATTAATTTTTTATCTGTTTCCAGTAGTGGCAAATCTCTGAATGCATTTTAATAATTTTTACGCATATATTTTTCTACTGTTTCGATATTTTTAAATGAAAATATTTAGTTATTACATCTTAACTATTTATTTAACGATGGAATCAGAATATTTTCAATCAATTTATGATTTTATATTAATTTTTCTACTTTAAATATTTGAATCTCTTCCGTATTTAATGATTTACGTTATTGTATTTATTTACACATCAACCTTTACGAAATATCAAATATGATAATTAGCTGATTCGATGGGTTTTCTGCTTTATCTGGTTATAACCGGATTGAAGGTGTAAAGCTTTTTGTTGTTCCTCTGTGTTACCATGTCGATGATGTATCGTGTAATATGTGTCTGCTTTTATAACCTGTATTTCTGTTTGTGTTATTGGCTTAATGCTGAATTATGGAGTTTAGAGATAAGGAGTAGTATCCAAATGTATATAAAATGTGCATATAATAGAATTCATTAAGATGGCGCTACTGTATCATAAGTCCCACATTTCATAGAAAACGACAAAATTGTTAGCACTTGGATACAGATAGACATCCGCTATATAAAGGCTTAAAGCTTTGAATTGAAACTAATAAAATCCTCAACTAAATCTTCAACTTTAACTCAAAGATTGCTGGTTCATTTTATACTTATTTACTTGAGCATACTTCACAACGTGTCCTTCCGTTAACTTGCAAGTTTAACTCTGATGCTACAAATTACTTTATTCTACAAATTTTCGTGGACACTATTTCAGTTAGCCCAATTTTCAAAAGGTTGTCAACGCATCTGTAACCCTCGGGTGTGGCAGATGTCCATGGGCGGCGGTATTCACTTAACATCAGGTGAACCGTCTGCTCCTTTGACAACTTTTCACATAAAAAAAAATTAAAAACACATGATATACTAGTCCTTATCCTCTGTACTCTACAAGCTGGGTGTATTTATGTTAGTGACTGAGGAAGCGTTTCAATCAAAGTTTTCTTCAGCTAAATATTTTTTACCAAAGTAACTTTTATTTATTAGATACTGACACTCGAGAAAGATTCGTTGCATAATTTTCTTTTGTACTTGAAGCGGTGATCGAAAGATGTCAGACATAAAGCATTTGATAATTAGCGCGAGTTTTGACCAGACGGCATAATGCAAGCAAATACTATTTTGTTTCTATATGGCAAAATTCTTATTATTAAAACTAATATTTATATTCTCTTTATATTTATATAGACGGCCCCGAGTTAATGCATTATGCCTGAATAGTTTAATTTACATAATGAAAATATTAAACATCAATTGCGGTCTATTTTACATCATATTACAGTTAAAATATTGTTTTCTTTAATTAATTAAAAGTACCAAAAGGAACACAAAACTATTATTTGTACTTAAATCTATAATTTTTTCGATCTTCATGCACTGCAGTTGTTGTTAATGTATAGAAATGTTTTTACACTTGTATGATATACATACAAACATAATTATATCGAAATGAATGTTATCATGTTGCTGGAAATAAATTTTACTAATTTAAATCGATTTTTCATGCTGGCAATATCTGCCGTTATCTGTCAGCGCATCCATTGCATAGTTTACAGATATAGATCCTATTTTTAACTGACTTCAAAAGGAGGCATGTTTGTTATGTTTGTTACCTGAGAACTCTGTAGAGACTGAAGTAATCGATTTTGATGATCCTTTTTTTATTTGAAATCTTGAGCTTCCCATGTGGTCCCATATTAATTTCATTGATATTGGATTTGGGCTCCGGAGATACTTAAGGAACTCCTAAAAATCAATTATATATAAATGGAATACGGAGTGATATATTTGAAGTCGGTTTTCTTTTTCATTAATAAAAATAGACTTGTTTTTCTATATAATATTTCAATGCATCCAACATAACACAATAGCATTGTTATTATTACAAACATACAATAATATATACGAAAAGCTTAAATATGTTTCTTTTGTACGCTAGATACAGCGGTGCGCAACGCCCTTCTCTTCCGAAGGTACTTCTGGCCCTTAGCTGTGAAATCTGTGATTTTGGCCTACTTTATAACGAATACGTTTTGCATCTTATGCATTCACAACAGTCATTTGTTCAAATCTTACAGATTTTTCACACCGATTTCACAGTGAATGTCTAATTTGCATGTTAATTGATGTTTCGATCAATATTTCATGATCTTTTAAGAGTTCCATTAAACATCAGTACGGATAAAAGTTTTTATTTAATTCTCTGCTCCCATAACCGTCAACATTTGTCAATATATTATTATACGCTACATTTTTAAGTATTTCTTTAATTTGGGTGTAATGGTAGGTTCCCGTCAAGTTACTTGCCTTCGCAGCCATGAAATATTAACGTGAATAACATTCATATTAGTTATTTTTAAAAGTAAATAACATTACATATGTAAGCCTCGTATATTACTGGCAACACTCCTAAAAAAATTGTAAGGAGTTATATTTTTCCATCATTGTAAATAGACAAAAACATTATAAATAGATTACACAAAATTTCTTTGTGACGAAATATATGTGAATGGGTTGTGATGTTAGTCAATGTTGTGTTTTAAACTTTATTTATTATGGAGTGTAGCTTTCACTGGTGGCATGGTACGTGTTTGTGGAGTCGTATATATCGTAAGTATAGAAAGGTAACTTTTTTTTAAAAATAGGATTTGATGCTGCAAAATGAACTACTTCAACTTAATAAGGGATTATCATGGTTGTGTTGCCGCCTCACTCAACCAAGACTTTCTTTGTCAAACTTTTTAACAACTTGTTTTTAAAAACTTGTTTCATTTATAAGTATAAAAACACCGCACAAGTTTAAATAGTGATAAAGTTAGGCTAGAACAGAATTGGGATTTAGAAATATCGATGAACAAATAACTAACTTCGAGATTATCAAATATCACAACAAAGCTGTGTAACTATCTAGTAACATATCATATTATTCATGTGCTGTTCCTTAAGATATGTTCTCTAAGTCTGTAGTAAACTCGCATTTTAGAAGCAACAATAAGTCAGCCAATAATTGCAGACGCCATAAAAAAGTTTATAAAATATGTATCAAAATCTTTTTTTAAATGAAACATTGTACACAGATTATAAATGATGCTACAGATTAAGTTTATATTATGCCCTAACCTTAACTTTTCAGTCTCGCCTCTCAGTCCGCCAATTTTCAAATGGCCCAGCGCCCTCGACGCCGCCGCTCAACATTAAACCGCCCATCGTCAGTCTCAAACGGCCATCTTTAGTTTAAAACTAATTTAAAGCTTTGTTTTTTAGATTAATTTCTATTTTTAGTTTTGTAAACACAAAATAGACTTATTTTCAAGTCGACATTTTATAAAAATTAGTCAAAGTAAAGACGAATGCATTCATATTTCACGATCTTCCAATATGCACTTAATCGTACGATGAAGCTGACTTCAACAAGATGGCGTATATTTACTTTTTTGTCTAAATGTCAACAGTGAAAATATAAAAAAGCTGTTTTAAATTACCTATTTTTCAACAAATTTTCTTTGCAAGCCGTACTTTTCAAATGACATTTGACAGATCGCAGTCATTCGCGATCATTGACGTTCCTATTCTTATTTGAAACCAGTTTGAAACGCATTCTATGTAATGTTGCACTTGTGTTGACGTGGAAAAAATATTTTTCCGCTAGTATTATGTAAATGAACTGGATGATAGATGTTTTGGTTTGTTATTTTGCAATGAAATATTATTATACTATGTTCCGCGACGAATAATTACTATTGTATTGTAAATTTTTATTTAATTAAAATAAACAACTATTGGAGAGTAGCAAATTGTTTTATTTTCCCTGGACCCAAAATGTGGAATATTATATCTTTAACCAAACAACTTTCTAGGAGAGTTGTCAAACGAACAGATGATTCATCTGCAACAACATCCATGGACAACTACAATAATAGCAATTATGCTGCCAAACTAAAGAAGAGAATAGCGGTTTCCTATGTACCCGACGAAATACAAAGGATAGATACCTTACGAGCGGGTCATTCATGCAGAAGTCTGATTCTTTGCTTCACTTTAGTAGAATTTCAATTGTAACGTGACAGCATTTTATGGTCATTAATATTGAACAATTATTAACCCGTTTGGCACGTAGTGGTTGGTAGCCGTCTGTAAAAAATAGTATTGTGCTGACTCCGTGGCACAGTTGCAAGGTATTGACTTAGGGGTCGTGGGTTCGATTCCCACACAGAACAACTATTTGTGTGATCCACAGATAGTTTTTTCGCGTCTGAGTGCTTGTCCACACGTGAAATTTATGTTTGTAAAGCCTCTTTACAACACAGGAAAATGCTATCGTGAAGTAGGGGCAGCGTTTTTGAAAAAATAATCAAAATCAATCATTTATAATGTCCAATGTGGGGTTTTCTGTGAGATCTAATTACGAATCAGGAGATCCGCGGACGAACGAATGTTACCGACATCATCAAGGGGGTCTGCAAGCTGAATGGCAATGAGCATGGCACATAGCTCGTAGAACTGACGGCCGATGGGGCAGCAAGGTTCTTGAGTAGAGACCACGTGTTGGAAAACGCAGAGAAAGAGGCCACCCACGAAATGGACTGACGACCTGTCCAAAGTCGCGGGACTTCGCTGGATGCAGGCCGCTTCAAACCGATCGAAGTAGAAATCCCTAGAGGAGGCCTATGTTCAGCAATGGACGCTTACAAGCTGAAATAATAATGACAATGTGTAATCGCGTAAAGAAATTATCATGAAAATGATATATGATCTCTGGGTATATGATCTTTAAATTTTGATGATGACACTGACTGTGTCAATACCAAGATGATTGCCTTTATAAAAGTTTCTAAGCGAATTGAGAATTTTCGCTATTTAACAAGTTTAAAAGAAATATATCTGTCATAACAATCATGCCGTTAGGCAGTCAAATTACAAGTAAAATGGGATAAATTGCGTGAAAATAACATGGTCTTTAAGATCACATTGTAATTTTCACGTTTAGAAATAAATATATAGTGAAGTTCAAAATGATCGATTCACAAAAGGAGTTTAGAAAAAGGACAACGACACGAAAGTAAGTTAAAGGTTTTCAAAGTTGTTCAGCGTTAATTTGTGTTCGGATCGAATAGAAAGAGTTCGCAATTCATCAAACAATAAACTGCGAGTTTTGTTAGTGTTTTAATGTAGAGTGATCAAGTTATACGCTTTCACAAGACGTCAACGCCTTCCAGACATTCATCTGTAAAACTTATCTTTTCTATATTAGATAATGTAATCCCTACAATAGATAGTTCCACACAATGTCCGAAATTTTAACCGTTTCTCATCCCAGTATATACATCTAGCTTTGTAAAATGTGTTAAAGTGGTCTTTGGTTGTAAAGGAAACACTAAATGACGCTAGGTCAAATCCTCGCTACAACGAAAATTTCGTCTATTTGAAACGTCGGCAATTCAACTCAAAATAAAGCGTGATAAAATCCGTAAATATTAAGGGACCTTACGATAAATGGCGTATGTTCCTTATTTTCAAAAAGTACCGTCTATCTTTGGTTCTATCTTCTAAGCTCAAGTGCCTTACAACGTAAGCAAATATCCACTATCCTAGTAAAGAGAAACTTTACCATAAATCACCTTTTTATGTGAAAAGTTGGCTAGCGAGTACTGGTTTTTAGAGATTGAAGATCAACTGAAGGGTAACAACCTTGATACAGTGGGTCGCGGCTACCTCACGTACTTGAAAAAACGCGAAAATATAATACTTCTACTTCACGCCGGTCTTCTGTGAGGACGTGGTACCTACCCCATACGAGCCTGCCGCGTAGCCCTAATGCTGTACGAAAACGTGAAGTCGTGTTTACTGTCTATAGTATACTACAATTTATGTACTACAATACAGTAAACTGCAATTACCAGTCACGTTTAACAAGTAGGTAATGTTTATCACGGTAACCATCCTCGAAAACGAAATGATTTCGCTCTGCGCGGTATCCGTGTTCGCAGTGAATCGTCCAGGGAGTCACGAACGCGCGTTCGCAACGCGACCTTCCCCCAACCCTCGCCGGTGCCGGGCGACAACCAAAGCCCTCGTGTGGCCTACCAAAGAGTCTCCGTCCACGGGCTCCACACAACCGGAGTACGTGCCTTCATCATACCCAACTGAAACATGACAAACAATAGATAATTGTTGATGACGATGTTGCCAAGGTATTGGCTTCGGCGTCGGGGCTCGTGGGTTCGATTCTCACACGATAACTATTTGTGTGACACAATTGATTCGAATCTGGGTACATGTAAAATTTATGTTAGTAAAATGTCAAGACACGATAATTAACCTACAGAGAGAGTAATGTTTTTTTAAGGAATTTGTAAACGGATTTACTGTAAACATTGATATTTGCGTCAAAAAGCAAGAACGTAATTTGACAGGCCACATTTCAATAGCTAAATGTAATGGAGATTACACTCGGTGCAGTTTGATACTAGTAGCAGGGATCGCCAAATTGTTGGTCACATTAAGTACCGATGACTTCGCACGACTTCCGTTTATAGTTTTTTGTCATCTTCACCTACCACCTGTCTCGTTATGAAATGCAATTTTTGAGACGGATCGACTGATCGTACAAATTTGCCGTCTCTACCTCAATTTGTACAAGGCGAGAGACCGTATTATATTTTGATAATACTTCTTGATTCTTCCACATTGATTTTACTTCTGCGTTTCGTCTGGTGAGTGAGGTAGCCGGGGCCCACTTTATTATAAGACGGCAAAGCTCTCGTAGGGTTGCAGATCCCTACGAGTGTTGCAAATACCCATGGGCGTCGGATATCACTTAAGGTGAAACGCCAGCTGTTTGCCACCTTCTCGCGTAAAAAATAACTTAATTACTAATCTTGTGCACCAGGTGCCTATGGAAGATCTCGATCGGGCAGCCTCACTGTTGATAGAGGCCCTGAGTATGCGACGTCGGTACATGGAGGTCGCTGGACAGTCGTTCCCCACCGATCTCGCCAACTTCCTCTCCGCCCTGGACAGTTCAAGAAGCCCGGGCGGTCAGCTCTCGAGGAACTTTAGCAAGATCTTGAGGGAAATTGATTGTAAAACAATTTGTATTATTGCATTTCAAACATCTACGATATGATCGTTGTTTCGGTTTAATAAGGGCCTTTCACATACATAATGTACATTGTAAAATGTGGTTTTTCTAAGTCCATGGGCAAAATATCTTACTTCGGAACACTTAACGTTAGGTCAGATGGAAGTTATACTTCTCTTGTGGCGGGAATGGTATCCACAGCAACGCAAGAGTAAAAAGCTTTGCGCTGTTTTTCGGCAGGTTTCAATATGCTATCTATCTGTAGATTTCATTACGGGTGATAGAATTTTGACGATAGTATGAGCTAATGTCAAATAACTATCACTAGTAACCAAATCTACTTGTGGATATAATATTGAAACCTATTGTAAATAATATCATCGAATTGATTAGGAATTGCTTTGGTTACCTTATGAATCGGAAGGTTACCAAACCAGTATTATGGCTTGGTAACGATAACGAAATGAAGTGCTATCTAGAAGAGGATCGTACATTATCGGAGATAGACATACTGTTACTTTTTTGTGCATCGTCTTTAAGGCGCTGTATGCAGTGAATTTTTAACTATTTGGGTGGTGAAGTATGCGGAAGCGGAGGAGGGGTAACGCTGCTTAGCGGCGCGCAGCGCGCGAGTTTCGTCGACACGCCGCTAGTCCAAGTCATTCTTTACCTAGTGTGTGTGTGTAGTGATGGGCCGTAGGATACTATCGATAGTATCATCATGGAAGGCTTTCGAAAATGTACACAGATGATCCCTATAACATCTTTTATAGACCATGATTATATTTTACTTTTATATTATAATAGGAATAATAAACAAACAAATATAAAGTATGAGAAAGCAATCAACAATTTTAGAAAATCTTCTTCCTGTTTATTATTACTTTTTTAATTAAATGGAAAAGGAATTAATTAAAAATACATCTTAAAGTCAAATAAATTAAAAAAGCCAAATTACTTATAATTATTATTTTTTTTAAAGCCAAATTACTTATAATTATTAATTACTTATAATTATTATTAATTTTTTTTTATACTAAAGTTGGTTTTTTTACTGATAGATTGTTCTCCAACTGTTTCAACTTTGAACAAATACAATAATATTTCGTTGTAATTATTTATGAAAATAAAAAAATCAACAAAAATTAAATGGTAACTAAGAAATATTTCCAAATAAGAAAATCAACATAAGTACAACAAAAAATTTAGGGATTTGAACCCAAACCATAAAGAATGATGGTCCTATACACCGTATGTATAGGACTGATAGACCAATCACGAGATAAGACATTGAAATTACGCTTTAAATAAATAAATAAATTAACTAACAACTGTTAATACATACAAATTATTTATAAATATGAAATATGTGAATATATATTTTTTAGTTTCGTGTTTTGGAAGGTCTAATAATATTAAAACTGTCAATAATAAATAAATACGAAACATATTTCGTAACGGTGAGCGGGAGATGAGCGGCATAGGTCCATCTAACAAGGCGCCTCAGCGCTCTCTGTTCAACGTGTGGAATTGGAAGAGAGCCGAAACAATTCCGCGGTGGCACGGTGTTTTGACCATCGCGTTCGAATTAATTTTAATGAATTAAATTAATATTTACAAATATCTTACATAAATCAAAAAATTAAAACAACAATCCTTTTTATTAATATATTCTACACCACTGATATTAATTTCATTAAGATTTGTTGATGTATTACGTTCATTTTTGGGATTTGAATTTCTCTTTTTTTTTTTTTTTAAAGAGGTAGTTTAGTTTCATGATTTTTTTCTCTATCGAGAAAAAATATATCGAGAATATTGTTTTGGAAACAATGGTCCATTAGAATGTACGATCAAGGTTAACATATATTTTTTTTGCTGCTGTAAAATGTGTAGATTTTGCTAAAAAATCTTTTGAAAAACCTATTTTTACTGCATACAGCGCCTTAATTGTGACTTTGTTCAAGTGTCTGATATATCGTAAGCGTTTTTTGATAATTTTTCAGCGATTACCATTTTTAACACAAAAATTTTTACTGATATGATAATGAATTAACTCTGCTTATATACCTTTGCTAGGTCTTTCTTGCTATCAATGAATTTACTAATTTATTTTTACACAACAACCGGCAAGTGATTGACATCTCACATGGTGGTAAGCGAGGGGTAATTGGTAAACGCAATACCTCAACAACAGTATATTCACTCTTGCTTAACCGTAACAGTATCTTCACACTGGCATTATCATGGGACGGGAAACCGTTACAGATAACCGTTCCACTGCTTTACGTACGCATTATGAAAGAGAAGGCCAAGTTCTTCGTTCGTAAGCGTCGAATGGGAACGACAATGCTTGGACTCCCGCAGAGCGTCTAATTTCATGATGAAATGGAGAGAGAGGAATTTTATGTCGCAAATCCGCGATGCAAACTATGCAGATAGGTTTTAAAGAAGTTTTTTTTAATTAGTCAATTCCAACTTTAATTTGTTTTCATTTCAACTTAGCGGAAATGTACCTACCCATGGCCGAGGCATCGGACAGTCTAGAGTTCCAGTACAACGAGATCTCGGGCCAATGGTCTACAAGCGCCGGTAAAAACAGGATTTTTATTGAATTGGTTCTTTCGCTGTTGGCCTTTAGGAGGCCATTGTATATCCACCGGGCTTGAAGTGGCCAGGTACTGAGGGCAGGGCTGGATTTAGAGGCTTGGAGGCCTCAGGGCAACAAAGGAGTGGAGGCCCAATGGGCCCAAATTATTTTCTGTTGATTTCTGTTAATATTTAATGTTATCATGTTTGTAAAAAGTACTGTAGGTAAAGGTAAAACGCGAAAAAAAATTAAAGGAAAAGTTTTTTACCAGTCTGAATTTTCATCCGAAGTCACTTTTGGGTTAGACAGTTGAAATTTTCACAGATGTTGTATTAATGTTGCCGCTATAGCAACAAATACTAAAAAACTGACTAAAATAATATTTAAGTGTGGCTCCCGTACAACAGATATGATTATTTTGCCGTTTTTATAGAAAAAGGAACCGAACCCATCGTGTGCGACTCGCACTTGGCCGGTTTTATTGAAACGTCTTCTAATAAGATGATTTTTTTCCCTATTTCAGTGGAAATGGCTGATGCGAGTCAAATTGGAGTTCCGGGCCAAGGGAGAGCATCATTTGAGAGCCAGGAAGAAGTCGCTGGAGCAGCTGAACTAAGTAAATTTTGTAAAAGTTAAATTTATTATAAATAAGATTTTACGCTAAGCATTATGACATTGCGATGCTGGAAGTTCAATCTGCATTAGTTGCCGGTATCTCGATTAACTATGACGTTAGGATGTTGAATAATTCAGCCTGTACTGTAGCTAAGGATGCTGTGAATGAAACCGAGGCATACTTTGTTTAAATGTGGCAAGGCATCTGCAACCCTACGGGTGATGCCAATGTCCGTGGGCGGCGGTTAAACTTAACATCAGGTGAATCGCTAGCTCGCTTGCCAACTTCTCACAAAAACAGTGTATCTGATTATTCTTCAACCTTTATGCAACGTTAATGGCAGACGACGTCGACCCGTGGGCGTGCCACACTCCCCCGGACAAAAATTACGTCTTCCGCTGGTCGGCTGGTGTGGTGCGGGTCTTCCGCAACGAGGAAGACATGCAAGCGTCTGCGCCCCTGAACAACCAATTCGTGAACTTCACACAATACGTCGAGGATCTCAGCAAGCTCGGCGAGATGATATCCGATGGGCCTCTGTAAGTTTCCCTCTATTGTTAGGGTTCCGTACCCAAAGGGTAAGACGGGACCCTATTACTAAGGCTCCGCTGTTTGTTTGTCTGTCCGTGTGTCATCAGGCTGTATCTCATGAACCGTGATAGTTAAGACAGTTGAATTTTTCACAGGTGACGTATTTCTGTTGCCGCTATAACAGTAATACTAAAAAATATTTTTTTTTTTTTAAATCAATTTTCAATCTTGATCTTTTGCCGTTTTTATAGAAGGTATGGAACCCTTCGTGCACGACTCCGACTCGCGCTTGGTCGGTTTTTTACATTTTCGAAGGTTTCGTTACGTACAACTAATAACTACACAAAATCTTTTTTACATTAAGAATTTTACTCAGGCTAAATGTCGAATGCAGCTTTCAACATAAAATTTATAGATAAAATTACAATTAAAGTAACGTGTCATTTCAATATTTGTCATAATTATGATCATCGTCTAATATTTAGAAGTCTTGTCTATGGAAACATATATTTCAGGAAATCGTTTTGCTATCGGCGCCTGTGCTACCTCTTCTCTAAGTTCAAAATGCACGTTCTTCTCAACGAGATTCACGAGTTGGCTTTACAGAAGGCAGTGCCTCACAGGGACTTCTACAATGTCAGGTATGTATTGTCTTTCGTTAATTCTATGCTACTTATTTTTGTCCAGACTAACACCCAGTTTCTGAAACGCTGCTCATCGTAGAAGTTAACTAATCAGCTGTCAAATGTCACTTGAGTTGCCAAAAGGATGGTTAAACTCTTTGATTTTATCATTCTGATCAAGAAGATTACTCTGATGACAAAGTAGATAAGGCGTCGATATTTTAGAGCATTGTGGATATCGACGCTTTAGGTTAGTGGCTAGCGTTGGGGTGCCTAACCGAGATTCAAATCCTGGCAGCGATGTAAAATATCCTTACATAATATTATCTATCTGTAGATTCGGTTAATGGATATAGAATTTTGACGTCAGAATTACGCAGCTAATGTCAAAAAGCTGTCGCTTGTAACCAAATGTACAGGTAGAAAAGTATTGTAACGGGCCTTAAGACAACTCATCTGCACTTTTAAAAAATTTAAATTAAATATTTTATAGTTCTAATCTGTGCACTTAAAACATGTAGAAAAAGTACGAAAAGATTGTTCATTAAAACATGTAGAAAAAGTATGACTGTGCACTTAGATCAACTTTAAAATTTGTAGAAAAAGTACGAAAAGATTGTCCGCCGACGTCGGTGTGGCAATCAGCCGTTTAGCTCAGTGGCCAAAGCGTCAGGCCGCGAATTCCGAAGACGTGGGTTCGATTCACGCAGCGGTGGACGATCTCCTCGTACTTTTTCCACAAATTTTAAAATGCACATTTTATGTTAGAGCGACGAAGTTGCATCGCAGGAAGGGGCCTTAAGACAACTCTATGCACATTTAAAGTCAGAACGACGATGTTGCATCGCTGGAAGGGGCCTTAAGACAACTCTATGCACATTTAAAGTCAGAACGACGATGTTGCATCGCAGGAAGGGGCCTTAAGACAACTCTATGCACATTTAAAGTCAGAACGACGATGTTGCATCGCTGGAAGGGGCCTTAAGACAACTCATCTGCACATTTTAAGTCAGAACGACGATGTTGCATCGCAGGAAGGTTGACACACACATCCACGCGGCGTCGTGCATGAACCAGAAGCACCTGCTGCGCTTCATGAAGCGCACTCTGCGGGAGCGCGCCGGCGAGGTGGTCGCCATGCACAACGGCCGCCCGCGCACGCTCAAGAGCGTCTTCGAGGACATGCGCTTGGACGCGCACGACCTCAACGTCGACCTGCTCGACGTGCACGCGGTGAACGGCTAGGGGCGGCGGAAGTATCGATATATCGATGTCTTCAGACGATGTGTCGATACAAAACGTTCAATACAGAAAATCGGCTAGCGATGTCGGAAATATCGATATATCGATGTCTTCAGTCGATGTCTTCGGACCCGATGTGTCGATACAAAACATTCAATACAGAAAATCGGCTAGCGATGTCGGAAATATCGATATATCGATGTCTACGGACGATGTGTTTGGACCCGATATATCGATACAGAATATGCATTCAATGTCGAAAGTCGTATCAAGAACGATGTGTTTCCGAATTCCGAATCCGGCACAGTGTCAAATGTTTAATAATTGACATAGGTTTTGTTTTGGACGTCGTATCTAGGATCTAAACAGAATCTCTCGATATATCGACGTCGATATTGATATTTCTATATCTATCGATATATTTCTTCACTTTCGATATCCCTATGACCAACTCCGATAACTCAGTGTCACGGTGCTCGCTTTCAAATCAATTTACTCGAGCAGCCCGAGTTCATATACCGGTGCGGGCACCAATGAAATTGTCGGTTGCAATTTTAAGTGATGACTTACACGTCCCCAGAATTGATGGAAAACATCGTGGGGAAACTTGTACATTTTCGAGATAATCACAAAAAAATGTTTACCTACTAATCGGGAGTGGGGACGCGTGGTAGACTCTTTCATATAACATATAACTTTTTTTCTAACTCAAAAGGCTTTTTTTATGAGAAAGTCACAAGCGAGCTAGTGAATCACCTGATGTTAAGTGATAACCGCCACCCATGAACATTTGCAACACCCGTAGGGTTGTAGATGCATTGCAACATTTTACAGAATTGCTTATCGGTAGCCTCCCTCACCAAATGAAACGCAGAAGTATAATACTTCCACTTCATGCCGGTCTTCTGTCAGGTCGTGTTGCTTACCCGGACGGACCTGCCCATTCGTGCACCAGCGAAGACTGCTGCGTGGTCCTTCCACAGTTAAAATAACACAGGCTGTTGCATTTTATAAGACATTTATAATGTGTTATAAAGTAACAGCCTGTTACTTCACCTTTACTTTTTTTTACAAATTGGATTGTCTGTTTCGTATAAGTCCGTAGTTCGCCATGCTAACCTATGGCGTCCTCTGGTGAGGGCGGATATAAATCTAAATATTAATACGTGAAGCAAAAACTTTGTACCCCTTTTTACGAATATTGCGCGGACGGAGGAGTACGAAATTTCCCACACTTATAGTGCATATAGAGAATAGGGCTTCATATATTTTTTTTTACATTTATAAATATAAAATCTCTTAACGTTTTTAAAAATAAATTAAAATTACATTACCTTTCCTCTTAATCTTCTCTCTGTCGTTCATTATATATTATTTTCTGGTTATATGTATATAACATTATGTATTTATATGTATGTATTTTTCTGAATATTTATTTAGTACACCCCTGCCACTTTCTTCTTTTTATGAATTTCTCTGCCCTAAGGTTGCCTGGAAGAGATCGCGATGTTTAAGCGATAAGGCCGCCTGTTGTACCCGTGTGTTTTTTTTTTAAATTATAAATACTGTAATGTTTCTATGGTGTACAATAAAATATATTTTACTTTACTTTTACTTTAAATCAATAAAAAAAAACATTACAAACTGCCATGTATAATTAATTATGGTTGAATTTCAACCACTAGGCGACTACAAGTATGAATTAAAATCACGTCTTGTTTCCTTTTAACTTCCGTCAAGCAGGACCGCAACACATTCCATCGTTTCGACAAGTTTAACGCCAAGTACAACCCCGTGGGTGAGAGCAGACTAAGAGAAGTTTTCCTCAAGACGGACAACCATTTGAACGGCCTGTACTTCGCGAAGATAATCAAGGTGAATAGAATAAAGTAGAGGTAGAAATTTCAAAAGATGGTCTAACGATATCATATAAATACCAGAATGTTTATATAGCAGACGGGCAAAGGATAGAGCCACCTAGAACGGTTTGGAGGAGGCTTTTACCGCCAAAAGCCCCTACCAATACCTTAATTAAGTAACATAACTAAACATTACTAAAAGATAAATAAATAAGCCCACAACACAAACGGTAGATAATTATTAAATGTAAGGGATAAAATTACTTGATATATTTAAAAAATCAAAATATTTCAAAAATATGTGCAGTCCAATTATCCGGTGTCGCGTGGTGGACTATGCCCTAATACCCTCTGGCAGAGGAGGCCGTTCCCCAGTAGTGGGACATTTATAGTCCAATTTCCTTTACTTACACCTTTGACACCCGACAACAGGAGGTGATGGTGGATCTAGCGGAGAGCAAGTACACGTACGTGGAGCCCCGAATCTCGATCTACTGCAAACGCGCCGACGAGTGGGGCAGACTGGCCGCCTGGGCCATCGGGCACGGCGTGCACTCGCCCCACGTGCGCTGGGTGGTGCAAATACCACGCCTCTAGTGCGTCTAACCCTCTATAAAATTTATATAACTTTATATATTAGCCTGTATACCTAACAGAATCTACAGACTTCAGGGTTAGGGCCACGCGACGGCTACTCCTGTACACCTAATAGAATCTACAGCCTTCTGTGTCGTCTGTGAGCCAGACAACGGCTACTACTGCAATAATGGAATGGTAAGCTCGTTCGGGGAAGTACCACAGCATCGCAGAAGAACGTCGTGAAGATGGATGGAATTATTTATATATTCTTTTTTAAACATTGCCCGTTCTGCACGACAGCATTATTCTACAGACGTTTACATACATAAATTTCACGTAGACAAACACACAAACAGTTCTCTCGTGTAGGAGTGGAACACACTAAGCCGGCGCCGAAGCCAATATCTGGCAACCGTCCAACGGAGTCATCATACTTTCGTCGGATGAGTGAGCTAACCGAACCCACTCTTTTAAAGGTTGACAACGAATTTGCAAGCGCTGTTGTGTTTTATGTCTGCCTGCAATCCCTCAACATTAGATAGAACCGCCTGCTCGCTTGACATCTTTTCACTCGAATAAAAGAACCGTTCATTTCCAGCGACATATACCGGATCAAGAAGCTGATTAAGAACTTCCAGGAGTTTCTCAACAACCTGTTCGACCCGCTGTTCCAAGTGTCCATAAACCCGAGCTACAACCCGGAGCTGCATCAGTTTCTCACGGTAAACAGTCATATGTACTGCCAAACTGACCGTGTTTTATACAATCGAAGTCGAATATCTCCGTACAAACCCCATCTCGACTAGATAACGTTAAAGATTTTTTTGTCTCTAATGTGTTTCATCACACCATCAACGCTTCTGCAAGCCCTCAGGTGTCGTAGATGTATATTGGCAGTAATGGTCGTCTAATATGAGATGAGGTGGGCCGCAAGCTCACTTGCCAACATAAAAATATATATTACTCAGCCCACCAAAGTAAAAACGCAAAGTGCCAGATCACTTTTAAATGAACTATTACAGTAAACCAACTATTGTTACTATAACTCTGGAAACCTAAACTTTCTCTCCGATTGGCTTTTTCTTAACTGACATCAATGATGTTTAATAATATAATTGACGTATGTGCATACTGCACGGTGTTTAAAAAATGATCCGCTTTACGTTATATCTCATAACATATAAGTGAATGTGACAGAAGACATAGAACGTACGGTACGGAATGAGATAGCACTCTATAGAATTACACCAATTGGTGTAATTTGAGTGCCCCAATTTCGGTGTGCTAGTGTCATCTTTGTATAAAATATCATTGTCTGACATATCATGGGCGGCGGTTATCAGTTAATATCAGGGGCACCGCCGGCCCGTTTGCCACCATCACACATAAAGGGTCCAAAACTAGTCGATAGCGGTCCACAGATCGGACGTGGGTTCAGTCGTTTTATTATTTCTTTTCTCAAATTGTTCGGAAGTAAAGAACTGCTTTGTAATGGCGGCGAAATTTATCGTAATTTTTTGGGAGAAAAGAACCTCCTTGCAGCAACGACCACATATATCGTAATACTGCCGCGCCGTTTGCAGCACGTTATAGGCTTCGACAGCGTGGACGACGAGTCGAAGCCGGAGAACCCTTACCCCAACGAGGCGATGAAGAGGCCCGACGAATGGGACGACGAGGAGAACCCCCCCTACTCCTACTACCTCTACTACATGTACGCCAACATGACGGTTCTCAACCAGATACGAAAGTACGATGCCTTTATGTATTCAATTGTTCCTTAGAATCGTCACAATCGCAGTTTAAGTTCGGAATAATATTATTCAGGCGCGTTATGGAAAAAATATGAGAGTGTAATTTTAAGATGTAACACTAAACCTCAGCCTCGGCTGTTGCGCGAATGGGCAGGCCCGTCCGGGTAAGTACGACCTTGCAGAAGACCGTAAAGTGGAAGTATAATACTTTTGCGTTTCGTCTGGTGAGTGAGGTGGCCGGAGCCCGATTGTCAAAAGGTTGTCAACGCATCTGTAACCCTCGGGTCGGGTGTAGCAGATGTCCATGGGCGGCGGTATTCACTTAACATCAGGTGAACCGTCTGCTCGTTTGGAAACTTTTCACATAAAAAAAAAAGTTTAAGCTGCCCGCTAATTTTTGTAGATACAGGCAGCATATTCTCCCGTTTCAGTTCTTCAGTTAAAGAAAGTATATGGCGCTTTTTAACATTACTGCAAAATTTTACTCTAATTTTTAACATTTGTATGCATAAGTTCTAGTTAAGTTATTATATGTATATAAACTTCAGTTCATTGTTTTGCCAAGGTCAGTTTTAGAAACTCCCAAACTAGACGTAGTCTGGGGTGTTACTTTAATTGTTGACCTCAGTTTGAATTTGCTGCAATACATTATTATCTTTCCTACAATTGAATGAACGATTAGTGAGGACTGTAAGTAAATTTTCCACGATATTCGGATACCATGATGTTTGTGACAATCAAAACCGATAATCACAGGACAGATTTGCCTAGTGTGGTACCCATGGACACTCGTATTTTGTGATACCTTGAGTTATGGAAATAAATGTATTTTTGTTTGTTTGTTGAATACTCTCTGCGTAGGGAGCAAGGCATGAACACGTTTGTGCTGAGACCTCACTGCGGCGAGGCGGGGCCCAGCGCTCACCTCAGCGTGGGTTTTCTGCTGGCGGAGAACATCTCACATGGGCTGATGCTGAGGAAGGTGTGGTCATCACGTTAATGTTACAAATATTCAAGTTTAGGTGTGTGCTTTCTTTAATGCCGCAAGAGCTGAACTGGTGATACGAAATTTCGAAGGGATTTCGCTTTCGATTTTACACTGAATTCAACAATGTTGCACTGATATAATTGTTATGCTTTTCATGCTGTAAAATTAACTAGTCTGTTGTTTTTTTTCCATTTATTTACAAAGAATCGCTGGGAAATATCAGCGCGTAGCAAGTCTAGTTTATAAATGTCCAGCCTTTTTTAGTCCTATTAAACTTTAAACGATCAAAAATATTTGACCACGAATAACTGCCACAAGCATTTCGTTGGATACCTTTTTGTCTATTATTGATTAGGAAAGACGATAACAAGGTTTTCTGCGGGTATTTCTGAAAGTTTCGCAACCATCCGTGAATCGCCTTTAATGAAAGTTGCGTAAATCTGCGTTGTATAATTTTCTCGATAGACAGAGCTATGATTACACAGTGTTTAGGAATTAAGCGCTTGTAATTAATAGTCTTGTTTAATGAAATTCAATCCTACTCCAGTGTGTTCGCTTTAGAGGCACCGAAGATGATTTGCGGCGTTCCGCCTTTCCCCTGCCACCAGTTCCCGGTGCTGCAGTACCTGTACTACCTGGCGCAGGTCTCGATCGCGATGTCCCCCCTCAGCAACAACTCGCTGTTCCTCCGCTACCACAGGAACCCGCTGCCCGACTTCTTCGCGCGCGGACTCCGCGTGACCCTCAGCACCGACGACCCCCTGCAGTTCCACTATACAAAGGGGAGTTGAACCGAAGTTTAAACGAGATCTTACAAGCAAACTACATCAAGTGATGACTCCGTGGCGCAGTTGTCAAGTTATTGGCTTCGGCGTCGGGGGTCGTGGATTCGATTCCCACACGGGACAACTATTTGTGCGACCCACAGATAGTTGTTTCGCATCTGGGTGTTTGTCCTCGTGTAATTTATCGTCGTCCTTACAACACAGGATAATGTTATCCTAAAGTGAGGGCAATGTTTAAAAAAAAAAGAGAAAAAGAGAAAGAGTGTTTTTACGGTGGTAGGGGGCCACGCAGCAGCCTCGGCTGTTGCACGAATGGGCAGGCCCGTCCGGGTAATTACCACGACCTCACAGAAGACCGGCGTAAAGTGAAAGTATGACAAATACTTTCGCGTTTCGTCTGGTGAGGTAGCCGGAGCCCAATTTTCAAAAGGTTGTCAACGCCTCTGTAATCCTCGGGTGTGGCAGATGTCCATGGGCGGCGGTATTCACTTAACATCAGGTGAACCGTCTGCTCGTTTGACGACTTTTCGCATAAAAAAAAAAGCGTGGAACGCTTGTTAAGATTTTCTACAGAGAAAAATGGCAGTTGATTTGAAAATGTAAGATTCGCATTACGTAAAACGTGTAAGTAAGATAAGGAAAGACTAAAAAGGGCCCAGACCATGTCATTGGAGCTCGATAAGAACAAAAAAAAAAAAACAAGCAACGCAACAAAACTACGGGACAAAACACGGAACTAATATACTTCCAATTCACACCGGTTTTGATCGACCTGCCCATCCCTGCAGCAACAGTAGTTGCTGCGTTCGCCAGTGCCAATTTTCCGATTGGTCTTTTGAATATAGATTATATTGGATGCGTGTTTATTTCCCCAAAGGGATGTAATTAAGCCATCTCATACAAACGCCAATGGTGAAGTGGAAAATCTATTTTATTCATGAACTCGCAGAAACTGTTTGTCTCGTAAGGAATAGCTTGCAGACGACGAATTTAAAGATGAAAATGAACGTTCAGGAGCCGCTGATGGAGGAGTACAGCATCGCGACCCAAGCGTGGAAGCTCAGCTCGTGCGACATGTGCGAGCTGGCGCGCAACTCCGTCCTAATGTCTGGATTCCCTCACGAGGTACACCGTTCATCTGACCTTAGGGTTTGTACCATAACATACTATTGAGCGTAAAATATTGGAATAAATATGATCACAGCGATCAAGACGAGTGCTGTGGTAGAGACGTGGTTAAGTGAGAGAGAACAAAAGTCAAATTAAAAAATAAAAATTACTTCACCTACATAACTGGTCAAATGCGGGTTCGGTAGGGGTGGTACCATGGCAACATCGTATAAATCGGAAATCATGATTATAATAATTTCACCTGTTGTATGGCAACGCAACGGTGTTCACTGTTGCACGGATGGGCGGGTCCGTCCGGATAAGTACCACGACCTCACAGAAGACCGGCGTGAAGTAGAAAAGTTCCACTTTACGTTTCGTCTGGTAAGTGAGGTGGCCGGGGCTCAATTTATTTAGCGGTCGCAACGCATTTGCAACCGTACGGTTGTTGCAAATGGGCGGCGGTTATCACTTAACATCAGGTGAACCGCAAGCTCAGTTTCATTTTACCTGATGTTAAGTGACAACTGCCGCCAGCAATGACGGGCCCATTCTTGCAACAGCGAACTGTGGCGTGGCCTTACCACATTAAGTCGAATGTACAATTTCTAAAACGCTCCTGCTGAAGCGCTGGTGGTGGTTTCAGATGAAGCGCCATTGGCTGGGGGCGCATTACACGCGGCCGGGCCCGCCGGGCAACGACATAACGCGCACCAACATGCCAGACGTGAGGGCCTCCTACCGTCACGAGACGCTGCTGGACGAGCTGCGAAACCTGTTTGGGGTGAGTTCAAATCAAATCAAAAATGTCTTTGGTTTTTTTTATGAAAAGTTGCCAAACGAGCAGACGGTTCAACTGATGTTAAGTGAATACTGCCGCCCATGGACATCTGCTACACCCGACCCGAGGGTTACAGATGCGTTGACAACCTTTTGAAAATTGGGCTCCGGCCACCTCACTCACCAGACGAAACGCGAAAGTATTATACTTCCACTTTACGCCCGTCTTCTGTGAGGTCGTGGTACTTACCCGGGCGAGCCTGCCCTTTCGTGCAACAGCCGAGGCTGCTGCGTGGCCCTACCACGGTAAAATAGATAATATATGACTCCGTGGCGCAATTACCAAGGTATTGGCTTCGGCGTCGGGGGTTGTGGGTTCGATTCCCGCACGGGACAACTATTTGTGTGCCCCACAGATGGTTGTTTCCCGTCTGGGTGTTTGTCCACGTGAAGTTTATGTACGTAAAACGTCCTTACAATACAGTATAATGTTATCCTGGGCGATGTTTTCAAAAAACATAAAATAGACGCTTGCGCGTTCTTATGAATCGTCAAATTTTACATAAAATAATATATATAGATTTGTAAGGTACCACCGGTTCGGAAAGCAGTTTCTGCTGAGAAGAGATCGGCAAAGAACTCAACGGTTGCTCTTTTTCAAAAGTTGATCCCTCAGTCGTGGCGACTGTGGTAGGGCCACGCAAAAGCTTCGGCTGTTGCACTAATGGGCAGGTACGTCCGGGTAGGTACCACGACCTCACAAAAGACCGGTGTGAAATAGAAGTGTTACGGTTCTGCGTTTTGTCTAGTGAGTGAGGTAGCCGGGGCGCTTTTATTTGAAAGGTTGCAACGTATCTACAATACTACGGGTGTGGGAAATGTCAATGGGCGGCGATAATCACTTATCATCAGGTGAACCGCCAGCTGGTTGTTTCCCGTCTGGGTGTTTGTCCACGTGAAGTTTATGTACGTAAAACGTCCTTACAATACAGTATAATGTTATCCTGGGCGATGTTTTCAAAAAACATAAAATAGACGCTTGCGCGTTCTTATGAATCGTCAAATTTTACATAAAATAATATATATAGATTTGTAAGGTACCACCGGTTCGGAAAGCAGTTTCTGCTGAGAAGAGATCGGCAAAGAACTCAACGGTTGCTCTTTTTCAAAAGTTGATCCCTCAGTCGTGGCGACTGTGGTAGGGCCACGCAAAAGCTTCGGCTGTTGCACTAATGGGCAGGTACGTCCGGGTAGGTACCACGACCTCACAAAAGACCGGTGTGAAATAGAAGTGTTACGGTTCTGCGTTTTGTCTAGTGAGTGAGGTAGCCGGGGCGCTTTTATTTGAAAGGTTGCAACGTATCTACAATACTACGGGTGTGGGAAATGTCCATGGGCGGCGATAATCACTTATCATCAGGTGAACCGCCAGCTCAATTGCCACCTTATCACATAAAAAAAGTAGATGGGGTCTGCAGTCTGCACAACGTATCCTTTCTTCCACTTTCCTCATCTGCCGTGATCTCAATACTCACACCATTCACAAACATATCTGAAAGTCGTCTCTCCAGCCGTTTTCCAGGGTATAAAATATTTTAATACCTATTCTAGAACTCAAAATGTTTTGCCCCTATCAATAAGAATAACTATTTATATCGGATTATATTTTTTTGCTTTGTTCTCTAGTCGGCCACTATTCTCCCATGTTATACAGCGTGTCTTTACCATCGCGACAATAAATGAACACACATCTAACGCTACTTGCCAATAATCATAAAAAATATTAACGTTAAACAAAATCCATAATGAAAAAAAAATATTTTTCAAACAAACTAATTAAGTAAAAAAGAAACAAAATTTGTAACATCCTATACAAATCGCACCACAGCGTCGTATTACAAGCCTCTCCTTCTAACGGTATGTTTTGTCTCTTTTAAATTCATTCAACCCATTCATATGCTTTGTGACCTTTACAAATGAACTTTATGCTACAGTTTTATAGGTAAGGGTGTTCTAAAATTCTTTGTTTTGGAAAATTTAATATCCCTGTAAATATTGATGTTTAAAGAATGTAAATATTTAGTACAATTTAAAAAATGTATCCCCTTTATGTGTGTTCATTTATTGTCGCGATTATAAAGACACGCTGTATATGCGTAGATTCCAATAATTAAGGCAGCATTAATCCTTCGCCGTATTCGATTTGTTCAAAGTTTTGTTTTGCTGTAATTCAGCTCAAAATTCAAAAGGAAATGTCATAAGACTCATGTAAGTATAGACAAGTTAGTTTCCCAACTTAACACATTCGATCATGTATAAAATAGTAAAATAAGCCTATATATCCCACTTCTCTGCTGGGCAAAAGCCTCCTCCGTACAGAGTGTTAGGACATAGTCCACCACGCGACCCCACCGTGGATTAGCGGACTTAACATATCTTTGAAATAATTATTTATTTATATTTTAAAGTACGCAGTTTTCCTTCCGATGTTCTCCTTCACCGCTGAGCACGTGATATTGCACTAATGCTTGTCCTATGTAGTAATCGAACCCATAGCCCCCTGGCCGAAGTACGTAACTTACGAACTAGAGTCTATTTGAATAAAGATATTTTGAATTTGAAGCTAATATAGCTTAGAAATTACTCCACCACTCATCGGATTATGCGATAATTATATTAAATTGCACTATAAAAAATTATTGACCATCGAATTAAAAATGTTTGCAATAATTTTTATTTACTTTTCAATTCTGTACCTCAGAGGCATGGGAGAGTAGCTCCACATTTTTCAAAATTATTTTTCTTACACCATTTAATTCGCTAGAACAAATTGTACACAACAGTATAAAACATTAACTTCTACGACGCCTGATTAATAAAATATCCAATCGTATATGACGTCTGATTATTTTGAAAATATCTGAAATTAATCGAATAATTAAAAAAATATCGAATATCTGAAATTATCTGATTCTACCCTCAATCTAATGGCAGAACGACGCTCGATGCAACTGCAATCTCCTGAGGACGCTGAGGCATATCGGCAGCTCAATAGACGGATCTTTCAGTCCTTGCGGCACGACATTCGTCAATTTAACACAAATCATATTAAAGATATGATTGAGCGTAACAAAGGATCCAAAGTTTTTGCAAGAGACCTGTCTATTGGGTAAAGCCAGTTAACTAAGCTTAAGAGAGAAGACGGCAGTATAGCGTCTACCAAGCCGGAGGTACTGAAGGAGATCGAGCGATACTATGGACAGTTATACACCTCGGTTGCTAAGCCCGTTAGCAACTCGGCCAAAGACTTAATAGCCAAGCTTGCCCGACATTACACCGAAGATATCCCGGACATCAGCCTGTACGAGATAAGGATGGCTCTCATGCAGCTTAAGGGCAACAAGGCGCCAGGACAGGACGGAATTACTTCAGAGCTTCTGAAAGCGGGTGGAACACCGGTACTGAATGTCCTACAGAAGCTCTTTAATACGGTCTTGTTCGAAGGCATAACGCCTCAAGCGTGGAGCGGAAGTGTGGTGGTGCTTTTCTTTAAGAAGGGTGATAAGGCCTTACTTAAAAATTATAGACCCATCTCACTTATGAGCCATGTCTATAAGCTATTTTCGAGGGTGATCACCAATCGTCTCGCTCGCAGGTTTGATGATTTCCAGCCACCCGAACAAGCCGGTTTTCGAAAAGGGTATAGTACCATAAACCACATCCACACGCTGCGGCAAATTATACAGAAGACCAAGGAGTATAATTTGCCACTGTGCTTAGCTTTTGTGGACTATGAGAAGGCCTTTGACTCCATCGAGACATGGGCAGTGCTGCAGTCCCTCCAAAGATGTCAGATAGACTATCGGTATATCGAAGTTTTGAATTGTTTATACAATAGCGCCACTATGTCAGTCCGGGTACAGGAACAGAGCACAGAGGCGATTCTATTGCGGAGAGGTGTGAGGCAAGGGGATGTAATATCTCCGAAGCGTTTCACCAATGCAATGGAAGACGCCTTCAAACTCCTGGAATGGGAAGGACTCGGCATTAACATCATTGGCGAACTTATAACTCACCTTCGATTTGCCGACGACATTGTGGTCATGGCGGAGACGATGGAGGCACTCAGCACGATGCTAGAAAGCCTCAATCGGGTTTCACAACAGGTGGGTCTAAAAATGAATCTGGACAAGACTAAAGTTATGTCCAATGCCCATGTAGTGCCCACCCCAGTGTTTGTGGGGAGCTCGGCCCTCGAAATTGTTGACGAGTATGTATATCTAGGACAAGTTCTCAAGCTAGGCAGGTCCAATTTCGAGAGAGAGGTTACTCGACGGATCCAACTCGGTTGGGCAGCGTTCGGCAAGCTACGCAGCGTCTTTACGTCCAGATTACCACAAAGTCTGAAGACAAAAGTCTTTGACCAATGCGTACTGCCAGTGATGACTTACGGTGCCGAGACGTGGTCTCTAACTAAGGGCCTCCTAAAGAAACTTAGCGGGCAATGGAGAGGATTATGCTCGGGGTTTCTGCGAGATCGAATCAGGAATGAGGAGATCCGCAGACGAACGAAGGTTACCGACGTAGTCAGGCGGGTCTGCAAGCTGAAGTGGCAATGGGCAGGGCACATAGCTCGCAGAACTGACGGCCGATGGGGCAGCAAGGTTCTCGAGTGGAGACCACGTGTTGGAAAACGCAGTGTAGGGCGGCCACCTGCGAGATGGACTGATGATCTGTCCAAAGTCGCGGGACTTCGCTGGATGCAGGCCGCTTCAAACCGATCAAAGTGGAAATCCCTAGAGGAGGCCTATGTTCAGCAGTGGACGCTTACAGGCTGAAATGATGATGATGATGATATGACGTCATAATCAATTATGCATTCAAGGATTCACTCACACATTTTTGCCTCTCCAGTAAAATTTGTGTTTTGTCACATTATGCTGTTTACCTCTGAGGTACAGAATTGAATGAGCAGATCCCAACAGCTTTGTCGTTTAAGGTTATTAACTTCTGTGTTCACCCCGCCCTTTCTATTTGCAGGAAATTTAAAACGAAAACACATGCGATGGTGTAGGCTTTATTCTGTCATATTTACAAATGAACTGCAGTTAACCGAAGAGAAATCATAAATGTACACAATGAACTAATAAAAACCAAATATTATACAAGTATTTTATTTTATCATAATTAACTACTTAACCTAACAAATAAAATTTCTAGATGTGTAGGATATTTCAAACTAATCATAAAAGCTTCTACATAATTTATTTATTTATTTATTTATTTATCACCAACAAAGTACACACTGTGACAGAAGAATTATACAAGATATGCAAAAAGTGATGAGTGGTACCTTAATTATAGGTAAAAACTACATTACAACAGGCAGTGGAGACAAAAACCAAAAAACTTTTACAAAACTAAATGTGAAATACGAGCATTACAATAATACAAATATTAACTAAAATACGGTAAAAACAGAACAAAAAAATTAAAAAAAAAATTAAGCAGTATAAAAAAAAAAGAAAAGTTACTAAAAAAAAAAACATGTTACAATAAAAAGAATATATATGAATTGGCTGGTGAAGATATTAACAATTTATAAAAATATTGTTGGCACTTAAGTACAATTTAATCGAATGTTTGAATCGGGATATATTATTGTCAAAAATATCGACTTCTGTTTCCTTATTTAATAAGTTGAATGATTTAATTAATCTATTAATAGGAGCATTGTATCCCAAGTTAGACCTAGCCGCATTGCAGCGAAGTAATGGCCTACTGCACATTCTGAGATGCTTCGAGGGAGCTGTGAAGCATAAGGTTTCAAGTAACTGTGGGCAGTCAAGTAGGCCGTTTGCTAATTTGTATAAAACATGTTGTCAAGCATGTATCTTCGATCGGAGAGTGCACGCAGCCCAAAGTAATTAAGTCTGTCAATATACCGAGGTAACTTTTTTGTTAGGCCGCACTTAAAAACTAAATGCCATAAGAAACGCTTCTGTATACCCTCTAGTCTTTTGATGTAGATGTTATAGTGAGGATTCCATACGACAGGGCAATACTCCAAGATACTACGAACTAAAACATTGTATAGAATAATTAATGTCTGTGGATTTCTAATGAATTTTGTATTTCTCAAGAGAAAGCCTAAAGTTTTAAAGCTTTTTTGACATAGATTGTCAATATGGACATTAAAGCGCAATTTTTTGTCTAAAGTTACACCTAGATCGCGAATTTCATCAACCTCTTGTAGTTTATTATTTTGTACGGTGTAAAATCGATTAGGATAAGTTTTTGATTTTGTGAAACGAATGACAAAACATTTATTTATATTAAGAGTCATCATATTTATCCGACACCAAGCCTCTAAACGATCAATATCTTTTTGAAGTAAGGAAACATCATTTGTACAACTTATGGTTCTGAAAAATTTCAAGTCGTCAGCAAAAAGATAGAATTTTGAGTGATTAAAACAATGTGTTATGTCATTAATAAATAAGTTAAATAGAATTGGGCCTAAATGTGAACCTTGAGGAACTCCAGAAACAGCTGAAAAAGAGTCAGACTCGTAACCATTTAAAACGACAACTGATTTTCGGTTAAGGAGGTAAGATTCAAACCACTTCAAAAGGCTGCCATATATCCCGATGTTCGACTGTTTATCAATGAGAATTCTGTGATCGACTTTGTCGAAAGCCTTACTGAAATCAGTATAAATAACATCAGCTGATAAGCCCGAGTCCACAATATTTGATATAGTATCGACAAACGATGTAAGATTAGTAGCCGTAGATTTAGCTTTGGTAAAACCGTGTTGATGGGGAGATAATATTTGTTTTAGGTGCCCAGCTTAGCATTGGGTGTATAAGTTTTTCAAAAATTTTGGCAAATACTGGTAGAATAGAAATAGGCCTGTAATTTTTCTGCCAATTCTTTATCACCTCCTTTGAATAATGGCATGACTATGGCATTTTTCCACATCTGAGGAAAGGTGCCAGACGAGAGGGATTTATTGTACAATATAGATAAAGGCAGGGCTAAGGAGGAGGCACATTTAACTACAAAAACTGAAGGAATACCGTCTGCTCCTGCACCTTTATATAAGTCCATTCTCTTTATAACATTTAAAACTTCTTCTGGCTTAAAACAATTATTGCACAAGAACACAGACCCATTGAGGTTTGTTTCGGGTATTTTGTGAGCAGCATTTGAATTTTTTTGGTACACTGACGAAAATTGTGAAGCAAAAAGATTACAAATTTCAGAGCCGCTGGTAGCCGTATTGCCTTTTATTAACATTGATTCTAAAAAAACGATTTTGATAATCTTTAAAGCACCTTGTTTGTAATTGCTTGCACCTATTTTTAAGTAAATTAAAAGATAAAAGGTCAAGGGATTTTTATTGTATTTTTTGATCTTTCTCCTAAATTTCAATTTTTTCTTTTAGTAGATTGACTAACTTTCTAGAAAACCAAACTGGGTACTTATATTTGCTATTAGGAGATACTGATTTAGGAACGTGTATGCTGATAATTTTTTTGGAGACAAGTATAAAAATTAGAGATCATTATGTCGATTGGTTTGGATTCATCTAAGATATCTGACCAGTCACACCTATTCAACTCTTCCATAATTATTTTATAGTCGGCTTTAAAAAAACAAAACTTACTCGTATTATTGAATGATAACTTACATGTTGCAGAAATCTTTATATTCATTTCTAGAGGCGGATGATAGGGGTCGACAATAGACAAAGGATCTGAATTTATACAAAGATCACATACACTACAATTACTAAGAATTAAATCGAGACATTTACCATTGACGTTATGAGTGTGTGTTGTATTGTTTAAAGAATTTAAATTAGTAAAATCTATTAGCTTAGAACTGAACTGGCTGTTGTTATAGCATTTGTAGGTTTTGCTGTCGCTGTTTGCTGACCAAGATATGTTACCTAAATTAAAGTCACCAGTAATGAGAACATTTTTACTGGTGGCAATTTCAAGAGTACGATTACAGTTGTCTAAGAAATTGTCTAGAATGTGTTTTTGGATCGGTGGTGGCAAGTATACACAGCAAATGAGATATTCTTCCTTACAGCCCATATCGTTGTATGTATCGACACATACCCAAACATCCTCACACTTAGATTCGTAATTGTGAAGACGTCTCGATGTTAAATTTTTGTCTACTGCTATTAGAACCCCACCACCGTTCTTTTTAGGATGAAAGCCACTTGATTCGCGGTCTCGCCTATGTACTATGTAACGGTCATCAAAAAGCTCCGAATCGAAGACAAACTGCTGTTCAACCATGTTTCAGTTAAAATTATAATATCAAAGTGGTTACAAGCAACATTACCGAAAAAATTCATTTGTTTTAGATCTTAAACCCCCCTAACGTTCTGATAGTAAATTTGTAAGGTTTTCAGTATAACATATTTTTACCAACACTATAACTATATTTAGAAGACATTAATATATATATATATTAACCAGACAGATTTTGTAATACAGAAGAGTCACGTACAAAAATAAATTTTGAGTCGTCGGTTTTTGCGCATGAAAATTTTGCCATTACGCACCCAAACATATTTAAAATTAAGTTCTTTGCTTTCAGTCGAGCTGCCGCATGTAGTGATTTGTTCTCCAGAGTTAAATTTTCCATCACGAATATCAGCGGTTTCTTATCATCGGCGATTCCCAAATGACTGGAGTTAAGTTTATTGTTGGAATGTTGCTTATTATATTTAAAAGCGGCTGCTAGAAAGCTGTCTCTTAATCGAGGGCTGCTGAGACGAACCAAAATGGAACGAGGTCTGGTGTTATTTGAGTTTAATTTAGCAATTCTTGAGCAGTAAAATATGTCGTCATCTTTAATAGGACATTTAATAACTTTACTTAATTGTAGTATAAGATTGGGTAGGTTCTCATTACGATGTTCTGGAACGCAGTTGATTTCTAGATTGTTAGCACGAGAATACTGGTCGATTTGTTTTAGGCGCTGGGAAACCTCATTAAAATTGGAGCGAAGCAAATCATTTTCTTTTTGTAGATGATTAACATTGCTGCTTGTATTTTTCTAATTCCGCCTTAATTTTATCATACTCGTTGCACACAAATGACAAAGATTGTTCAAAACGTTGCTATTTGTTGTTTAATATCTTGGAGCTGTTGATTTAATGCTTTCTGTAGTTCATCACGTATTATTTCGCGAATACTCTCCGCAGAAATACAAGCGCAAGCACCTGCTGAACGTGATTTGTTTGCGGACTGTGATATTTTCAATCGAATAGGGCGCTCCGGGGGCTGTACTAGTAGTGCGAACAGGAGTGTTGGAATTGTCTCCGGTCTTAGGTTCCTTACATTGGCAAGCAGGGCAAACCCATTTAGTTTTATAGGCTTTTGAAAAACTTTTAAAATTGCTTTCGGTTATATTTAAACAAGCAAAATGATACTTATCCAGGCAGCGTATACATCGCATTGATTCTGATTCATTTATTTTGTTGGGACAACCAGCGCATTTGTTCGGTGACATATTGTGCAATATTTTAAAAAACTGCAGGTATATTACTAGCACAACACAGTCAATCTGTTGATCGGATGTTGTCGGGCAAAAGGGCTTAAGCGCCGTGCAGAATGTGTCACTTACGCGTTTTTGTCGTGAAGTACAAAGTGCAATGGCGATTTCAAAGATACGGGCTGTTGAAATTGATATAATCCTGAACAACACAAATAACACTCAAACACTGGCGAAATATTTACACTTAAGGTAGAAAATAGTTTAATAACTAAATAAAAACACTCTTAACTGTTAACGGGGTTCAATAACACGTATTATAAAATTTTATGCACGTAGTAAAAGATGTTAGTTGTTGCCTCCGTGAAATTTTATGCGATAGTGTTCATTTGTTCACAAGTACAAATAATGTGAATGCAAAGTGATTCAAGAAATGATATTTAATTCATAAAGCCTGTTTCTTTAGAGGACGAATTATTGAATAGTATATTCCAGGACTTTTCAAGGCAAACTCTTTTTCCAGAAATATGAGAAACAATGAAAAAATAAGTAATATACATTATATATCTAATGATTGTTAATATTGTCAGTCGGTACATACACCGTGTTTACGTGAGTTCAGCCGTCTTATTATTAATATCAACTTATTATTATCAATAATGTCTCACTAAAGTTATAATCATTTCATTTGTTCACAAGTACAAATTTAACAGATTACGATAATTTTATAGTGTAGCTAGCTATGAAGCGGCATTTATTTGTTATATAATTTAATTGTTATATCAAAAAGATACCATTTAGTTTAAGATACTTTTCAGTTATTTATGTATTTCTAAGCATGTTATGTGTATCTTGTTGGTGAAGTAAATAAATAAATATCGCAATGGCGAGGGGAATCATGTGGCTAGAAGCCGGTGACTTCCTTGATGGCCCTCGCTTCCTCGAGGGGCCCCATCCGCCGGTGCGAGTGGAACTGCATGGAGAAGGTGGCCAGGCCGGAGCTCAGCGAGCGCAGCGTGGACGAGTAGCCCAGCAGCTCGGACAGCGGCGCGATGCAGTCCACCACCTGGTGCCGTGGAACAATTACTATGGGACCGAGAACACTAACATTCCACATCGCGTCCGGGCCGTGGTGACTCTGCAAGTGCCTAGGTTCGGGCTGGCTAATATCAGAGCATGCATTATGTACACAAACTAATTATTAGACGTCTGGCTAGGCTGACGAGTGACAAGGCCGTCGCCCGGCAGGGCTGGCGGGTGACAAGGCTGTAGTCTGGCAAGGCTGGCGGGTGGCAAGACTGTCGCATGGCAAAGCTGACGAGTGACAAGGCCGTCGCCCGGCAGGGCTGGTGGGTGACGAGGCTGTCACCTTGGCGTCGCGGCGCGCGTGCACGTGGCGCACCTGCACCCTGCGCCTCATCAGGTCGGCCATCACCCGCGCCGAGTGGCTCTCCGGCACCAAGATCTCCAGCGCCATCACTGGCTCCAGCACCGCCGACTCCGCCTGCTCGAACACCTGCGGCGGACCCTCAGCTGGCTTGGAGCGTCACCAACGCGAGAACCGACGGTTATCGTGCAATAACGGCTTACTATGGACCGTGATAGCTCAGTGTTCGGGCGCTCGCTTTCAATTCAATATTGACTCGATAGTTTGTCACTTAATACTACTTTATTTCACATTGAAATTTGGAAAATTATAATTATTTGTTGCCTCTTTTTTTTACCTATATTTAATTTTAAATGATTCGGTATGATTCAACCTTTCAGTAGTTACTTGATTAATAATAAGACCAGTAAAAAAGAATCTTTAAACATTTATGTATATGCAATCGATTCACCTTACGGAGGCAGTGCACTACCGAGGAGGCGAGCACTGAGTCGGAGGTGCCCCTGCCCACCTCCAGCCAATGCAGGGTCACCTGCACGTCCACCAGCTGCCGACATCATAGTTTGAAATTAATGAAGAATAAATAAAATAATATACCATGTTTTTATAACAGCCATTTGACCAGTTTCAGAAACCGGGCGTTAGTCTTCTTTATTCATGCATTATCAATAAGAGCAGTTACAACACAGGATAATGTTGTTTATCGTATGGTAAGTGGGGAAATGTTTTCTAATGGAAGACTACAATAGACCTTCCTGTTCCAGTGGTCGTTGTGAGTTACTACCCAACATACAGTGTTAGAACATAGAGTGTTACGAACTGGGCAGGCCAGCTTGGGCCCCCTCCGCAGCGCGGTCTCGACTGCTCGCCTCACCGTCTGCATCGTTCGCGGCGAAACCTGCGCCAGGTTGGCCGCGCTCTCCGCCGACTTGTCCAGCCTGAATACAAACGTTGCATTATAAAGTAACATCTAATAAGAGTCCCACTGCTAGGCAAAAGCCTAGCCTGCATAGACGGGATTGGGGTAGTCCGCCACGGGACTCCACCGCGGATTAGCGGAATTCACATCTTAGAACGTTTTATTATTATTTCGAATAGCAGGTTTCCTCACGATGTTTACCTTCACATTCTCATCGAGTGATAGGTCAGCAATTTAAACTAGTAGTTTCATTGGTGCCGGCACCGAAATATGTACTCTGGTTGCTTGAGTATATTGAATTAAATGAGAGATAGCGGTCTCTGCTAGGACTGAGATGAGATCGCGGGGGCGTGGGGGAAGAGTGGTCTCAGCCAGGGCCGTGATGAGATCGCGGGGGCGTGGGGGAAGAGTGGTCTCAGCCAGGGCCGTGATGAGATCGCGGGGGCGTGGGGGGAAGAGTGGTCTCAGCCAGGGCCGTGATGAGATCGCGGGGGCGTGGGGGAAGAGTGGTCTCAGCCAGGGCCGTGATGAGATCGCGGGGGCGTGGGGGGAAGAGTGGTCTCAGCCAGGGCCGTGATGAGATCGCGGGGGCGTGGGGGAAGAGTGGTCTCAGCCAGGGCCGTGATGAGATCGCGGGGGCGTGGGGGAAGAGTGGTCTCAGCCAGGGCTGTGATGGGATCGCGGGGGCGTGGGGGGGAAGAGTGGTCTCAGCCAGGGCCGTGATGAGATCGCGGGGGCGTGGAGGAAGAGTGGTCTCAGCCAGGGCCGTGACGAGATCGCGGGGGCGTGGGGGGGAAGATTGGTCTCAGCCAGGGCCGTGATGAGACCGCGGGGGGTGGGGGAAGAGTGGTCTCAGCCAGGGCCGTGATGAGATCGCGGGGGCGTGGGGGAAGAGTGGTCTCAGCCAGGGCCGTGATGAGATCGCGGGGGCGTGGGGGAAGAGTGGTCTCAGCCAGGGCCGTGATGAGATCGCGGGGGCGTGGGGGAAGAGTGGTCTCAGCCAGGGCCGTGATGAGATCGCGGGGGCGTGGAGGAAGAGTGGTCTCAGCCAGGGCCGTGACGAGATCGCGGGGGCGTGGGGGAAGAGTGGTCTCAGCCAGGGCGGTGATGAGATCGCGGGGGCGTGGAGGAAGAGTGGTCTCAGCCAGGGCCGTGACGAGATCGCGGGGGCGTGGGGGAAGAGTGGTCTCAGCCAGGGCCGTGATGAGATCGGGGGGGCGGGGGGGAAGAGGGGTCTCAGCCAGGGCCGTGACGAGATCGCGGGGGCGTGGGGGAAGAGTGGTCTCAGCCAGGGCCGTGATGAGATCGCGGGGGCGTGGGGGAAGAGTGGTCTCAGCCAGGGCCGTGACGAGATCGCGGGGGCGTGGGGGAAGAGTGGTCTCAGCCAGGGCCGTGACGAGATCGCGGGGGGCGTGGGGGAAGAGTGGTCTCAGCCAGGGCCGTGATGAGATCGCGGGGGCGTGGGGGAAGAGTGGTCTCAGCCAGGGCCGTGACGAGATCGCGGGGGCGTGGGGGAAGAGTGGTCTCAGCCAGGGCCGTGATGAGATCGCGGGGGCGTGGGGGAAGAGTGGTCTCAGCCAGGGCCGTGACGAGATCGCGGGGGCGTGGGGGGAAGAGTGGTCTCAGCCAGGGCCGTGACGAGATCGCGGGGGGCGTGGGGGAAGAGTGGTCTCAGCCAGGGCCGTGATGAGATCGCGGGGGCGTGGAGGAAGAGTGGTCTCAGCCAGGGCCGTGACGAGATCGCGGGGGCGTGGGGGAAGAGTGGTCTCAGCCAGGGCCGTGATGAGATCGCGGGGGCGTGGAGGAAGAGTGGTCTCAGCCAGGGCCGTGACGAGATCGCGGGGGCGTGGGGGAAGAGTGGTCTCAGCCAGGGCCGTGATGAGATCGCGGGGGCGTGGAGGAAGAGTGGTCTCAGCCAGGGCCGTGACGAGATCGCGGGGGCGTGGGGGAAGAGTGGTCTCAGCCAGGGCCGTGATGAGATCGCGGGGGCGTGGGGGAAGAGTGTGGTCTCAGCCAGGGCCGTGACGAGATCGCGGGGGCGTGGGGGAAGAGTGGTCTCAGCCAGGGCCGTGATGAGATCGCGGGGGCGTGGGGCACCTGAGCGGGTCGTCGCGGGGGCGCAGGGCGGCGGGGCGCGCGGAGAGCTCGAGGCGCACGGCCTGTCGCGCCCCGCCGATGCGCCGCTCCAGCTGGAAGGGCGCCCGCGCGGGGCCCAGCAGCGTCTCCCGGTACGCGATCTGCAGCGGGCCCAGCTCCGCCTCGATGCCGTACTCGCGCACCACGCGCTCCTTCAGCACCTCCAGGTGCAACTCGCCCATGCCTGTGCAGCGAACCGCATACAATTAATGGCGGACCAACCCGCAGCGCAACTTTGTTCGGTGCGCTGTATTGTACATCGTCCCTCAGAAAGCAGCCACACTGCCACACGTCTAAGTTCTCTAACGCCGCATAGTTGCTCGCGGGTTATAGAATTGTAATAATTATAACCTATAACTCAAACGCAGAAGGCGGTGCTCCTCGATACCGCCCGCATCGTCTGCCGGTTTCTCTCTCTTTCCCCCTAACCCTCGCCCGTTTGGTCTCCCCTGCCGAGGGCTTCCGTCTGGTGGGGTCATGTTATGTATGTATTATATACAATATTTATATCTATTTGTTTATCCTTATTTATAAATATTTATGTCATATATGCAATATATATCTATACGTTTATTTTTATTTATAAACCCACAGCAGTAAAACAAATAAATATCCCCACAAATAACCTATAATATCGCTTCTGCTTCACTTTCGTGCTTTCCTACTTCTCGGTATCCAACTATCAATAATCTTTCTTACAATTGTCTCTGTGTATTCGTAATGAGTGTGATAAACTTTTGTTTGTTTTATCCGCCTTTAAATTTCAAATACATTATAATACCTCTTGACGACTCCGTAGCGCAGTTGTCAAGGTTAAGGCTTCGGCGCCGGGAGTCGGCGGTTCCATTACCAATCTCGATTAGGAATCTCGTTAAATCCTTGCGCGATATCATCAGGTTTTGCAGTTATTGAAAATTCATTTAGATTTAAAATAGGCATAGCAACACTCTTGAGCTTGACTAAATATCATGGACAACTGACTTATTGGCAGCTTTGTCGGGAGAACGGCGTCAAGTAACGTATTATTATTTTTTGAGAGAAAAATGTAGTCGGTTGGGGTGACCATGAATTCTATATCATCATTAGGAAAACATTTCCGTATCTTACTTTCTGAAGAAAACACCTGATAGTTCAAAGGCAGCCAAATCGCCTGCGACCTATCCAGTATTTCGAATGTTTGATATCAAGGTGTGCCTCAAGGAAGTATCTCAGACCTCACTTGTTCCTTACTTATAGTAACAATTGTCTAACCCGACCAATACTTTATTTGCATTGAAATGGACTAATACTTTTAATAAGTACAGAAATACCGGATTTCATAATGAAACGATGGCGTTTCCTACATAATAATAAATCCACATTATGCTAATATATGTGTAAGCAACAATTTGCAACCTGCTAGCACCAGCTGGCCGGTTTCCTCGTCAGTGCTGACCCTCAGGCTGGGGTCCTCACGTTGCAGCTCAGCCAGCGCGGTCTCCAGGGCGTTCTGGTATGCCGCGCTCGGCGGCTCGATGGAGCACAGGAATACTGGCTCCGGCACAGTCGCTCCTGTTCGACATTTGTAAATGATATTAAGGCCACTTAACTTTTAAAATATATTATTTTATAGGATAAGATGTAAAAGGAGCTTATACATACACTGCATTTAGACCTGTATACAGCGTGTCGTTACCACCGCGACAATAAATGAACACACGTCTAACCCTACTTGCCAATAATCATAAAAAAATATAAACGTTAAAAAAATCCATAAGTAAAAAAAATATTTTTCAAACAAACTAATTAAGTTAAAAAGAAACAAAATTTGTAACATCCTATACAACTACATCTGACTGATTCATACATTGAGAGACTTTTTCATTCGACGCATTACAAGCCTCTCCTTCTAACAGTATGTTTTGTCTCAAAAATTCATTCAACCCATTCATATGCTTTGTGACCTTTACAAATGAAATTTACGTTACAGTTTTATAGGTAAGGGTGTTCTAAAATTCTATCTTTTGGAAAATTTAATAACTCTGTAAACATTGATGTTTAAAGAATGTAAATGTTTAATACAATTTTAAAAAGTTATCCTCTATATTTGTGTTCATTTATTGTCGCGATTGTAAAGACACGCTGTATATACTATAAGATACTCTAGGGAAATAATCACTATTACAGATTTTATACAGAGATGGACATTATCTGCACTGGTTATTTTATTAAATTTTTCCCACAACGGTTCCCAAATATCACTGTTTTTCTTTCTTCAATAATATTAAGTAGGGCAACTCAACAGCGTCTGTTGATGCTCAGTGGAAGTACCACGGTCTCGCAGCAATTGGCATGATGTAGACGCTCTTAAAAGTTGGCAACACGCCTTAGCTTACTTTCGCCCTTTCACGTAAAAGACAAAGCGGAGATATTAACTGGAAAATTTGCTATACCGATGCCGAGTAGTATTTCAGCTGTCTCCTCAGGACTAGGTTCTGATTCCAGGGCCTGTAGCCGCTGCCGGGCGCTGGGCAGCATCAGATGCTCCAATTGTCCAGGCTCTCGAAGCCAAGAGGCAAGCTGCGCTTTGGCCCGTTTCGCAGACGACTGCGTAGACGTCACGAGATCCCCGGACATTGTGGCCTGAACGAGAGGAATATCAAAAGCGGTCAAAATATTATTTATCTTTCATTAAGATGTACCCATAGTACAAGCTTTGCTTAGTTTGGGACTAGAAAATGTTGTGTACAAATGTGTCCTAAAAAAAATTTATTTATTTACTTAACTACTTACTTTACTTTACGGGTGTTGCAAATTTAAATGTTACCACTTAACATCAGCTGAAACGCCAGCTCACCTTCATACATAAAAAACCCTTTTTCCCATATGGAAAATATAATTATGCTTTATTCCATTCGTGGAACGAGAATGGACTTAACTTTTCAATCGTCCTTAAAAAGTGATTCTAAAACTGGGGACGTTTCCGAAGTGATCACTTTACCGTTTATCGGCCAAACTAGGGTAGTTCAGATAAGTTACCTTGAGAGCGGCCACGACGGCTATGTTCCCTGCGGAGACCTTGTCGACGAGCCGGTACTCGTCAGCCAGCGCCACGTACAGGGATCCTGTCTGATCCGAGCCAATCAGAGCCCTCGGAGGGGTCAATGACACACGATACAAACGGGTCAACTCAGTGTAACATTATTTCAGTAAACCTGTTGATGAGTAGACACTAGTGTTGTACACTAGTGCCTACTCATCTCAGACAATCATCGGCATCGCCTCAAAAACACACCTCTCTCGACTGCGGAACGGCGAACACGCGCGATCTTACTTATATATTTCAAAGTTGTAAAGTTTCAACGAATTAAAGGCCAGTAATTTATATACAGTCCACTTATTTTTACCATCAGCTGAAACTATTGTAGGAAGAGTAGCGATTCCTTCCACACCTTTAGCCTATATTGTCTTTACATAGTATGAAACTAAGTCGCTCCCGGTGTTCGTAGATCTTTTAATCTAGCCAATGTATTTTAATGCGATTTTCAGCAATAGATAGAGTTATTCAAGCGGCAGTTTTATATGTATACATACAGTACGCAAGGTCTAGTCTAGTCCTTACTAATATTATAAACGCCAAAGTTTGTATGTATGTATGGATGTTTGTTACTCTTTCACGAAAATACTACTGAATGGATTTTAATGAAACTTTACAATGATATAGTTTATACATCAGAATAACACATAGGCTATAATTTATATACATATTGTATATCCTATTGTATGCCTTTGCCCAGCAGTGGGACATGTATAGGCTGTTACTTTTTTTTAAATAACCATTTTTTTTACAAATAAAAAAAGGAATCATCAAAATCGGTTTACTCAGTCAAAAAATTTGCAGTAACAAACATAAAAAAAAATTCGAATTGAGAACCTTCCTTTTGAAGTCGTTTAAAAAAAAAAACAACAAACACACCGACCTGCTCGCTTCTATCGCGCGCGAGATTGTAAACCTTCTGCCCCTTCTCGATCTCGCCGCTGTACAGCCTCAGGAAGGTCAGCACGCCCCTCTGGTCGTCGTGCTGCACTTTGAACGCCCTGGCGGCCAGCTCCGGGCCGAAGCTCCTGAAAACCCCGCTGCACTCCAAAGGCGACGGCAAGTACGCGACGATGGAGTCCATTAGCGTCTGCACCCCGATGTTCCTGTACGAGCTGCCGCAGAGGACCGGGAAGCCGGTCATGTTGAGGGCGCACCTCCGTATCGCCGATTCGATTTCCGCGCTGTCCATGTTGTCCAAAGACTCCCGCTGTATTATCGCGTCGGCGAGGCGGTCGTCCAAGGAGGACAGTTCGTCTATGAGTTGTCTATGGCCGCTCATGGCCGTATCCCAATGGCGGCCGTCCTCCTTCTCGGAGAGGGCTCGTCGGGTGTAGTTCTGCCCGCGCCCCTGGGTCCATATGATTTCCTCGCGCGTCACTAAATCGACAATACCTGCGAAGTTCGTATTAATTGCGTACAGAAAATATCTGTGTCGTCTTTCTTTCTTTTATTCTTAACAATACAAATTGTGTTGAAATAAATAATAAAATGTCACAAAAATGATAATAAAAATACTAGTAATAGTTTGTCAAAAAAATAGTTACAATTTTAAAACCTTGAAGGTTATAAAATTGCATTATCGTATAAGGGTACATAAAACATAAATTATTTTTTTTGCCTTGATGAACACTAGTCTTGTACTTTACCAATGAGTTTTCCCTCCTTTGTGACTGGAAAGTGCAGCAGTAGCGGGGTGGCTTGCAGCTTGTCTCGTATTGATGCAATGCATGCGTTGACATCAGCGTCTGGCCGGTCCATTTTGTTCAGGTACAGGATACGCGGCACTCTATACCCGCTGGCTTGCCGCCACACGGTCAACGTCTGAGCTTCAACGCCTGTGGGATGATAAACGTAAATGTAAATTCTGCTGTAAAATAGAGTGAACAGTTAGACACTATGGTAAGTTATATGAATTTTGTTGAATGAAGCCCTGAATGCTTTAATACCATTTGATTTTGAACATCCATATTTAACACCTAAAACCATATACTGTTAGTGGACAATGTTAAAGAACATGTAACTGTTGTAGAGCAGAAAAAAATCAGAAGTTTGTTGGCAAATTACTTATATGAATAAAATCATAGAGGTCTACCATTGTGCGCACATCACTGTAAAACTACTGAATAGATTTCTATGAATGTTATATGCTCAGTGATGTTGGATTTTTTCTTGCTGTGGAAAAGTGGGATTAGTAGTGTAGTTATTAATAATAAGCAACATAGATGAAGTCGAAGGTATCAGGTACTTTATCACAATTTTATTCCAACATTGCAAACATGCAGTAGCATGCATTTTTGAAGATGTCTCCATATTGTTTGCCACATATTATTACACAAATTTATGCATTTACTACATAAGTACAACTTTCTATATCATGGAATTTCGGATGTTTTAAATAGCACAGTTTATGTGTAATCTTTCATTTATTTTTTGTGTCACTGAATATTACCTGCCGATGCATCCAGTACAATAACAGCTCCATCAAGCACTGCTAGGCTCTGCTCAACCTCCATTGTGAAGTCAATGTGACCTGGCGTATCAATCAGATTGATTTGTGCGCCATGCCATGGGAAAGACACGGCAGCAGCTGTTCAAACCAAGAAATAGAGTGACTCTTGAGACTGCATTTTGCACATGGGGCATATATTTGTAAAGACTGTTAGCAGCCTAAAATATTTTTTTTTAATTCATAGTGTATATAAAACAGACTGTATGTGAAAAATTTCAACTGATTTATTCAAACATTGAATGATATTTAATATCTTTAAATGTTGGCACTGAGCCTCAAGGGTATTTTTTCAAATATTATGCTAGAAATGTGTAAATTCAGAAAACATTAAAAAGGTGTCTTACATGTAATGGTAATGCCCCGCTGTCTTTCCTGTTCCATGTAATCGGTGACAGTGTTACCATGGTGTACTTCGCCCATGGACCTGATGGTCCCAGAATAAAACAGCATTCTTTCCGTTGTCGTCGTTTTTCCTGGTAGACAAAAATACTTTAGTTACTGGTGTGGAATTATTGTGTTATCTATTATTTTTACAGTTTTATTTTGTATATATTCATAAGTCAATGGATTCGTAATGCGCTTATTATTTGAGTAACTAAGTATTTTACTAAAGATAAATATAGAAAATTTTAATGTAAATAAAAAGGTTTAAACGTTTCCATTTCTATAGGTTATTTTAACAATTTACCTGCATCTATGTGGTGCCAGTATCCCAATATTTCTGATTTTTTCAATCTTAGACTCGCATTTTGTGTCAGAATATTTTCGTATTTGCACATTTTTGAATATTTTTCTATAATAATTTACAAGGCAAAAACTTCTCATATTACAGGACAGGAATTGAATAATAACAAACATCCACAGAATATACAGTTACATGACAGTATGTGAGCACAGAACACATATACTCCTAAGGAGTGAGTGTCACAGACCACAGTCATAAGCTCATAAGCAAGTCTTATTACAGATAACAGAAGTCAGAAACTATTTGAAACAGAAACTACTTAAAACAAATGATAATGTTTAATATCCCAGTTTGTAAAATTATAAAAAAATTGTACAATATATATTTTCTGTCATTCGCTACCTGTTTTGGCGTAAAGGTCTTGTTACCAGGCCATAAAATGTTTATTAAAAAAAATCATTCACTACGTTTTTCATAGTGATGCGACTATAGTAAGATAATGGGACTCGCGTCACTCGTGCTAATGTCGGACTTGAGGCTTCGAGTCACCGAGTCACTTTACGACTCCCTTTTTCTCTCATTCCCCCTCCCTCTTCCCTACACCTGTCTCCGCTGTGGCCATAGGCGATCAGTAGCGTTAGCATACTTGTCATCGGTACGTACCTTTCATACTTTCTTCGTTCTTTACATATAAACTATACATTTAAAAAAAATAGTAATTTTTATTATTAATAACAATGTTAAATTAACATTAACGCCCGGTTTTTGGAACACCGATCATCGTAGAAGTTAACTAATCAGCTGGCAAGTAGCTTTTAAAATGTTATTTGAGTTGCCAAAAGTATTGGTAAACTCTCTGAATTGATCAGAATGATCTTCTTAATGATCAGAATGAACTCGAGTTCAATCCCCGGCACCAATGAAATTGTTAATTTTAAGTGCTGTCTCATCATGTGCTCATTGGTAAAAGAAAACACCGTGATGATCATCATGGGGCCGTATGTTGGACTATGCCATAATACCCCCTATACAGAGGAAGCTTTCTCCAGTAGTGGGACATGTATGAGCTGTAAATTTATTTTTTTTCTTTTACAAAAACATTTTTAAATTTTCATGAATTTTAAACTACGAATAAAATTCAAAATGTGCTAAATTTGGCCATCCTTTTTGTGCTCCACGCTAAATTGAGAGGGTAGGTTTTTTCTTTGCTTGTCTATAGCAAAACTTATATATACGGTATAGGCCCGAAAATGGGCAGATGTTGAAGACGTTGACATTTAAGTGCATTATTAGTGAAACGATGTCTAGTATAGTCTAGCTTTCACCGATCCCACTCTTTGTGGACTCGTAGTTGACTCGAATGCAAACTGTCTCGATTCAAAAATATTTTCTTTTTTATATTCACTCGAGTATAAGTGTGTCAAATTCCCTCGAATCACTCGAATAAAAACACAGCTTGAGCTTCAGTCGCAGCACTTTTTTTAGAATGGGTAACCCTGGGGTAATAACCTAGTTTATTTTATTGTCATTATTGTATACATATTAAAATGTTTTGTATAACTTGTTTGTGGTGAATACGTGACAAAATATTTTTTAATTACAACAATAGTCAATAAATTAAAAGTGTAGTAAAATCTTCCCAAAATGGGAGTACCAGCGTTTTTCCGGTGGCTTAGCCGTAAATACTCAAGCGTAATTGTGGAATGTATCGAACAGAGAGTAAGCACTTGTAACCTACAAATACGTGTTATGTTTAAAAGCAAAATGTCAACAACTATATTGTTTTCTTTTAGCCAACGGATGTGGACGGTCAATTGGTACATATTGATTCGTCATTACCCAATCCAAATGGAATAGAATTTGACAATTTATACTTGGACATGAATGGCATTATACATCCGTGCACTCACCCTGAAGATAAGCCTGCACCTAAGGATGAAGACGAGATGATGGTGGCTATTTTCGAATGCATTGACCGTTTGTTTCGTATCGTGAGACCCAGGAAACTCCTATACATGGCCATTGATGGAGTGGTGAGCATGCCTATTATCTGTTATTGTTATTTTATTGAAAATGTTAAGTATACAGCGTGTCGTTACCATCGCGACAATAAATGAACACACATATAGGGGATAACTTTTTAAAGTTGTATTAAACATTTAAATTCTTTAAACATTAATATTTACAGAGTTATTAAATTTTCCAAAACAAAGAATTTTAGAACACGCTTACCTATAAAAGCGTAACGTAAAGTTCATTTGTAACGGTCACAAAGCATATGAATGGGATGAATGAATTTAAAGGAGACAAAACATACTGTTAGAAGGAGAGGCTTGTAATACGACGCTGTGGCGCGAGTTGTATAGGATGTTACAAATTTTGTTTCTTTTTTACTTAATTAGTTTGTTTGAAAAATATTTTTTTTTTTAATTATGGATTTTGTTTAACGTTATTATTTTTTTATGATTATTGGCAAGTAGCGTTAGACATGTGTTCATTTATTGTTGCGATGGTAACGACACGCTGTATATGGGTTTTGATGAACAATAAAAAGAACATATATAGTGTTTCATTAACAAACCAGAAGTTGGTATGTGAGCAGTTATCTAGTTAATATTTCTATGTAAATGATTAACATATGTTGTCCTTTTTTAAAAACTCTCTAACAGCATGCGGCAATCTTGTGTTGTAGGCACAAATTTAACAACACATGTTTAACAATAATTACTCAGATATGGAATAATTATACATATGTATGGTAGACAACATACTTTATTATTATACTAGCTTTATTGCTTTGCAACTGCGTCCTCAGAATCTTAAAATATATGATATCACTGAGTCAACAATAACAAATGCTTACATGACCTTATTTTATATCATTACTAGACTAATCAATAAATATATGTTTCCATAACAACTTTTCTCTTTTATTTATACATTTTAGCCAATAATGGGTAAGCACTTATGTGGTTCATAGCTAAAGACTTAGATAAGTTATTTATTATGTTATGCATCATAGTTTGTTTAATAATTACTTAATCTTATATATTACCCATATTCTAAAATTTTCAAGTTTAATCATGTTGGATTTATTCATAACTGCTTTCATAGATTTTATGCTTCAAGATATAATATTAATTTAAATTTTCATAATAATAATATTGATTTTAAGATTCAAGATTTAATAAGCCTTAAAAATAAATGTTCCATTTCTCATTGTATTGGATTACTTAAAAATAGACTAAAAAAGAAACTTCGTAATTGTTTACATAAAATTAAAGTGCTCAATCATTATCAATGAAAATGCAACAGAAAATATTTCATTAAAAAAATATTAATTTTACAGGCGCCCAGAGCCAAGATGAACCAGCAGAGATCAAGACGTTTCAGAGCCTCAAAAGAGACTCAGGAGAAAATAGAAGAAATTGCCAGAATCCGCTCAGAGCTACAGGCAAAAGGGGCTTATTTGCCTCCAGAAAGGCCTAAGGAAGCCCATTTTGATTCAAACTGCATTACACCTGGTACACCATTCATGGACAGACTTAGTAAATGCTTACATTATTATATTCATGACAGGTGAGTTAATAATATCTACTAGGTATATAAGTAGATTCGCGCACGAGGCTTAGTGATACATACAAGCGTTGTGTAAATTTTTTTTGCTTTTTCCGTACTTTTAAGTACTGTTGATTTATTTTAATCTAACATTCGTGTTATTTTGTCTTGTTTTTAGGTAGTTTGTGGTAAATTGTGCCGTTTTTGTATGTAAGTAGCTATTAACACTATGGAGGAGGATCCTCCTGATCCCGATCCACCTAATATTGGACCAAATTCCTTTTCCTCTTCTAATCATGTATCCTTAGATAGCACTGATACTTTTAATCGTAAACGTTCGTATACTCACAATGTGTCCATTCATCCTCAGAAGAGGCTTATTACTGATCCATCCCCGTCTCTCCCATCCATGCAATCTACATATGTTCATCCCAATTATGTTGACAAAAAAACATCCTATTCTACTGATGATGAAGCTCCATTCTTAGTACATGTTAGCAAAATTTTAACAGAGGTTACCTCTGGAGCAGTTTTAAAACCCATTCAGTTTGGGCATTTCTTATACCATAATAATATTAAGAATGTGGTTTGTGATGGAGTTAAAAAGGTTGGTAGGAACAGAATTTCAGTGGAATTTAAAACAGTAGCTGATGCCAACAATTTTATATCTCACCCTGCTCTTTCTGCTGCTAAGTATGAAGCTGTCATCCCATCATATAATGTAACTCGCATGGGAATAGTAAGACAAGTCCCTGTTGAATGGGCTTTAGAAGATTTTGTTTCCTCAATAACAGTACCAAATGGCCATGGAACAATAATTAAAGCCCGTAGAATGAATAGACGCTCAACAAATGAAAATAACATTCCCAACTGGATCCCCACCCAAACTGTTGTGCTGACCTTCTTAGGACAGAAGCTCCCACTCCATATTTATTCCTATTATACCTCAATGCCTATTGAACCTTATGTTTTACCAACCATACAATGTTTCAAATGTTGCCGTTTTGGACATGTAACATCTCAATGTAGATCTGCTCCCCGGTGTTTTGTTTGCTCATCAAATCATGAGGGAATTTCATGCTCCAAGTCACCACTTTGCCTGTTCTGCTCAGGCCCTCACACTGCAAAAGATCCATCATGCCCTGAACAGTCCAGACAAAAATCTATAAAACTAGTAATGTCTCAGGAGAATATCTCCTATCTTGAGGCTTCTGTTAGATTCTCCCAGGTCCGGAAAACTTTTGCTGATACTGCTAAGAGTCTACCAGTCAATTCTCATATTGGAACTTCAAGTCCTACACCTATAAGAAATCACACTACAATTCCAATACAGCACAACTCATACAGAGAAACTGTCCTTATTCCTAGGTCTCCCTATAAGCCTGCCTCTAGTCCTGGGTATGATAGGGCAGCTCATCAAGAAATTATTGCAACCCCTCCTTCCTCCCTTCCTAATGGCAGTGCCTTAGTTGGAAAGGATACCTTAACCCCAAATGATAATCTGTTTGAACTGTTAATTTCCATGTTGATTAGTATGCTGTCTCGTTTCAGTGACGTTGATCTTCCACTTAATTTAAAACAAAAAAACTTACTCAGCTGATTTCATTCACCAATAACCTTCCCTCCGATACTACAATGGAACTGTCGGAGCATTAGAAATAAAAAACATGAACTTCTTCATCTCATTAATAAATTTAATCCCTCTATTCTAGCTATCCAAGAAACTTGGCTCAAGCCAGGATCCCATTTCCGAGTCTGTGGGTATTCATGCCTAAGAGATGACAGAAATGATGGTCATGCAGGCAGTGCTATTTTTATTTCAAGGAAAGTACCCTTCTCTTCTATTTCCTTCCCCTCCCACTCCTCTTCTATAAATATAGTAGGAGTAAAAGCTTTTAATACTTCAATTTTATCTATTTATATCCCTTCACCTAATGCTTCAGTTATTTCAGAGCTATTCTCTATTCTGTCGTCTCTCACACCACCTATTGTTATATTGGGGGACTTCAATATCCACCATACTATGTGGGGTTCTCAGTATTCTGATGCACTTTCCCTCATATTCTTAGAACTACTTGATAATTTAAATCTTTGTTTTCTAAATGATGGCTCTCCAACCCGTCGAACATCCCCAATTCAAAATACAAAAAGTGCTGTGGATTTGTCACTTTGCTCACCAGATCTTCGTGCTCTTCTTTCATGGCATATACTCCCTTCTACGCATGGTAGTGATCATTTCCCAATTTTTGTTACATTTCCTAATTCTTCTCTATTTGTAAACAATCAATTTAGACCTCGTCAAAAATATAACTTATCCAAAGCTAACTGGTCACTATACTCATCAATTTTAGATAGTCAAATTTTAGATTTACCCCCAATTAATAAAGATAATGTCCTTTCAGTTTATAAAGAGTTTCGAAATCTACTTTTATCTGTAGCTGACAGAGTCTTTCCACTCAAAACTCCTTTTAAAAATAACATTCCATCTCCCCCTTGGTGGGATCATGACTGCACACAAGCATGCAAAAAGAGAAAAGAGGCTGAACGTAGATACTCACAGTCAATGACCACAGAGAATTACATTTTTTATAAAAAAACTGCAGCAGAGACTATGAAATTATTATCCCAAAAGAAGCAAGCTGGCTGGCTCAGGTTTTGTACATCCATGTCTCCCAATACTCCTCCATCACTTGTATGGAAAAATATTAAAAGGTTTCGTTGTGCAATGGTTAGTGTAGACCCTGCTTTTAATGATCATTCTGTTTGGATTGGAGACTTTTTGAATAAACTTGCTCCACCATCAGCCCCAAACTATGATGAATGTCTATTTTTTGATTCTCCCTCACAGCAACCGGCTGATAAATTTAATTCCCCATTTTCTCCACAAGAACTTTTCTGTGTTCTTAGTGGTCTTAAAGATTCTTCACCAGGAATTGACGGAATCCCCTATTCCTTTATAATTAATAGTAGTGAAAGAACAAAACTGATTTTACTTAAATTTTTGAATAATATATTCATTACTGGCATCCCACCCGATGAATGGAAGTCGCAAATCATTATTCCTGTCCCTAAGCCTGGTAAGGCTGGTAATGATGCATCTGGATTTCGACCCATAGCTCTCTCGTGTACAATTGCCAAAGTTCTTGAGCATTTAATAAAAAATCGCCTAGAGTGGTTTTTGGAAAGCCAAAATTATCTACCAAAGAGCCAATTTGGATTCCGAAAAGGTTTGAGCACAATGGATAGCCTAAGCACGCTTGTCACAGATATCCGAATTACCTATTCAAAGCAACAATACCTTGTAGGGGTATTTCTAGATGTTTCTTCAGCGTATGATAATGTTCTTCTTCCTGTGCTCAGACAGAAAATGTTACAGCTGAGCATACCAGTGAAGATTGTTAACTTTATTTTTAACTACCTTTCCTCCAGATCAATTTTAGTAAATGTTCAAAACTCACTCCTTCCATCAAGAACTGTCTGGAAAGGCCTACCTCAGGGCTCTGTCCTTAGTCCTCTCCTCTATAATATATATACTTTTGATCTAGAGCTTTCTGTCAATTCATTTTGTAATGTTCTTCAGTATGCAGATGACCTAGCCTTGTACATTTCCCTAGATAACATCTCTACAGCTTGCTCACGTCTAAATTCCGCTTTGTTCTATTTGCAAGATTGGTTAACTGAACATGGCTTATCCCTCTCCCCCTCCAAAAGTAATGTCGTAGTTTTCTCTCGGCGTAAAAATGTGCCAAATATTATAATAACTTATGATAACCAGCATATTCCCATAAGTGATTCAGTTAAATTTTTAGGTGTTTTTCTTGACACCAAATTATCATTTGTTACTCACATTGATTATATCTCCCAAAAATGTGAGAAAAATTTGAACATTATTCGGTCCCTTTCTGGCGTATGGTGGGGCGCTCATCCATTCTCTCAAAAATTAGTTTACAACTCACTAATTCGTAGCCACATCGATTATGGATGCTTTCTTTTCGAGCCATGTAGTAAAGCATCACTTAACGTGTTAGACAAAATTCAATATAAAAGCCTGCGTATCATTATGGGTGCAATGAAGTCCTCACCTAATAATGCCCTTCAGGTGGAGTGTGTTGATCCTCCTTTTCACTTAAGAAGGCAGTATCTTTCGGATAGATTCTTTTTCAAGACCTGTCAACTCTCAGTTCACCCCTTAATTCCTAGGCTTCACCAACTATCTGAATATGTCTCTTCAAGCAACTATTGGGTCCACAAGAATCCTCCATGTCTGTTTAAGAGTTTGGTCACTTTTCTCCGTTTCCCCTCTCCTATTTTTCAATGTAAGACTAACCCATTATTTGATATTCCTTATGATGCATTAATTTTTAAACCTGACATCCATCTTGACCTGGGCATTGAGAAAGATTGTCCGATGGCAGATTTTAACTTGAGTTTGGCCATTAAAAGATACTGGAAGGATTGGCTAATAATGTATACAGATGCTTCCAAATTCAGTGAATTGGGTTACTCTGGAGCAGCAGTTTGGATCCCAAAGTATAAAATAGCCCTTAATTTTAAATGTCCTTCCCCTACATCTATATTTACTGCAGAGGCTACTGCTATATATGAAGCACTATTGTATATTGAGTCACACAACCTAGACAGATCAATAATATTTACAGACTCTAAAAGTTGCCTACTAGCTATTTTGTATAATCAATTTCGTGTTAAGTGTAAAATCCCTCTAGTTCTTAATATTAAAAAGATTCTATTTCAATGCCACCAAAAAGAATTACATGTATCCTTGGCTTGGATTCCTAGCCATAGTGGAATCTGTGGAAATGAAACAGCTGATAGCCTAGCTAAAGATGCTATACATAATGGCATAATCAAAAATATTACATTTTCCCATGATGTTATTCCACTAGCTAAATTGAGACTAACCAACAAATGGAATCATCAAATTTTAACTCCAGAAAAGGGTAAATTTTACTTTTCTATACAACCAAAAGTTCCTGTAAAGCCCTGGTTCTTCAAGTATAATAAGGCCAACAAACATGCCACATCCACCATCTGCAGACTAAGAATTGGTCATGCATGCACCCATGTTCACCTTGCAAAGATTAGGATTAGGGATAGTTCTCTGTGTGAGTGTGGTTTGGATGAAGGAACCACCAACCATATATTTTTTGAATGTCCTAAACTATCAACATCATTGTATGATTCCCTTCCCCCCTACATCCCTCGTCCTATTAATTTTTCCTCCCTTTTAACTTACACTAATTCACCATTTGTATATATTCTATGCGACTTTATTATATCTAATAAAATTAAACTTTGACGGATTCAAGGTTCATGTCTAATATAACTGTTTGTCATTGTTCTAGGTAATTCAACAGGAAATTACTTTTTCTTTCTTGCTCTCAACATATTATTTTTTTCTTATTTTAATTCCCTTATATGATCTCTTATGCCTCTGCTATGCCGAATCTGTTCGATAACCAATCCACTTAATAACTTTCCTATATTAACGTGGACATTGGCGAATACCTAAAGACCGCCATAAAGGAAAAAAAAAAAAAAAAAAAAAAAAAAAAAAAAATATATAAGTACATTCATTTAAAATTGTAGCCATTTTAGACAGCTGTCACATATTAAATTAGCATTCATTTGCAAAACATCTGGTACATTTTGACTTAAGCTCAAGGGTGAGCATGCAGCAGAAAGCCTTATACTTTACTTCTACAGCTTAACACCGAACTTTTATACACTGTGATCACTCACAATGATAACGGTTTATAGTTATATTAGTGATTGATGGCATGATGATGGAATGTCTATTACCTATGTTTGGTCTACTACATTTAGTATATTAGCATGTAGAGCATTAATAAAATTCTTACCCTGCTACGAACATTGCATGAGAAAGTTTATTTCAAGGAAGGATGCCACAAAATCACAGAACATTGGTGTATTACAAAAGTGTATGGACTCTTGTAGTCAGGTGAATGGGGTAACTGTGGCCCACCCTTGTAAAGTTGAGTTGAAATGGCAACTCCATGCACGTTCCTTATGTCCACGGATGGCTTAATGAAAAAAAAAAATAATTTTGTATTGTGGCAGCTTTTGCTGGTGCATGAATGGCTCATTCAGGGAAGTACCACAGCCTCATAGAATACGCGCTTTTTATGGTTATTGAGCTAACATGGGCCCAATTTTTTAATTGTTGGCAAGGCCTCTGCAACCCGACAGGTGTGGTAGATGTTCATGAGTGGCAGTGATTACTTAATATCAGGTTAACTAGCTTGCTTACTATAATAAAATTAAATCAAATGAAAAAAAAAAAGATAGGGTTTTATTTTACATTTACTTTTGTAGACTGAACAATGATCCGGGATGGAAGGGTATTAAGGTGATTCTCTCAGACGCCAATGTGCCTGGGGAGGGTGAACATAAAATTATGGACTACATTCGTCGGCAGAGAGGTGAGGCAACACTACAGTTGGAAACCTTATTAAATCAAATTTAGTTACTTTTACAGTTTCTTACTATAAAATGTTAACAATAAGTTTTAAACTTCAAATTCGAAATTTACGTGAAAGGAAAACCTCATTATTAAACAGCATCATTTAACAATTGCTTATTTGTGCAGTTGTTCAACAACTCAAAATAGTAAAAAAAAGGCCTGTACTCATCAGCAAGCTAAGGAAAGTTTAAAAGATCTTAACCATGGTTTTCTAAATTAACTTTTATTAGAGGAGCCCTGTATGTGTAACTAAAAATAGAAATGCTTAAACAATCACAATAATAAAATAAATAATATAGATTTCCAGGGCATTAACTGTTTTGGAGAAGCTGGATATGAAACTCAAGATAAATGTTAGTTTTTATTAACTTGGTTTGCATTCTCAGCCCAACCGGACCACGACCCCAACACACAGCACGTCCTTTGCGGAGCAGACGCCGACCTTATAATGTTGGGTCTCGCAACTCACGAGCCCAACTTCACCATAATACGGGAGGAGTTTAAGCCGAACAAGGCCCGTCCGTGTGACGTTTGTGGACAACTTGGTGAGATGATATTTCCGATTCTATACATTTATACCCACACGCAGAGCCTGGTAGTTCAGTGGCTCAGTACCTACTTTTAGTTCAATTTATTATATACCATCCTTTATTATTATCTCAATAGTGGCTCCTATTGAGATTCTCAGCGATTTCGAGTGTGGGCCTTTGCTCTAACACACTGCTGTTTGATGAGCTGTTGTTACTTTACTACCTCTGGGTGGAAAAAGATATCGAAGATTTACAACCTAGACCATTGTTGACATTTTACTCTTGTTGATATCATATAAAAAGTTTTTTCATAGCGAAGTAATATTTTAGTTTTTCATCTTTCAATTTGACAACTTGAATACCTAATTGTCGGAATCTCATTGCAGGTCACGAAATGAAGGAGTGCACAGGCACCACACCCGAAGTGTCCCTGGTCCGCTCAGACCCCGCCTTCGGCACTCAGGACAACTTCATATTCGTCCGATTGAGCGTTCTCCGCGAGTATTTGGAGAAGGTATTATAGGATACATATTTTAATAGTGCCCCACCCTATTCCGAGAAAGAAACAATATAAATAGTATGTCAGTGTACATGTAAGAACATGTTGTATGTGAATTTATCTATAATTACCTTAAGGAGGTGTAACGCTTCTATATTGAATAAAGATATTTGAATTTGAATTTCCATTTCATTGAAAAAACTACTTCACATGTATAAAAAAAAATGAAATAAAGACGTGGATGTGTGCACCTATATAGGGCTGACAGAGAGATGACCTCACTAAACAATGCTATAAAAAGATTTGGACAAAATCAAATTGTTCTCTTTGCAGGAATTGCAAATGCCGAACCTCCCTTTTCCATACGACTTCGAGAGAGCGCTGGACGACTGGGTGTTCATGTGTTTCTTCGTGGGCAACGACTTCCTACCCCACTTGCCCAGTTTGGAGATCAGGGAGGGGGCCGTGGACCGTCTGGTCAACTTGTACAAGAAATGCGTATACAAGACTAAGGTATGGACTGTAAATGGATGATATTTACTAATTAACTATTAAATAAAATCTGCAAAGCTATTACATGCTTTGAGCAATGCTAAGATATAGACATTTACTGCTGTGAAGCCATGCAGAGGCATTAACTGATGCCTGACAGCTCTTAGCCCCTTGGCAGTGAGAAGAGTTCTCAGGAGGTATGGCTGGTGCACGATGACGCCGTCCGCTCTGCGGCAATCATCCGATCCGGAAACTACGTTCTTGCAGAAGACTTCCCATAGCAGCCAACCATTGACCAGTTCATGTAAAAGTCCGCCGCTTCCAGATCATGACTGAATGACATGTGATTATATCTGGCAATAGTGTAAAGTTTGTAATAAACAATATTGCGGTCAATGCACCACCTCTTGTAACCAATTTGTTTGCCGTTATATGGCCTGGACATGATAGGACACTGTTTATTTAATATCTTGCATGCACTGTATGTACACCATGTTTTTACAAATAAAGACTACTAGCTTTTCGCCTGCGGCGTCGCTTGCGTTGAAGCCCTTAAATAAATATCTTTCAAAACCCTTTACAACACTTTTTTCCAATTAAAAAGCCTATCTCCTTCCTCAGCTCTCAGCAGCTCTAGACTATCTGTGTGTGGAATTTCATTTAAATCGGTTCAATAGTATTGGAGTGAAAGCGAGACAGACAGACGGACAGAGTTACTTTCGCATTTATAATATATGGATCTATCTATCCAGGGCTGGGTCACAGACTCCGGGGACGTGAACCTGGAGCGGGTGCAGCTGATCATGGACGAGCTGGGCCGCATGGAGGACGAGATCTTCAGGCGGCGGCACCAAAACGAGCTCAACTTCCGTGCGCGGGACAAGGCGCGCAAGAAGCAGCAGCCGGTCAACTTCGGCCTGCTGCAGAGGACCCAGTTCGCGCCCAAAGTGAGACTTCTGAGATCCACTCGATACGGACCACTTTAACGAGATTGCAACCATCCGATAGACCATTGCTACTGAGCTAGATTTCACCGCCTGTGTACTTTGTCAGTGCCACCTAATGGAAATTTACAATACCAGGGTTGTTTATAATTTCGACTATTTTAGGCTTCTGCTACTGCATCAAAAAGCAGTATGAGTGTTCAGAGTAGATCTACTGTTCCTTTTAGTAGACCTATTACTGAACATGACAATCGAAAAACTTATCGTTTCGTTCAATTGACAGGTAGTCGACTCAAAAATTAGATCTTTTGAGACATGCATTAGAATGAGAATCAAGTTTGTTTCCTTTTTAAAAGACGGTGGAAGAGGCGGCGCAACCCGTTGAGAACGCACGGAGGGAAGCGGCGAACATTCGCATAGCCGGGATGAACGCAGAGGTAATTATGATTTACCATTTTTTTTAATCATTAGATTTACCATTTACCATTGAATAACTCAAACAGGCGCGATAGATATTGTTTCCCGAAAACGGATTAATAGTAGTATAGTAGTAGGAGAGGCGTATATTGGCAGAGTTTTTGACACTCAGTAGTTGGTTTCACTCAGTATGTCTCAAGACTAAGTATTATAATAGAGTACAAACGCGTATCGAGTATTTAGAAGTATAGACAAGTCGGAGCTCGTAAACGAAAAGTAGTTCGTCAGTAAAATCGCATCGCTTGTTACTCGGTACTCGTTGCCTTATAAGATGACTTCGACAGACGTATGCGTGTGATCCATCACGATGCCTAACGAAAATCGACCTTATGAATCGGAGTTTAAGATCGTTTATTAAACGATTTTACTCGTAATTATCACACTGCCATCTGTCGCCGAGCGGTGGAACTAAAGTCGTACGAGCTGATTTTGAAATTCCGCCCCGCAGCGCGAAGAGTCCGGGCAGAGGGGCCGCAAGCGGTCCGCCGCCGACGCCGGTCTGGACCAGGACGACGAGGACGATGAGGACAAGCATGACGAAGTTCGCCTCTGGGAGGACGGCTTCAAGGAGCGCTACTACGAGAGCAAGTTCGAGGTGGCCAAGGACAATTTGGAGTTCAGGTACCTTTTTTTTGGTATCTCTTCTTGGGAGATCTTCAAAAGAACCCCTTCGTCTCTCATCACAGGGCTATGCGGGGCCATACCCACTAAATCCCTTTCTTTTCACTTGGTCCTTCGCTGCAGGCCGTATGAGACTTCTGAAAATTGCGATCTATGCTCGATATTTCGCTGCGTAATGAAGACGTTCGCAATAGAGCAAAAGTATTCGACACAGCTCAGAGACTTAGTAAGCTGAAATGGCAATGGGCTGGGCATATAGCACGAAGGACCGATAAACGATAGCGAAGAAAGTTTCACGATTGTCAGCCTGTTACTGGCCATCGTAGGACGATCCTCCAGAAGTCGATCGGATCTGGAAGTCGATGGACGCAGATGGCTCAGGATCGTGCTTCGTAGGGGTCTATGGAGGACCTATGTTCAGCAGATCTGAAACAATGGAAGAACTCGATGGTGATAAGGACTGTGGTGTGCAGGTACCGCGTAGCGCTGCAGTACGTGCGCGGCCTGTGCTGGGTGCTCCGCTACTACTACCAGGGCTGCGCCAGCTGGAAGTGGTACTTCCCCTACCACTACGCGCCGTTCGCTTCGGACTTCGTCAACATCTGCGGCCTCTCCACCAAGTTCGAGAGGGGCACGCAACCGGTGAGTGGTTCCAACGGCTAAGTGCCTAATACTACGGAAAGTGGTCTCTATCAGTTATTTTTAATGTGATTAGCGACAAAAACTGAAGAAAAAAAAAGTACTAAGCCACTTTACGTAACCAGAAATATTACTTGACTATGGTAGGGTCACGCAACAGTCTTCACTGTTGCACGAATGGGCAGATCCGTCCGCGTAAGTACCGCGACCCCACAGTTATACTTCTGCGTTTCGTCTGGTGAGTGAGGTAGCCGGGGACCACTTGAAAGGTGGTAACGCATCTGCAAACCTACTAGTGTTGCAAATGGGTGACGGTTATCATTTAACATCACGTGAACGCCAACTAATTTTCCACCGTCTCACATAAAATATATAAGAATAGGGTATAGAAACATTTATCTAACGAGTGTCTTTCCGCAAACAGTTCAGGCCGCTGGAGCAGCTGATGGGTGTGTTCCCGGCCGCCAGCTCGCAGCACGTGCCGCCGCCCTGGGCCAAGCTCATGAGTGACCCCGTGAGTGCTGAACGGCCTGGACTCGCCCTAATTTAAGCATACTGCACACAAACCCTCAAGATTCTGACCAGCATTAAAATATGGCTCCCTTTCTGTCTATACACAGCCCATAAATAAGAAGGCCCTCATTTCATTTGACAGTTTATGAAAAATATTTCAGGACATGTTCACACAACATTATCTAGTCCCAAACTAAGCAAAGCTTTAACTGTGGATACTAATGGTAAATGATAAAAAACTTTTGAAAATAAATGTATGTATTTTATAGATCCCAAAAAATTCCGACACTAGAAAAACACTATGTTCTTCACAAAATATTTTCCAGTAGTGGGGATCGAACCCACTATCTCTGGCGCAAAAGACAGATGCACTATTAAATACGCCAAAACGACACGCGTTATTGAAGTAGACTTATAATTTTTATGCTTATAATGTTTATATTCCCTAAATATTCATTCTTTAATGGATTTTTTACTGGCCCAATTGAAATTGATTAAAGGATTGGCAACACTTTTTACATTTACATTTAATACCATGTCAGATATCCTTAACACCAAGATTTCGGTTCGGGCTATAAACGCGATGATATGACTTTTTAAAATCATTTATGCTTTATTGCTAACCTTAAAAAGGTAACAAAGGCATTCTCTACCAGTCAACCCAGGATGTAGCGAAAGCTTATGGTACCTGGTAGGAATATTGAATAATGAATGTTGTTGCAGTTCTCGCCGATAATAGACTTCTACCCGACGGACTTCAAGATCGACTTGAACGGGAAGAAGTTCGCGTGGCAAGGGGTGGCCCTGCTGCCCTTCGTCGACGAGGCCAGGCTCTTCAAGGCGCTGGAGCCCTACTACAAGGACCTCTCGCAGGCGGAGAGTGAGTTGTCCGTCCGTTCGTCCGTTCGTTCGTTCACTAAGGGAGTGATTTTGTTTATTGGTTTATTCATCATACACACAATGGCGAACATAATGGCGTTAGGATTGATTAGAAAATTGAAAAAAAAAAAGGAGTCATTCAATATTCAAATTAAGGAATCTTACATAATATACTAGACGAATTAAAAGTAACAAAGACTATACATTGCATATTACTATATGCAATTAATCGTTCATATGTAATTTATTCGTTCGGCAGCGATAATAAATCGCTTCATGTACTCCTGCTTTTTTGTTATGAGAAGGTGGAAAACGAGCTTGATGTTATATGATAACCGCCGCCCATTGACATTTGCACATCCGTAGGGTTGCAGACTTGTTGCCACATGTAGGCCCCGGCTACCTCACTCACCTGACGAAACGCACAAGTATAACACTTCCACTTCACGCCGGTCCGTAAGTACCACGACACGTAAGTCCCGTGGTCGAGTAAGTACCAAGACCTTCTGTGAGGTCGTGGTACTTACTCGAACGGACTGCCCATTCGTACAACAGCCAAGACTGCGTTGCACGAAGATTGCAGTGGCGCGAAGACGTTGGCGTCTGATAATAATTCAAAAGAAAACATATCTTGCAATGATCTGTTCCTATTATAATTTGTCTATTTTAAGAACTATTACTAAGACTCCGCTGTCTGTCTGTCCGTCTGTCACCAGTTTACAATTATCTCATGAACAGTGATAGTTAGACAGTTGAAATTTTCACATATGATGCATTTCTGTTGCCGCTATAACAACAAATACTAAAAAAAAACAGAATAAAAAATATTTAAGTGAGGCTCCCATACAACAGACATGATTTTCGCCGTTTTAATAGATAATGGTACGGAACCCTTCGTGCGCGAGTCCGACTCGAACTTGGCCGGTTTTCTATGATACTTTACAAAATTGCTAAGTAAACCGTTGACATTCCAAACGGCCACAGAGCTGCGGAACACGCGCGGCTACGACCGCCTCTACGTGTCGCCGCAGCACGCCAGCTACGCGGCGCTACGAGCGCTCTACGCGGACGAGACGGCCGCTACGCGCCCCTCTACGCGCTACCCGTACCGTAGCGAGGGCGTCCGGGGCGAGGTGATGCTCAGCCCGGACAACGTCTGCGACGGGGGGTGAGTTTTCCATCCCTTTGTTATATGTTAACAAAACATTTTATCTCTATACATTATTTAAAGTACAGTAAAACAGCTTGTATGTTAAAATATGTAGAAAATTTGAGAAGTATGAAAGTTTTCGCCGCAGTGTAACCGAACCCACGTTTTCGGGATTCGCGCCCAGACGCTTTAGCCACTAAGCTAAACGGCTGATTGCCACACCTATATTATGTCTCACTGCTGGGTAAAGGCCACCTCTGTACAGAGAGTATTAGGGCAGAGTCCACCACAGGCCCCACTGCGGATTGGTGGACTTTATACAGCGTGTCTTTACCATCGTGACAATAAATGAACACACAATCAGTCAGATGTAGTTGTATAGGATGTTACAAATTTTCTTTTTTAATTAATTTGTTTGTTTGAATTTTTTTTTTAATTATAGATTCTTTTAAACGTTAATATTTTTTTATGATAATTGCGTTAAGTAGCGTTAGACGTGTGTTCATTTATTGTCGCGGTGGTAAAGACACGCTGTATACTTTGAAATATTTTTTTTTCGTTATTATTTCGAAAGGTTTTTGTACAATGTTTTAAGTTAGCACTTAAAATTTCATCGGAGCTGGTACCGGGCATCGAACTCAGGTTGCTCGATTATATTTAAATAAACGATAGCGCCCGGACAGTAAGTTAAAGCAATGCTATATTATTTATAGAAGTTTTTTTGTCAGTATGCCATAACTTTCATAGTTATTCATGATATCCTGTGATTAAAACAAATTATGCTTGCCGTTATAGACAAATGGAATTAAGTTCATGTTTTTATAAGAGAACATGCATTAATTTAAGAAAGATAGCGAAGTTAACGTTAAAAGTTAACAGTAATTATTTACCGTCTAATTGACGTCAACATTCCTTGGGAAACAAACACCCAGACAGGGGACAATCATCTGACAATCATCAAAAATGCCCCGGGTGGGAACCGAACCCATGACCCAAGCGCCGAAGTCAATAGCTTAGCAACGGCGCCACCGAGCCATCAAAAACGCGCCAAAAATATTGAAGTCTAAAAAAAGAACACAATGCTAAATTTTAAGAATAATTTTTATTTTTAGTGCTAGTGTCTTCACTCGAGATGAAACTTTAAATTATAAATAAATTACCAACTTACTTACTGTTAAGTGATAAGATGACATGACTTAATTACAATTTAAATTAATTAACTAATCGACCGCTTAGCTTAGTCGGTAAAGTGTCTGGCCGCGAAACCAGAAGACGCAGGCTCGAGTCCCGGAGCGCCGAATGTTTTTGTTAATTTATCTAAAAAAAATATATAACTTACAATTATAATTGATGTCGCCCTCATTCCCGACCCTCGTTCGTCCACAGGCAGCTGCCCTCTCCAGTGGTGGGCCTGCCCCCGGTGCTGGGCAACCGCGCGGTGTGCGTCCGCTTCCAGGACCCCGAATATCCAGAGGACTTCATCTTCCCCGCGCGGAGGCTGAAGGGCGCCTCGCAGCCGCCCAGGGTGCTCAAGCCGGGGGACCTCAGCGGCCAGGAGAACAGGAACTGGAGGCCGCAGATAGGTATGGCAACGTGTGGCAGGGGAACGCGACGCTCTTCGCCGTTCCCCGATTGGGAGGTAGGTGGCACAGAAGACCGGCGTGGAGTGGAAGTGTTACACTCCTGCGTTTCGTCTGCTGGGTGAGGTAGCCGAGTCACACTTTTCAAAGTTGGCAACGCATCTGGGAACGTAACACAGTCGATGTAATTCTCCATGGGCACCCGTTAACTTAGCATTGTGTGATAATGTGAACCGTGCTAGGCAAATCTTTTTGCACGAATAATCTAGTGCATATGTCTTTTATTATTATTAATTTAATCTTACATATTTGATATAAGAGATTTCCACCGATAATTGACTCATCATGATATCTTTGGAACCATAAAGTGTACAAATTTGAAATTTGGTAGGAATATTCCTTTCGCCGAGTAGAGGTCAGCTAAGAACTGATTTTACGAAATGTTACCTGTTGCGTCCGCTAGTCTTACATATTTGAAATATAAGTAACCAATGTAGTTTCACTTCTAAGTTGTGTACGTTTTATTTATTCTTTATTGTACACAGAGTTTAAGATAAAACAAATTTAAAAAAAAATGTTCAAAGGCGAGCTTAAACCTAAAAAGAGTATTTAGTTTTTATTTTTGGTTCGTTTTATTAGTTTATTAACCTCTTTTGCGTTTCGCAGTCGGCTGAGTGCATTGCCGCGTATTTCGTGTGTATATTCCATCGTAACACGTAACGTGGTGGTATATGACGACGGTGACGGATCGCTGAGCTGTGGTCTCCATCGCAGGCATGGTGCGGTCCAACACGGTGGCCAGCCTGGAGCTGGCCGGCCACCGGATGCTCGGCCACCACGTGCCGCGGGACCGCCACTACGCCACCGTGCCGCCGCCGCAGCACCACCAGACCCACCAGAGCCACCACCAGACCCACCAGAGCCAGTACCAGTACCAGCCGCACCAGGGCTACGGCCACCACCGTGAGTCGCAGCATTCTTTCACCTTAGTACTATTTCCTTATTAGGGATGTCGAAAATGTATCGATGTATCGATATTTTTGATTCTACATAATATCGATGCAAAATTTTCAATACTGAAAATCGTCGATATTTTTTCAAATTCTGCACAAAAGTCCTTAAGTTTCAAATATTTGATACTTGGCATACACCGTTTTTTTGGACAAAGATTTTCTAGATCCTATATCCGATATATCGCTATTGTGACATTTTCTCCTCGATATATCGAGCCGTGCCGTAATTACACCAATAATGTAATCTGAACTTTATTGCGCTTAGAAATTAAAATTTTCTATAGTGCTAATCGCTACACGCATGTTTAATCTTACATTAAGATTTGTAGAAAAAGTTCGAAAAGATTGTCGCCAAGCATTTCTTAAAATGCTAAAAAACGATGTACCTAAAAGACGTTAAGATTTTCGTCGGTGTGGCTATCAGCCGTTTAGCTTAGTGGCTAAAGCGTCAGGCCGCAAATGTCGAAGACGTGGGTTCGATTCCCACAGCGGCGACAAACTTTTCGTACTTTTTCTAAAAAAAAATAATGTTTAATCTTAAGTGTAGAGATTAGCACTAAAAAAAATTAAATTTCTAGGGCTACCTTGTTAATTTAACTGTGGTAGGGTCATGCAACAATTTTCAAAAGGTTGTCAACGCATCTGTAACCCTCGGGTGTAGCAAATGTCCATGGGCGGCGGTATTCACTTAACATCAGGTGACCCGTCTGCTGGTTTGGCAACGTTTCGCATAAAAAAAATGCAACAGCTTGGGTTGCTGCACGAACGGATAGGTCCGTCCGGGTAAGTACCATGAGCTCGCGGAAGACCGACCTGAACTGGAAGTGTTGTAGTACTTCTGCGTTGCATCTGGTGAGTGAGATAGCCGAAGCCCACTGTATTAAAAGGTAGCAATACATCTGCAAGTACACGGGTGTTGCAAATGTCAATGGGCTGCGGTTATCACTTAACATCTGGTGAACCGCCAGCTGGCTTGCCACCTTCTCACATAAAAAACAATACTTTTTTACCAATTCCGTGCGATTAAACTACATTTTATACTGTAAAAATATTTTGTATATGGATTGAGGATATATATAGATAATGTAATCAAATATGCTTCGCGTGGAATGCCCCATTTGTGAGGCTGGACCGGAAAAGTTTCCAAATACGAAAACCGTACATACTTTTAAATTGTCGTAGGTGTCATCGCGATAAACCAAATGAAGTACCCTAAATCAGTGTTGTATGTGTCAATTAAATATTAACCCAATTTTAGTGCGTGCTGACAGCCGCGTTCCATTTTTGAATTCAATCGACGGTTTAAACGCGTACGCGACCCGGGTTCGATCTAACGAGCAATAGCCGTCAAACGACTCCGGGGACAGTTTTATTGAGAATTAATCCGCGTCACGCGCCCTTCCCGCCAACAATGGCGGCCCCGTAATTGGGCCACGCGACGCGACGCGCCCCCGCTTTCCCGCGCAAACGCACGCTGTTTGTTTTTTTTTTTCGCGATTAATTCCCTTCTAGAGGCAACGGTCGCTCGGTGGTAGGGACGTTGATCTGCGTACCGAGGTCGCCTATTCGAATATCGGTCAATAGTCCCGAGTACGCGGTATGTTCCGCGACGGACTTTTTCCCGCCTGTGGCTTTTTAGACTTTATGTGCGGTGATAAGGGAACATCCTAAACTGCCTCTGCCTACCTTCTGAAGGATTAATTGTGCAATAAAATGTTCTTGTTGCTATTATATTCATTATTCAGACCGAGATAATTTTTCTAAAATGCTCAATTATACCAATTTTAAACTAAAATGTTCAATTTCATTTACCCCTAGATGCTAATATCGCTTAATATTTTTGTATTACGTCAAGGTCTGAGTCAGGGTAGACAGAGATAGATAAACGTGGTCTGTAGTATAGATAAAATCTTTCAAGTTTCTCACTTCTAAAAAGTAAAGGTTCTCCGGAGTTCTAGGTTATACCAATGAAATTACGATGGGACCACATGGGATCTAAAGGCTTACGTGATGATAAGTTACCGCCACCCATCTTTCGTAACCCCAGAAGTAGACGTTTAACGAAGGAATAGTAGTAAAAAAATTAAAGAAACCAAGAGTGTTTCGAAAATACGTGAAGTAATGTCGCAAAGATTATGTCGTGTGACGAATAATGAAACTAATACCCATCCTCTGTACGGAAACAGAGGCATATAATTTCGCAGGCGTCTATTTGAATGAAGACATTTGATTGATATAGAAAGTATACGTTATATTTACAGTTTTTGAAGCTTTCCAAAGGGGCAGAAATTTTCGATAATAGCCACTAATTGCTACCATTGTTCTTTTACCGTTAAACGCTCGCGCTGATTCCATTTTAATTGTCAATCAGCCTATCGCTCACGCACAAAGGGAACCACAAATGTTGTAGCAACCGAGAACAATGCAAACGGGATGTTTACTGATGTAGATACTTGTATATCTGCGCAGTCGACATGGGCTCGCCGATGGGCACTCAGACGTACTGGGTCGCTAATTAGTGAGGCCCCGTTCGCGTATTACGCCGGGTTCCGCCGCAGCGAGTCAAACCTCGCGGACGACGTACATTGCACCTTCTGTCTGATGCTAGCCTATTTGACGGGAATGATAAAACCGAAAAAGAAGGCGTTAAGATTTTCGTCGCTGTGGCTATCAGCCGTTTAGCTCAGTGGCTAGAGCATCAGGCCGCGAATGCCGAAGACGTGGGTTCGATTCCCACAGCCGCCGATTCCTACATGTTTTAATGTTCAATCTTAAGTGCAGAGATTAGCACTATAAAAAACTTTAAAATTTATAAAAACCGAAAAAGTTGACTTGTAGCTTGTAATAAGTTTTAAGACGTGAAACAACTATGTCCGACGCGTGACCGTGCTGTGGGGTGTTGGAAACGGCCGCTAATTGTGAAACAATTAAATCATTTATTTACAAAGCTTTTGTCCGCGACTTTCGAGGTTCCTCCCTCTCGGGCACGCTCGAATGGGAATGCTTAACGGGTATCGAGCGACAGCCCAAGCTGAGGTCCCCTCTTGGGGGCCCTTGAGCCTAGTCACTGCATGGAGCGTCCGCATAGCGACCAAAGAGCTTGATGGCCTCCCAAATCAATGAGACTAATAATAATAGCGCCTGGCCACCTCAAGTCCAGTGGATCTGGAGTTCCACATATAATTATGTTACATCTGGATGCTGTAAGTACCTTAACATACATAAATTCATGTATTTTAAGGTATTATATTTAAGTACAGTGAGGGCAATGTTTATAAAAAAACAAACTTGTCATTTTCATTGAAATTGGTTGAGTTGTATTTGTGCTCATTCGAGACAAACTTTCAGATAAAAATAAGAAAAAAGGTTTGCGAGTTTATAAACAAGTAGGTATGTACAATAAAATTATGGTTAATTCAGTTTATATCACAGATACTTTAGTTTTATTCCAACGTAATTCCAAGAAATCGAAAATCTTTTTTTAGTATTCATAAATAAAATTGTATAAGACGGCAAATTGATAACAACAACAAACAACAACAAAGACAAAATAGATTTATTAAGAGAGGAGAATTATTATATTTTAAGATAACGGATTGATTAGTTTTACTAATAATTAATGGTGGTACCATAATTATGAATAAAACTATCAATCCGTTTTTATTAACCGTATAATATATAGAAATAAAATGTTAGAGGTCTGAGATCGCGGCGCGCGTTGAAAACGGGAGACGATTATTAAATAGAAGATATTAGAATAAACTACTACCTCGTTGGAACAATTAGTTTCAGAGGGGTAAAGTAAAAGCCTATGTATGCCCCACCGCTGGGCAAAGGCCTCAGTACAGACCGTACTAGGTTATAGCACGTTAGGCACTTCACATATCTTCGAATGTTTTTTTTTTTCATTATTTCAAAGACATGCGGGCTCCCTCACGATGTCTTCCCTCGCCGCCGATACGCAGATGCATACGAACAAACAAATATAATCCGTAATGTTGGTGCGCACAAAAGAGGCAATGTATACGCAAACGGTCGGCATCGCCGCAACGCACTGGGCTTCACTAGTCGGGAGCTCTTTTGTTTCACCGGGCTGGTAACACCGCGTTGACGAACTGTTGCCCCGCCATTGTTCCGATTTTATTGTCGGAGTAATTAAATACGGGGCGAGGAGGTAGCGGCCGGAAGGGGGGGAGGGTAGTGTTGTGCGGGGTCTCTCCTCAAAGGTAGCGTTGTATAAATAAACTAGCGGAGTCGACAAACGCCCTGTACACAAGTCTTGAATCCGACAATAACTTGAAAAGTAAAAGGATAATAATATTTAAAAAATCTAGTGGACCGAATTGTGAATCTAAACAATTCTCGAAACCACTTGAACACACACAAAAATTTCATCAAAATCGATCCAGCTGTTTAGGAGTTCAGTTACTTTCACACGAAACGAAGACAGAAGTATAACCGTGTGTGTAAAATTATCTGTAAGTCACACAAATAGTTGTGTACCGTATGTGAATCGAACCCACGACCCCGAGAGCTTAAGCCAGTACGTACATTATTGTGCCACTGAGTCAAGTTAAAATTAAAATTTCTTTATTTAATATAGAAGCATTACACTTACTTATTGATTGTCAAAAAACTACTACCGGTTCGGAAAGAAATCCCTGAGAAGAACCGGCGGAAGATACTCAGATCTCGTCAGTCATCAATTATGCGTCAATTTGTTGTATAAAACATATTTTTTCTACCATCGTTTGATTGTCGCGAACATCATCCTCCGATTCATTGACTGGTGGCTCCATTAAAGTAATCTTGTCATCGAGGAATTCCATTTTGTTTACATGCGTTTCTACTCCATCCAATTGTGCAACAATGGCGTAATGCGTTTGCCCGTGCAAAATCGGCTTATTTGTATCAACGAACGGGACAGTTATTAACCTAACTGCATTGCGC